CGATCGGCAGTAGATCCGAAGGTAGGTCTCGATTTCCTGGTTCAACCTTTCTGTTTGACCATCGGTCTGAGGATGGTAAGCGGTGGATAAAGCGACTTCGTAATCCAATAGTTTTCCAAGTTCTTTGGAGAACTTTGATGCGAACTGCGGTCCGCGATCTGAGATGAGCTTGTCATGGAGCCCAAAGCGCAAGAAGACTTTCTTGAAAAATAGTTGCGCTACTCCTTCGGAAGTGATGTTCTTCTTGCAAGGTGAAATAATTACCCCCTTTGTAAGTCCGTGGTCTACCACGACCATCATAGAATCATAACCACCGCTCTCGGGGAGGTCGGTGATTAGATCAACGGAGAGCTGGGAAAAGGGGCGTACACCGGAAGAGCTAATTGGTTTCAGGGGAGGAGTAGTGGGGTGAGTGTCAGATTTCATCTGCTGACACGTGGCACATCCTTCGACATATTTCCTAATGAAAGTGCCCATCTGAGGCCACCAATAGTCACGTTTGACTAATTCTTCTGTTTTAAATCTACCGGGATGTCCGGCGGTCGGGTGGTCATGGTGAAGCTGCAGGATGCGGCTTCTAAGTGCAGGGGGTGCATAGGCACGGTTCTTGTATTGCAAGATACCGTTATCGAATTTCCAGTCAGATAATGCCGACTTCATGGGGGGCAAACATAGCCCATCTAAGGCGTCACTGGCGGTCTTGATGATGGGATCCGCCGTAGGATCGTCGGCTTTTAGAGCCGTTTCTAGTTCGATGTCGATGAGTCGAACAAACATATCGTCAGGTAACAAGATGACGTCCTGGTTATCGGTCTCGGTGGGGTGGTGATCAGGACGGCGTGATAAGGCGTCAGGGGCAGCGAGTTTCGTTCCTGCTACATGGTGAAATTCGAGGTCGAATTCATTCAATGTGAGTTGCCAGCGTGCTTGGCAGCGTGTCAACTGTTGAGCGGACCTGAAGTAGAGTAGGTTCATGTGGTCCGTAAATACGATCACCGGGTGCCCATGTCCTTCGAGATAATGTCTCCATGCTGCTAAAGCACGGATGACGGCCAGTAGTTCTCTATCATAAATTTGATAGTTTCGTTCTGCTGCATTAAGGGATGCAGAAAGATAGGCGCAGGGATGGTAAGCGCCGTTTTCATCGGTCTGTAGTAACACTGCTCCAGTTGCTACTAGGGAGGCGTCAGTTGCAATAGCGAATTGCTTTGCAGGATCGGGGTTTCTTAAGACAGGTTCCGTCATAAAGCACTTTCTAAGTGCTTGGAAGCTGTTTTCTTCTACTTCAGTCCAGCAGAATGGCTGGGTCTTCTTCGTCAAGTTGTTCAGGGGTTTCGCGATGTCAGAAAAGTGCGGGATGAAATGCCGATAGAAATTGCAGAATCCGAGGAAAGATCGTACATCGGTGACGGTTTTTGGTGTCGGCCAATCTGCGATGCCCTTGAGTTTGGTAGGGTCCATTGCGATTTGTCCTGGTCTAATGATCATTCCGAGGTAGTCGACTTCTTGTACGTCGAACAGGCATTTTTCCGCTTTTAAGAACAATTTCTCTTTTCTGAGGATATCTAATATCCGGCGGGTTCGTTCGTGGTGTTCTTCAAGGTTTTTCGAGAATATCAGAATGTCATCCATGTAGACGATGAGCCATCCTTCGTTCAGTTCCTGCTGGAACGTCTGGTTCATATAGGCCTGGAAAGTACCGGGTGAATTGCAAAGGCCAAAGAACATGACATTCGGCTCAAAGAGTCCGAATTCAGTCGTAAATGCTGCCTTCCATCTATCCTCAGGGTGGATCCGAATATTGTTATATCCGGAACGGACGTCCATCTTGGTGAAGTACTTTGCGTCGCGAAGTTTCGCTAAGAGTGGTGGAATGAGGGGAAGGGGATACGCGTTCTTTATTGTCCATTCATTAATATACCGGTAGTCTTGACAAGGCCGTAGAGATCCGTCTTTCTTTCCAACAAAGAAGAAGCCGCTTGACTGGGGGGATTTCGAAGGAGAGATGAATTCCTTTTTCACATGTTCGTCAATAAATGCCTTAACCGCAACTCTTTCCTTTTCAGATAAGGGGTAGAGTTTAGAGGATTTGGGAATGTATCCGGGTTTGGTTTCAATTCTGTGGTCTATACCGGGTCGGTGAGGTGGCATGGAGTTAAGACTGTCTTTGGCAAAAAGGTCGGCGAAGTCGTGAAGGTAAGAAGGGACTAATTCTTCGAATGTCTTTTTCTTCTTCTCAATCTCACCTTCCATGGCTAGTTCCTGGGATTTGTTACTAGTCTTCAGGTATTCAGGAAGTGAGGGGGGTTTTGCCATTTTCTTGGTTTCGAATGCCGAGGTACCGTCGCGAGTCAGAGGTGCGTCCAAATCCAAATTCTCTATCAGGCGTACTGCGGTGGCGTCCTGGGAGTATTCAATGAGGAATTCATCATCGGTGAGGGAAAAGGAGGCCAAATCTTCGACTTTTGGTGCGAAGTTATCCTTTATCCAAGCGTCATGCTTCTGGTCGAAGTTCGGGATTTCTAATCCTTCATCTTCTTCGTCTGGATCGGGGTTCAGGTGCGGGATTGGTTCATCTTCATCGGGAATCTCCTCGATGGAGGCACGGAATTCTTCTTTCTGGCGGGTAGGCTCAGAGGCAACGGAAATTTTTCTTGAAGTCATGGGTTCGGGGTTCAGCGCCTTCTTGGGGGTCGCTGGTTCTTTGATAGGCACCTTCTTGGGGTGCAAGATATTTCTGGGGGCCTTCCTGGGGTAAGGCTTCGGTTTGAAGAGCGGCTTGAAGCCTGCGTCCTTCCTTTCTTGATCTATCCAGAGTTCTACTTCTCTGGATCTAGGGGTCTCGTTGAGGGTGAGACAGTTCTCCGCCCAGTTGATATCTGGGTTCATGGCTTTTAGCCAGGGGAATCCAAGGAGGATGTTGTCCTTGGTTCGAAGCTTGGTCACATTGAATTTTCCATACATGACTTGCTTGTCAATCTTGATGCCGAGTTCGACATATTCTCTAATCTTTCCGCCACGGCAGTCACTTCCGTCGGCGGTGACCATGGTAAAGGGTTTCGAGAGTTTCTTGGTCCGAATTCCGTGATAGTCGATGAATTCGGTGCTGATGAATGATCCGGCGGCGCCGGAATCGATGACTACGGTGGTTTCGACTGGTTTCGCACGTTTAGTTGGGAGGAGAGTGGCAGGGACACGTAACTCTTCTTTATTACCAACATGATGTACAGTGCGAACTGGGATGGGAGGGACTGGCGTCGATACAGACCTCCATTCTAAAAATCCCCCTTCTTAGTCATCCTACGGGTATCCATAGTTTCATCGTCAGATTCTTCTTCCTTATGCTTGGCCTCTCGGGCCGGTTTCTTTTCCTTTGGGTGGTGTTCCCTATCATTGGCTCTATGGCCAGTCTGGTGGCATATGAAGCATTTGCCTGCTCTCATATGTTCGGCCCTTTCTTTCTCTGAGAGGCGGTCGACCTCCATGGAGTCTCTGTCTCCTCGCGGTTGGTACCTTTCAGGTCCGAACCGGTTTTTCTTCTTCTTGTCCTGGTTGTGGTTCTTGGGCCTCAGCGCTATGATCTGCTGATAGGCGTTATCCATCTCTCTGGCCGTGTTGACCATTCCTTCGAAGTCCTTCGCGATATTGCCTGCTCTATAGATAGCATTGGCAATTCCGAATTTCAATCCGGCGGTGAAGAAGTGGACTCTTGATCCTTCATCTGTCAGGCTGGTTAACTGGAAGAGATGTCTAATCTCCGCGATGTATTCTTCTAGGGACCCTTCTTGTTTGAAGGTCCTGAGCTTGATCCACGCTTCGGTGGCTGCTTCTCCCGTGGTGAATGCCTTAAGGAAGGCTTTCTTGAAATCCTCCCACGTTCCATACCCAATGGGTTGCTTATTCTTGTCTAGCCTAGTGGTGTCTTGGGCTAGGGTCAGGAAGTCCTCCTTCCAAGTCAATGCCAGTCTTTTCATTCATGAAAGAGGTGGCGAAGATGATACATTTCTTGTCAGTGTCATAGATTTCACTGTTGATGTCAAGGTAGGCGGCGACCGAGAGCAAAAAGCTTTTTGCGTTCTTCTCGTTGCCATCAAAGGTCGGTGGGGTTCCGATCTTGATTTCAATTGGTCTGTGGGCGGCTGCAGCTGCTGCTGCTGCTGCTGCAGCGGCACTGGATGAGGTGGTTGGTCCCGACATGTTTCCGAATGCGGCGGCAAGGATGTTCGCGGTTATCGAATCAATGTTGTCAAAGTACTGTTGGAAAACAGGTACTGGGTGAGGAACTTAATCTTTTGTTACGACTGGGATAGTTCGGCTGTTGCCGGTCAAGATAGACCTGTCGGGCGAACAGTTCGTCGGCCTCCCTAATACAAGGAAGGTTTCTGGTGGTTCCTACTGCACGAGCCACGGCTTCTATGCAGGATCAGCAGCGAGTGGTTTTAGCACTTCTGCCTAGGCGGTGAGTGGTTTTAGCACTTCTACCGCAATCAAGGGTTTCAGGCTAAGACAGTGAGTGACTGTCTTAGAATCAGAGTTCAGGCTACTAAGGGTGGAGACCTTAGTAGATCAGGATTCAAGGGGAAAACCCAGTAGATTAAGTTAAGGAATACATCTATGGTACATAGGGTTTATATAGGTAAAAGGAAGCGGCATAGCCGCGACAAGAAAAGTAACAGAGATAGGAAAAAGAGTACAACCTATCAAGATAGCAAAGATAGGTGAAACCGCCATGCGGCGCAAGATAGTATCTATGTTACAATCAGAAAGAAGAGAAGTGCGGACAGCCCGCTTGATAAGAGAATAGCCGAGTCTAGATGAGTCTAGAGTCGGCGGCATAGTTACAAGAAAAGAAAAATGTAATAGGAGTAAATGTTATTGTAACAGAAGTCATATCGGCAGCTCTCAATCTACCTGTCCGATACTGTCTTAGGGCCCACCTAAAAGCTGTGCCGATAAACGTGATCAAGTTCATGAGGTGTTTTTTCCACCCTTCGGAATCATCATAGTAGATGAACCAGTGGTACTGTCTCTCCAACAAGATAGTTTCTAACGCGTTGATGATCGCGCTATTTCCAAATGGTATATTGTATTGGTGGGACAGGCCATCATTCCCGAGCAGCTGAGATAAAATGTCAAATTAGAGAAGAACACGCATTAGAATGGGTGCACGCACCGTCATGAGCCCATGGAGGAACACATTAGTCGTGAGTAGCAAATTGATTTTCGCGATCCTTGGTGAAAGACGCGCTGGACCGCGCTTCTCAATTGCAAGGGACAAAGAATAAGCATTTACTACCGCTGCGAGTATGAGGTCCTTGATTTCATTGCGAATTTTAGTTAATATGCCCTTGAGCTTCTTGATTTCGTTTTGGCCTTCCCGTAGCAACTTCCACCCACTGAAGTCCGCTGCTTTTGTCTTCGTGAGTTATTGAAAGAATACATATGAATTGAATACCATTTGAGCACTTGGCGATAGCCTTGTCGAGTGCCAGTTCGGCCATCCTTCCGAGAGCTGCATCGTCGGTGGGGAAGAATGTTTGATCGAGGATGAGCCTATTCATCTGTATGTTAGCCTCCTTCTTCACAGCGTCGATTTCCCCTTCCGATAAAAAGACAGGTGTCAATAGAGACACTGGTTTGCTCGGCGGTATGGTATGGATGATGGGCTTGGTGCTGAGAAACATCACCCGTTTGGTTGAATGTTGGACATGCACAGGGCTCGTGCTCCTGAAACCCTGGGACATTCATGTGTTAACAGGCATCATGGTATCAGGTTGGTACTGCTGAAGCTCATTTTCATAGCTACAAGCCCCAAGAGTCGATGAAGTAGATTGGGTTGGAACATCATGGCTAAGAGGCAGGTATGGGAAAGAGTGCTGGACATTCAATGTGCTCGACAACCCACCAGTTGAATAAGGAGAAACACGGTATATGGCAGACGGATGCTGAGAGTTGACGTTAGAGTGACTGGACTCGTGGGTGAGATTGTGAGTCTTCAGATATTCCAAATACACAGGAAACACGGTCCAAATGTCTGGTTGTCCCCCTCATATGAACTTGATGCAGGTGAATACTGAGTAAGGCGAGACATCTGATCAGACCCAGGATTGTGAGATGTGACTATCTCAGATTCAGGCTGGATATGGCCTCCATCGCCAAACGACACCTGCGGAGGTTGATTGTCTGCGTAAGAAATGAATTGAGGTTCAGGGCTACTGACTGGTAGTGACCAATTCTGCTCGCGAGACATGATAACTGACGGGATACCTGGCCACAATGATGCGATTAATAAAATCAGGAGCAGCCGTGATCTCGACGAACCTTCAGAGGATCGATAGCCGTATTTCTTTCTTAATGCACCTTTCCAGCTCAACATCTGGAGTGGGGTGGTGGTAAAAATGATGTGAAATACTGCAGCTTAATGCTGCCTTAATGATATTGTTGGTCGCCAAATCGGATAGCATCCTGTCCAGGCTAGCTTACTATAATAATTGAATCACAAGTTAGTATTACCGTTGAATTTTACGTCATCAACTAACCTTGAGGCTTTCCCGACACGCTGAAGTTTGCTCAAAGGGGAGCAGATTCAATTGATCCCTGGTAGCAATGAAATAAAATACACGTGACTCACCATAAGACCTGGCCGATTATAGCAGATTATAGCATTTGCTCATCAAAACTTACATACTCCGTGATGATCGACTTGATAGAAGAGCGAATTAAACCTTTAGGATGATTGACCCAATCCGTCTTGCCTCAAATTGATCGAGTCAAAGGGGCCTGACAGCGGCTACTTTCATTTCGTCTTATCGCAGGTCTCACCTTACTGTTTGGGAAGGACGGAGTTTGCTGTCTTCCCTGAGCTCAGGTTGCGGCTGTCGTACATTTCAAGCGAGACCCTTTGTTTGCCAAGCTCCGCCAGGTACTGTATCATCTTGACTCTCTGCATGGAGATGGGCCCAAATTCCTTTTCGGCTTGGAAATGAACGAAATGAGGTCCTCATGAGTTTAGGGTCTCGTTATGCTAAAGGTCATCAGACTCGAGGCAAGCTTCATATCCCCCTGCCAGCCTAGTACTAGCCCTCACCTGTGGGTCATCACCGGACGCAGCTGGTATTTTATGATAGCCCCCTGATGCAGAACTTTCGCAGGTCCGAAGCTGCTGCCATCCCGCCACCTGGTGTTCCTCCTGCCTCAGCTAACAGATCCTTATGTTATGAACGTGGTCCACCTCGCGACAATCTGCTGGAAGCTCTGACCTAGGCTAGACAAAATCAGATCCGATATCAAAGTAGTTTAGTAAGGGGGACCCATTTGTTTGTCCAGCTCCACAAGTAAATAGAAGTCATAAAAAGAAATCTGGTCCGATCAAAATGAAGTTAGCTTGGAATTCTAGGCCCTGCGCTTCTGCGGCACGCACTTGCTAAATGAGAAGTATTATTATGTGTGATTGGCAAGACTTTGTCGCAATATTTAATTTAATTTTTTCAAGTTTCACGCAGTTACTTATACTACATCAAGCGGAGCGCTCGTGAGTCACTTGGCAAAAACGCTTTGAGTCATTTCAAAATAGGGACCAAGAAAATACAATTATATCCGTAATGGCAGCATTTCTACAAAGAAAAGGTCTTATCAACAAATAATGATTCGGACTTAGAAGTACAGCTCTTCTGCTCAGGTAGCATCTATCACACAATATCAGTACGAGCATAATGGAAGGTCAATTTGGTAATCACATCAGCTGTCCGACTCAGAGTTCTCTGTGGATTCATGCACAGACTCTGGACCCCCTTCATCTGAAATATCGCCAGAGTCGACAGGAAGCGCTTGCTTGCCACCTCCTGCACGAACATCTTTAGACCTGATAATGCTCGACAGTATAACCCTCCATGTCAGTGAGCTGTTCGTCCGCAACAGCGAATGACATCACGTCATGTTTATATGTGACGGCACCAAAGTCCACGTGGTTTTGAAGCTCCTCCTTACTGCAGTTAACAAGAGCTTGAACTGATGAGTCGAGACGCTCTGAAGCGGCGCTAGCATATGTATCAGCATCACACTCAAGAACCATGTGAAGGAACTTTGTGTGTCGCTCAGACACCTCGATTCGCCAAGCCATTGCCATGGCACTCAGGTGTCTCGACTCAACATCAGCTTCCTTCGTGAGGACAGCTTGAGCCATAGCCTCATGGGACAGGTGTCTCAAGCCACAATGTAATTGATGCTTGCCCTAATATGCTTGCCCTCAATAAGCAACGTCAGGATACATATGTGATAACATACCCTCTGAATATCTGTGGGACTCGTATCAGTGTTCCTTGGGGTAGGGTAACCTTCAGCGAATCGGAGGGCCCACATAGTGGGAGCATCCCTATCATAGGGCTTGAATTTTCTTCTTGCATGGTTCACATAGAGTGATAGATGATGGACTATGGGGGGAAGGGATGCAGGTACATGTATGTCATCTGACAAATCATAGGCGGTGTCACATGATGATGACCGATGGCGCCTAGTTCTTTCGAGAGCTCGGGCCCGACAAGTATTTGTTGGAGTGATATCCCGCTGGAATTTCTTTGTAGTAACACTGCGACTACACGTGGTAGCCCTGCACTCATAGGCAGGACTACACCCACTGGCAGAGCTTGGAGGAGGAGTAAGGTGGAACATGCCTATGTTATGTGATGGTGAGCCCTGCAGTAGAGTAAAAGCAAGGTCACCGGCTGAGTTTCAAAGGTCTCAAACAGTGTGCGCTCCATATATATACGTAGGATGCTATACATAGACAAAAGATGTGATCGATTCTTCTGGTAGTCATTGAATCCATGCTAGTGTGGATGAGATTTAATAATGTTGCCCATATTGGGCGATACTTTGTCACCTGAAACTTCAACAGGTGATGTGATCGGGGATCGGTCACCTCAATTGTGAACAGACAGCTGAAAAACATGCGAAATGTGAGAATAGAATATGACTCATCCAGAATATACCTATCACAGCACACACTCTGTATGATATCAGTTCCAACAGTTGAATGTTAAGGCAAGTCAATCCTGAACAAAAGGCTGGAGCAGCGATACGTGTGTGACACGCTGCAGGGAAAATTTGTCATGGCAAGGGACCGTTTTACCCCTTGCCATGCCGAAGCTGCCAGTCACAGCTGCACCGTGGTCACATGGTGTGGTTGCCTGGCTCTGAGGTCTCTGAATGCCGCTCCTGCTGTATCATATAGTGGCATATAAGTCTTTGGACACTTATGCGTACCTGTTGCCAGCAAGTTTGCGAGCTTTGCTTAATTTCGGACACAAGTTGGACTGGATTCGGGATGATTTTGTAGTTAAGCCATCGAGGAACCTAGTCACTACCTTAGGAAGCTTATGTGAGCCAAATATGAAATTCAAAATTGTTACTCACTCCAGTCACCACTTCGACGAGACACTATTACTACCATTGTTCTCAACGTCAGATGTACAAACTCAACTGCATTGTCTTGGGCAATGATGATCCTGGTAGTATATTTGAGATCAAGATTGCACTGACAGAGAGTGTCAGCGCTGTAACAATGGTCGTGGTGCTGGGCTCAGAACCAACTATTTTGATACTGATGTCAAACAGTATTTGTCTGATGCACTTCCAACTACCCTGACCCGAGTCCGACAGTCCGATCCTGACCCGACACACTTTCCAACAGTCCGACGCATGTCTGATCCCAACCCGACATTCCCGCGCATCGGACCAGTCCTCCCTATGTCCTGTCCAGTCACATCTATCCCCACTAGGTGCGCATTTACTCCTTTTGACTTTCTAAGCATTGTATACAGTGTTATTACATGTTTTCTCATGGTCCACAGTACCACATGTCCTATTACATAGGATTTCGGACCCGAAATATCGCTACTACTCTCGCCTATAGCAGTCCAAATTTCTACATAGTCACTATTTAATATCTAGTACTTCCTACCTATTGACTCACTTACTTTTCCCTACTCAGTAGTAGGATGGAAGTCATTGGATATTAGTAGTACTTTATTGTATTGCAAAATATCTATCCACTCTTTTTCTCCGAAACATTCCGACACATCCAACATTCATTTGACCGACAATCCGACACACTTCCGACACATTCCTTTATCATCCGACACATTCCCGACAGTCCGATGCATAGTCCGACACACGACCCGACTCCGATATTTCGGACCCGACAGTTTCCCTTCGGACAAGTAGTTCCTAGCTTCGGATTATCTTCCTATTATTGATAACTAACTATCTAAACTAATACCAAACAGCTACCCCTATATGATCGAACGCACTTGCTCTGCAAGTATAGCAGCATAGGTCGTGCTAAGATCTACCTAAATATTTGTTGTCTAGGTAGTATGATTTCTGCTGAGCCCAGCAGAGATCAGCTTTCTACAGTGCCCTCCAGAATATTATCAAAGAACAGAATAAGCATGAATTTGATGGTGTTGATGCTAAAACTCTCAAGCTATGGAAGGTGAGTGATCTGATGCCTATGATTGGATGTTGACGACCTGATACTGTGGAAGGTTTACCTGGCTGTCGACAAGACGATCAAGCACAATCTTCACAGTCTTAGTACACTTGACCCAATGAAATCCCTATCACCTGTGGATGAAATGGTTGAGATTTTTCCTGATGCCCCTCGAGTCAGTGTAAGTGTCTGCATATTATTATCCAATGCCCGCCTGCCAGTGAGTTGTCTTTCGATATTGCCACCCTTTCCTCCTTAGTGATTGCGGTCTAACTTAGTGTCTTCTGGACCACTCCACCTCAAACTTACTAACTGTATCGTCTTGGGCGATGATCCTCGCCATGTATTTGAGATCAAGATTGCACCGACAGAGAGCGTCAGTGCCCTCGATTCAGACTTTAGCTTGAAGTGCACTGCTGTGCATGCTTCAAATATCCCTGGCCATTATATGCACTCTTCAGAGCTGAGTTTCAAGAGGCAGAGTTTGGTGAACACCGCACTGTGCAAGTGATGGGCCTACAACACTGTGACATTGTAAGTCCGTCCCGCCAAAACTTGGTCATTCCCAACATTAAACTCGGAAGCGAGGAGTGTCCTTGCATTATTCCAAATTCGAGGTCACACAAAAGTGTTCATTTCAAAATGTTGAGCTTACCCTGAATTAATGAGTATGTAGCACCTGTTACGATAATGACATCACAACTTATTCTGGTGGTTCCTTTAACATGTCTGACCATTTTCAGCACATTTTTTTAGGTACCTCCTTTGCCGACACCGGCCAACTGTCATATAAAGCGGGAGCTTGTCAGTCCTATCCCTCTTCTCATCCCTCGTTCCAAGTAGGCTCAATTCCTCTTTCTTTCCGTTCTCGCTGTGAAAGGTCATGTCACAGGAAGTGGAGAACACCCCCCATACTTCCAAATCGGCACAGTCACTAGCAGTGCCGACATCCGAAAGTGTTCGACAGAAGCGGAGAATTGCTTCGCTAGAAGAAAAGCTACAGTCGCTGGAGTCAGGGCATGAGGCCAAACAAAGGTATGGGCACCATTGATGTATAAATCAGTTCACTAACTATGACTGTCAGGGAGATAAACTACTATGTATCGAAAGGAAGAGCCATCAGGCGTATAGTTTTACTATTTGACAGCATCGAAGATCTGATAGCGGAGAATGATCGAAGGTGTGATAGTGACGAGTTGGATGAAAATTTGACTATTGAGTAAGTTCTTCACCCATACTCATGATTGCTAGTGACTGTTCATCATCAGCCAGGAACATTTGCAAGTTGGATACATCACCCTCAACCAGGCCCTCCTGTGGTTTCATAGTAGGGCCTCAGAGGTGGAGTACAATGAATACTCCGAAATGCTGAAGAAGGTGTGTTTGCCAGTAGTAATCATTTACCTTTGCTAAATTGTTGTCTAGCTCAGACAGGGGGCCGATGCTGCTCAAGGCGATGACACATCAAAACTTAAGAGTCTCGTCACTGGCTGGCTCAGCCGCGAATTCAAACCCACTCCCCCCGTCGACCCCGATGACAAAAACTGTTGTGGTTTCATCAACGATGTGTGCGGCAGGCTACTCTGCCCAACCGAGCTGGACTGGAACGATCCAAGGTAACTATCTCACTCTGCATCTTGCACGACAACTAACCGTCTATTAGAGTCAAAGCAGGGATAAGGGATCGTGCAGATGGCTATGCCGTGACCAAAATGTCCTGGCCAGCTTTTTTGTATGAAAAATACATGGCTGATCAGGACAATCTAGAGGAGGGCCTCTTCAAGAGCAGTCTTTTGATTCAGGTTTTTTTTCATACATGACTCCTAGTCTGACAAAGATCTCACTTTACTAAGTAGGCATTCAAGGCTATATTCACGTCTCCCTCTTCCGCAAAGGAGGTTACCGGTGATGGCGATGGTGATGGTGCTAATGTCACCGAAAACTGCCGACATGTGAAGAACCTTGACAGGAAAGTCAAGACACATGTAGCGCAGATAATCAAGATGCATAAAGTCACACCCTGCTCGATTGCTTACGTTTCGTGTCAGGTGCTTCTTTTTTTTTCTATTCTTTGCCTAGCATTAACAATACAATGTAACAAGTTGTGATTCACTATATCTTCTGTGACCTCGTGGCGATCGATCGATGGTGACTTCGACTATATACCATTTTGGCAAACCATCGTAGATTTCTTCAAATGGCCCCCTGGTCGACTCGCACAGCAGAAAGTTGACCGACTCCTAGCGTGGTGGACAAGGTGCTTTGCTCAGTACGCCCTCGACGACCTTCGACTGACCTTCACTTCTTAGGAAAATCTTCGGAACAAGTCGCTGCACAGAACTCACTGACGGAGCGAAGGCCAAGATGTCTGTGAATGCTCTCGCAAGGCAGAGAGCACAAATGGATGATGCTCTTTTTGATTCCGAATAGTTTATCTGATTTCTCACCCAAGTGTAGATTCTAGGACTATCTCACCTTACCTATTGTTGGCTCTGAAATTGGTTTATTTCATTAATTACACTAGCACAACCTGCTGTTTCTAATGCCATGATTTAAAATTCTTGTTCAGTGTGAAGCTTCGAAGCCAGTTGTAAATATGTATGAGATGTCTGAGATCTGAGAGATATCCTATTCACACTTGTATAGTTGCAATCTTATTTCCTCATGGACGTGTTACGAATAATATAGATAAAATCAGAACCTTGTACTTGTATTTCAATAAACTGAATCAGGGAAATATAAGCATGAAAGCAGCGATATTGGTATTGCCTACTTGTTATTTCCAATACAGACCAATTTGAAGTACAAACGAGAAGAGTCCCAGACAGGACGTATCATGGTAATATCATTGTTGTTCTTGATTTTATGGACATGTTCAGACCTGAAATACATGCATGTGAGGAGACAAAATCACGGGACAAAATGTATACACTGAGAAGTAACAAGAAGTGTCAAACATACCAAAATTAGAGCAATGCCCATGAGAGATGGGTAACCCGGGTACAGTCTTTGTCTGCAAGCTTTCCAGATTTATTTGTTACACAATGGGAGGTTTAGTATGATTGCTTAGTATTGCTCAGTGATCGCATAGTTGTTCTGTTGATGAAGATAATGATTGAGGCTTCCAAATGCGAATATACGCAATTATTGAAGCAGAGCACAAAAGCTGGCAATATTACTAATGCCATGTAAGGTGAACAAATTAAGTAGACGAGTGTGGTATCACAACAATGGTAGAACTAGCTGACATCACCACCCTGCTCATCGCACATGAAATATTAAGTGTATGCACGTTGTCTATACCCGCGTCAAAAATCACTAAAGCAGGGGACGAAAAAACCCAATATTACAGACTCAGACTCAGACAAAATGAATTAGCTCAACCGGTAAAACTGGTGCTAAGGTATCTATGCCCCACCATTGGCAAGTCTCTGTCAAGTTAGCACTGTGTCATGATAATGCAGCGTCATTGCACATGCAAAGCAATTTTGTACAGATGATTCAATAATACCCGACTGACCAATATTGTACTTGCAGAACAAATTGTGGAAAGATTCAAAGCAGCATATGACTGACCGTCCCCCGAATGGTACGTAAATTGTCCCTTCCACGGAGGAACTAGAGTAATTCTGCATGAAGTAGCCACGAACACCTAACAGGGCGAAAGTATACATTCAAAAGGGGTGGTCGAAGGATCTGAATAAATATATAAACCTGTTCTTGTGCGCTCAGCACATACATTATCGGTATCTGCAGGACACTGATTTTCTGCACTTACCTTTCGAATCGTGGACCTTGGTCCCAATGTTGCGACTATGAATTGTTGAGGTAAATCATTAACTTTCGACCTGCCTATAACTACATCTCGATTGAACAAATCGAATTGGTTCTTGTGCGATCAGTGCACAGATTGTCGTGCTTGCAAGACACTTATTTTTAGACTTGCCTTCCGAATTGAGGATATTGGTCTCGATGTGGCGGCCATGAATCGTCGAGACAGACCATTAGCATTCGCCGTGTCTGCCACTTGATTTCGAGTTACACAAGTCTACGAGTTTTTGGTAGTTCGCAAACCTGTGTACGTCGATTAGGAAATCGTCTTTTCTCCATAAACTCATACATGACCATGTGATAACCCATAGCAGAATTATGCCGATGCTCGTGATTATTCCCTATATAAGGCAATATATATCTTTCTCATGTTTCCCTCAGTTCACTGATGTTCGGGGTGTGGCCCTTCACCGTAGTGTGTTCACTGGCAGCGGCAGGAGCCAACTACAAGAATGTAGTCCTTAGTACAAACAGTTTCAGGTAGATATGTTTCATCAGTAGATTCTATTGCAAAAACGCATTCACATGATGTAAGACTGTATGAAGTTTATGATACACTGATGGGATAGCGAGCTACAATGCCTGGAGCGACAGACTTTAAGTTATCGAAAAGCCACGTCTGAAGAATATATTCATTTTCGTCCGGTTCGGCCAGGTCAGCATGAAAGATGGTGCTCAGGCAAGCTACCGCTATTTTCCAGTTAGATTGGTGTGACGGCGAGGGTTGTATGAGGATGGCCTCGGTCTTCCCGTGCCGAAGCGTCCGCTGGAAGTCAGATTTTTTCTCCCTGCATCCATTGGCATCCACCTTTAGCCAGTGATCAAGCTGTCTGCCACTGCTCAACAACTTGCCTCCTTGGTACCTAAGACAGACCCAGACGAGGACCCACACTAATGATTCAGCGTCGTGCCGGTACAAGTGTGTGACTTTGCCTTCGAGGCCAGCTACGTCGAGTAAGTCGAGTGCCATGAATGGAACTGTTCCTGTCCGCTCCTTCCCGCTGGGCCCATCGCGTTTGATCGATGATAGGTCGTAATCGTTGAGGACCCCGATCCATTGGCCGTTCAACATGTAGACCATGAGATTGTTGGGACTGACGTCGCGGTGATGGACATCGTGCTTCCAAAGTGTGTAATGGCCTGTCGGCTCAGTCAGCGATAATGAAGAGTGAAAGAAAAATCAGACGTACATAGGACAACTTGCCACCATGCGCTGAGAAAATCGTCTCCGCTCAGCGACGTGATTGGGATGAGTTTCCTGAACACGATGATGTACAAAACGCGACTGCCCCCTTCAGCATCAGCGTCTTGAATTCCTAGCGACCTCCTGATCTTTGCCGTGGACGTCTCGTCGAATTTGTGGAACCACACCATGTCCGGGATGTGGCCCTTCACAGTCGACTCCTTGCTCGCGATGTCATACACGTTCTGGAGTATCTCGTCCTCGCTCTGACGTCGCTCTTCTGGCCAATACAGCTTGGCGATCAGTTCCTTCGAATCATTGCCACAAACGTCCCTCTTCTGTATGTCCGAAAGATACTTGCTTCGGACAGAGAAAACGTTGGTTGCGCGGCCGCGCAGACCGAAGTGAGTTATGCGTGTGTCGGACTTCAGGTCCAATGTAAGATCGACATCTCCGACGACGATGTCGCACGAAACGCCAGGAACGTGGGTGAAATGCGGATTATGGCCCCATTGCTCGTCCCCCATGCGCTGCATGCCAAGCAGTAGCACAAGGAACCGGGGAAGGTCCTTGATGAAGTTGATGCCGGCGCATTGAATGGCGTTTTCTCGATCGAAATACCAGATGTAGATAATATCATCTAGGATGGGCGATCAATTTAACGAGTGCTCTGAAATATTTAATCGACTTACTGTTTACTACGTAAGATATAACACACTGCAGCGCGATGTTGGCAGCGAGTATCTCGGCGACATATAGACCATTCTGGACGTTTGGATGAATCTTTTCAGGTTCCTCCTTGGTTTCCTTCTGGTCCGCGGGGATCTCATCGGTTTTCTTCTGACGCTTGGAAGCAGAATTGTTGGCGTCCAACTGATCAGATTTACGTTTGCTGTCTGATTTTACTTTCAGCCGCTCGGACGTACGCGTACCCTGCGCTGAATTGCGAAGGTAAGCAATGAAGTGCAGGTAGACGTTCTGTATGGCTCACGTTCATTCGATGGCATGTTCGAGCTTCGAGTAGGAGCCGCGGCAGGCGCAGGAGCCGCAGCTCTTGGCTCAAGGCTTTCGGTTGCATTCCAAAGGTTCAGATATTTGAGCCTTGGATTAGGGGGAGCGTATTCCGACACTTTGTAAGGCAATACTGGAGGATTTATAGTGGAGCTGCGTTTGAACTCCACGGTCGATCGAACATCGACCCATTTGAAGTTTCCGTGAGGCTTCTTCGCCGCTTTGTTCGCGTAAAACTCTTCGGTATCTTGGTCTTCGTCGTCGTCGTCGTTACCCGTACTAGCCTGGCCCGTGCCCTTGCCCTTGCCCTTGCCCTTGCCCTTACCTTTAGCCTTACTCTTAGTCTCTCTACCCTTCGCCGCACCCTTCAGTGCTTTCCGAGAGACGAGAACGACGTCGGGCTTGCGCGTAGACTCTGCGCCTTGGTGAGTTTGCTTTATATCCTTGTCGTTATAATGGAACAAGATGTCGGTGTCGTCGTTGTGCGGGGAAGCCTGTAGTCCAGAGACTTCCAAGCTCCTCAGTTTGAGGAGTGCAGCATTGGCCGCACGCACGAAGGACGGGTACGAACTAGGCTCTGTGGCGCAATTGGCACTGCGAGAAGGCGGTCAGCTTCTTTCATACAACGTGAACTCTCTACCTACAATTCGGTCAAGTTGTCCGTGATTTCAGGAGTGTTGTTGCAGATGTCCAGGACGGCTTCAAGAGAATCTTGAAGCAATTTCGACTTCTCACTGTCAGGACGCTTGTCGAAGCCACAGAGGAGCCCCTGCAGCATGTCGTCGGCTTCGCATTTTGTGTAATTCTCGACGTCCCGAGTGATCCATGGGCGGATATCCCTGACCCTGCGTGCATGGCAAAGTTTGATATATAAGTGAACGAGCAAAAAGAATGATTGACGTACCTGAGGCCTAGAGTACTGATGTGTTCGCTGACAGCGGCAGAGCCGACTGCAAGTGGGGTAGACTTAATCTCGGAGGCAGAATTAACGCCGTGAGGAGGCGTCTTTGGCGCAGTGGAGCCAGCAGCACTACCGTTGACCATGATGTCAATGAACTTAACGAGTTAGATGATGGAAAATGAAGTCGTTGTGGGCAATAAAATGCAGTTCGCGTTTCGCTTTTAAACCAGAACGACGCTATTGTTCTGACATGAAATCAAGACAACAGTCGATAACTCAGTAGAAATTCGAATGTTGATGGAGAAGTGCTCTGAGCCACAGTCATGGTTGAATTCAACTTCAGCATCATGACCTGGCACTGCCATCACATATCGACTTCTTTCGATCATTCTGGCGCCTACATACGCCCATCATGGCTTTCGGTTTTTTTTTTTCGTTCCAGGCGCAAAAAAAATAACTGTGATTTTGGATTACTACCGCGGGTTCATGCACCAAGCTTCGTCGTTCACCGCCGCCATGATTTATTCAACTTCCCACTCGTTCTTTTTTTTTCAGTGTGACAGAGGAGTCAAGTTCGCAGATCATATTCGTATCAATAACATGATGCCATCAGATTTCGAAGCTGCCATCCTGGTCCAGAGCGCTATCTTGATTACTACCGAGGGTTCATGCACCAAGCTTCGTGGCCGCCATGATTTCTCCAACGAGCATAATCGCAACAACCGACCCTTTCTTTTTTGCCAGCGTGACAGAGGAGTCAAGTTCGCAGATCATATCGGTATCGCTAACATGATACCATCAAATTTCCGAGAAGATGTCATCCTGGTCCACAGCGCCACTGACTTCTCTAATGAGCAGAATTTGCGACTTCAGTGAGTCAAATGATCATTTTGTGTTCTATCTGAATCATCACTGTTATTCGTTTATTTTTCTTGGCGATCCGCTCCAATGAGGAACAAATTCTTGCTACCAAGTTTCACCCGTTCGATGTGGCGTGCTGATTCGTGATTTGAAACAGCCTATCTGGCCTTCGCATTGCTACCATTATACATCGGATTTCAAGGTCGCCACCCTTGTCGCCACTGTGATCTCCCCAACGAGTGTAACCGTACGTATCATGACTCGATCTTATCTGAATAGGTCACTGGAATCGGTGGAAGAGGTTCTTACTTCTGATGAATCTGATCCTTGACAGATGGATGTTAACTGTATCCTGTCATCATTGTCTTGTTCGGGTCTTCCATTCACTGTCTTGTGCCCTACTAGAAGACAAAGCAGCTGATCCATCCTACATTCAAATACGACTCCTCCTTTGAGTGGTAGTGATGACGGTCACCAAATGGGTATTGCGAGAATTTTTCAGAGACTCCGGACTACAAAGAGACCTCGCCCTTGCTGGATACTCATCTAAGCGTAGATGTCACAAGAGAACAGCAATATTTGGGGTGAATGTCGGTTGCTCTGGATAGATCGAGTCATGATACGTTTATGCTCGTTGGGGAAATCACAATAGCAACAGGGTGGCGCAGTAAGAATTTGTTCTATTTCTTTTCAGTCTCTTTACACTCGACTGCAGGGCCCGGGGAAGGCTTACAACATCATGCAGACGCTCATCATCTCTCACCTTAGTACTGTACATCAAACATCATTGGCGCTGCCCTATGACTGACCGACGATCGCTTTGGCAGTGAGCACTGCGAAAGTTTGTTGAAAGTCGTGGAATGTTTAGTCGTCTCCCAGATCTCAGCCTCCAGGGTGCGATAGTTGTTTGAGCTCAACAATGTAGCACAAAACGGTCGGTCAGAGATGGGCTTCGTGTGTCACATGGACTACACGATTTCAGTGTGAGTTGGCATTGCCTCAGCAGAATCTCGAATGCTCACGATGATCACCTCATCGTCATGACAGACACTCGCGCCAATACCGCGATGAACACCGATCAGTACTGACGTCGTTCTAGGTCCATCGGTTCAACCGTTCTCACTTGTTGACATGGAGCCGAACTGTATGTCCTCCATAACCACGGCCTCCATCATTGGATGAATCACGCTTCCCAGTCTAGTTCTCATTCTAACTTTTATCGTGGTGCGATCACGTCGCACACAACAAAAGTTATACGTGACCCCTTTCACCCTTGCATCAACTGCGGAGCCACCACGGACAGAATCAAACAGATGTGGATCGAGCTCCGGAGCACCGACAACCTTGCCGTTCCGAATCCTCCGAGAGGCAGAGAGACCCATCCATCGTCCAACCTGACCATTTCGATCCGCATCTCACGCAGGATCATATGGATGAATCCCCCATCCTGTGTGGATCACATATCGTTTCAGTTGCGCAACGATAATGGCGCCTCCGCGTCCACTGTTGCAAGGCGTCAAACGGTCCTATTAGCTAGGAAAGCTGTATCCATCTCGCGTCCATGTCTCAGATCGTCATCTCCGTGACAGTGGAGACAACCGGGATGAACACATGGTTGCGAGTGATTATTCCCAAGAGTCTGGCCAAGAGCTGCCGGCTTACCCTCGTTCGACGGGATTCTTGAAGGCTGATCACGATGGTCAACGATGTCCTTTTCAACTCTCATTATTTTCTCTCAAACACTAGACATCACCACGGATTCTTGTATCTTTCTCGAGGTCGTGGCACCCTCTCTGTATTTGTTTCATACGCCTATCTGTACCATAGCCCATACCCCAAAAAATCCCAAACGTATGTATATGTGCGTGCTGCACGGATATCAACTATAATAATCATGCTCGCATTGCCTCGGCTAGACTGCGCCCAGCAGATGATGCATGATGGGGGAGCCGTATGCACATGCATCCCTGCAAGATGATCATGCGCTACCTATGACAGACCTGTGTTGAAAACCACCCAGAGATCGCTGAAACGTGGTCAATAGGCACGGCCCAGCATTCCTCGCCACGTGTAGTTAATTGTCATGTTGCGAATAATCATTGATCTGACATGAAAAGGTACCACCGGCGACACAGGAAGACCGATTTTAGATAAAACTTAGTAGTCGGCTCGGTTTAGTCTCTCATGTGAAGCTTTTCTGCGCGGGAACGAGGTTGAAGCGGGTATCATGATATTGCTCGTTTACAAGCATCAAAGACAATAGGAAATATATGGATACAGGAGTGGATGCGCAATCCAATCAGACACAGCAAGTGATAAAGCTACAAGTCAACGATACCGTGCAAAGCAAGGATATATATATAAAGACAGGGAGAGAAAAAAAGATAGAAAAACTCCGAGGCCAATAAAAGAGATAGCTATACATACAATGATAGATCGTGTAGGTGCCAGAGACGGGGGATAAAAATATGCACCGAGCTGAGACGATCAGAAGCCATAGTCAAAACCCATGATGGGAGGTCCGTGGGTATCATTAACACCGAACGGTGTGAACAAACCCTCGATGCCAGTCGAGTAGCCGGAGAATTGTGGCTCTATGATCTGCTGCTCACCGGGCCCCTGCAAGTAGTCCAACCCTTTCGCGGGAATATTGAACTGCTGTGACATGTCTTGCCACTGATCGAATTGGGCGGCTGCATGTTGCGGCTGGGGTGCGACAACGGGCAGAGACATGTCGGAGTGAGCAGGAGAGCCACTGTATGGGGATGAAGTCTGAGAGTTGTTGTACTCCGTCGGTATCCAGGCGGAGGGGTCATTGTGGTTAACGTTCAAGGCATTGATGTCTAATGACAGATTGTGGAGTGGGTCCAAGGGAGCAATACCAAAGTCCTGGGGAGCATGCGGAGGAAAAGTGGAAATCATCTCATTGAAGCTCTGAATTGTGGTGTCAACTTCGATCTGGAAGACAAAAGAATGGCAACACGTACGAATGCAGAATCTGGCTGCGTGGTTGGGCTAAAGAAGTTTGAGTTGAAAAACGATGGCTCAAACAAGCTCGTATCTGCCTCTGGAAGAGGAGACTCATCGCGCTGCCAGGAGGCGGGCTGCGCGACACCCCAATGACGGGGGATAGTCGGTTGGGCACTCGAAGCTCTACGCTGACCCAGGATATAGCGAGCAGAGTGGGATATTTTTCCGACGGGGGACTCAGGACGCGAGCCTGCGAAGAAAGGTAGGGTCGGGATGGTAATGCCTGTAGCACCGAACCGCGAATCCGGAAGGGGCACGGAAGAGGGTCGCCTGAGAGGATAGGCAGGGGTAGGGGTATACACCTTGTTTTCGTCAAGCTTGCGGATAGCAGCGGCGAGCTGGTCGCCCTTCATCCCGTCAAGGAGAAGTTGAGCGACTTCTTCGCAGCGGCGTTCATCTTCAGCAGTGGGAGTAGCCTTTTCTTTTTTCTTTTCCTTATTCTTGTTGTGGACTGGGCGAAAACGGTACTCGGGGTACCGTGCCTTGTGCTCAGCTTTGGCGTGCTTAGCCTTGATCTCCCATACGCGCTTTTCCTCGAGAGGGAGGGCCCTCCAGCAATTGCCTAGGTACATGATAAGAGACACGTGACACTATAAATATTTAGGGCGTACCGATAATCTTGGACAGGGAACCATGATTAGTTTCGATGGACCCTGGAACGTGCTTCTGACGGACAAAGTCGGCACGGAACAACATAAACGCATTCGGGGGACGTGGTATGTAACCTAGCGACCGGCGCTTACCAGGAGGTACACGTCTCCTGGTCGTGGTTGGAGGCAGCTCTGAAGGAGGGAAGAGCTGGGTAGTGGGGGAGGAAGGTTCTGGTGTTGGTGAGGACAAGGACTCATCAGTCTCTGTGAAGGTGACTGGAGTGACATTAGGTGCAAATGTAACTGATCGTGGGGAAGGAGTCGTGTTGATCCCATAGATGCCTGCCTTTATGGGATGAAGAGCCGCTATTCATCGATATCGTGAGCATGAAAGAGAAGATGAAAAGGAATGAAGAGACATACTGATGGCCAAGGATGAGCGTCGGCGGTGCGAAAGACGGACTGGTGGCATGTTTACAGTGATATGGATACAATAGCACGGTGGTTGATGGAAAGCACCCTAAAGCAGGATGGGGGGGGAACAAAAGGCGCTATTGTGTTTGGGCGTTCCTTATAGCTTTTCAGGCAGGGGATAATGGTTCTTCTCAAGCGAGTCCAGAGTGTGGGTGCAAAGATTTAATTTCATTCACAGGACCTACAACACCGCCTGCTGTTATTTTTAATTTTGGAGTCAAGTGTTCAAGGTCCTCATCCTTAGAAGCATCCCTCCATTTATCCATTCCCTTTGTATCAAAAACGGTGACTAGCTTGTCACTTCCTTTTTAGGTCACCGTCCTTACTCGCTCCCTCTTCGCGTCCTCGACTGCTCATTCGAAACCCATGAACAGAATGCTAAAACTTTGCATCCCGCTCATCATCGTCGTTCTAACATGCCTCGAGGCCTCACCATCGCCGAAGGTTCCCGTCGGTCAACGGCCTCGGTGATAAAAAAGAACTGGCACAACTCTCACGAACCATTACGTTCCGATATCCGTTTGTACTGCATTTGGAATCTGCCAGCGACTCACAGAGTTTACCCCTCGCCTTCGAAAAAAAAAAACAATCAATAAGCGAGCATATCGTCGATTATAGTACGATGATACACTAAGAATGCGTGATCGAATACACGAGGATAGGTTATCGTGGAACAAACAGGATCATCTCAAGGGGTGATGGAATCTCGTAATCCCAAAAAACGAGAATTTGAAACATGATCATCATGCATAGTGCGCCAGAAGCCATATCAGCCAAGCGAGGCTGGCAAAGCCAAAACATGATGGCGAGATATACCGCGAGCTGGCATTATCAATCAACGGAGCAGCCTGTCCGATCGTGTAGTTCAAGCAATTTAAGAGAATCGTGTCGACCCCAGAAGGCAACGGCGAGTCCGTGACATTCGGATTACTGTCGAACGTAGCGGAGTTGTTGTAGCCATCCAAAGTTAGCACGATGCTGGAAGAGCGGTAGTACTGTATAGCTTGTTCCGGTTCAGCGCCTCCTGGAGCGGATGAATTATACGGCGATGGAGTTTTTGAACTCAAAGATGACAAACTCGATGAGCAATTGGTGTCGATAGAATGGATCAACGAGCCGATCGTGCTGTTGTCAGATAGTACGTGGAAAGTAGAACCCGTGTGATTCGAAATGAAGTTGGCCTGTGCCATCGGTCCACCCAGTCTACTGGTATTGAACGAATCGCCGTACTGCAGAACGGGAACGTCAGTTGACTTCTGGTGCGAAGAAACAAAAATGTTACTTCAGAATCGTTCAAGTACTGACTGGTAGATCCACCCCAGACAACCGGCCAAAACCAAAACGGAAATCCTCGGCCCGCAACACCATAGCCAGAGTATCCAGGATATCCGCTACCATACATTCTGGATAACACCTCAGTTTCATTCATTCGCGATAAAATGATCTGTTGATGAACCTTGTACCGTAGATCTGTGCTCTTGTAGCCCCTCCAGCAGTACGTCCAGCAAATAATTGTCCAGTAGGAATCGTTTCGGGTTTCCCACCTCCATATCCGTACGCCGTTGCGGTGCTCTTGCCGCTGGCGGAGCCACCGGTGATTGGTACCTTTGATGTCTTGCCTGAAAAGTCTAATCAGATTTACCGCATTTTAGCGCCCAGCGGTTAGATCGACTAGACTTACCCCCACTCCCTGAGCTACCATTGGCGCCACCACCACCTTTGCCGCTGCCCTTTCCACCTCCACCTTTTCCGCCCCCACCACCACCTTTTCGGCGACCAACATCTTGGTATCGAGGACTTGTAATTAGAGGAATGCGCATTTTGTATGGAAGGAAAAAAAAAATGGAGTGCGGGAAAAGAAAAGAAACAAGGGATGCTTTTATGCAGTCCTACTGGCCCACAGCGCTTTGGCTATGGCAACTCTTATCTTAGAAGGTTGTGACCGTATTGGTAGGCTATGGTCATTGTAGTTGGGCAATAGCCAACGCGCAGGATTTGTGCAGGATGCAGATGCTGCAGCCTGCTGTTGCTTGCACCGTTATGGTCACAAATATACATGTCACGCGTCAGCTGTCACGCTCGCGTCTTGTTCTTCCACCTTCGCGATGGCAGCAGCACTTGAAAGACAAAGCCTGATAAAACTATGCTCGGGAGAAACATATGATAAAGCACAGACGATTCTACGACTTGCAAAAGCCAAAACTGGGCCTGGCACTGGGTATCTCGTCGCTCATCCAAGTGCGCTTCCAGGCATCTGCGCATACCTCGCGTCAGAAGAGTGCGCCATTGTCCGATTACTATATTTCAGAATCTGATGATAGCTTATAGATTGAATAATAACGATGTGTCGCAAAAAGCTGCTGTCGCGAGCGCTTGCATCAGTCAAAAGGATTTTACGAAGGCTTTGAACGTTGTGCGGACAGCACTTGGACCTACAGGGAAACAGCATACGAGGGGTCTTAATTACAGGTCGCTCATCGGCACGTACCGTGTAGCACCTGCCGATGAGGCATTGGAATGGATGCGCGAAGCAGAAAGTAGTATCCCAAAAGTTGACATGCTTCGTGCGCGTCATCAAGCCAGCACGGTGACTTGTGCCATATTTTACTGGATATGTCAGATTATGGAGGTCTGCATAATACATCCTTTTGATATTTTATCGCTCACGTCGTTGAACAGGTTCAGGGGCTGCAAGAAAAATCGCTTTGTCAAAACCATGGCGTCCCTCTGCCTGCGTTCAAATCTGTCATGAAGGCCCTCGACAAGGAATGTGATGCAGTCGCCGGCCGCATCAAATCTGAGCTACGAGAAATAAGTTTTTCTGGGGTGCCTTCGAAACCTCGGACTCGCCTTTCAACCTCGCCACACAAGTCTCCGACCAAATCCGCCATGAAAGTTAAATCACAGGATGTCACGCCAGTAAAGCCCCTGACACTAAAACGTTCCGTGGTGGCCTTCTCCCACAGCATCGTTGATGATCTCGATGATACCCTATTGCCTGAGACCCCGACTAAAAGACGTCGAGTTGAGTCACCTTTCAAGCCTGGCACAAGCGTCTCGCCCACAAAACGCACAATAGCGCCACAAAGTACCACGCCTTCCCTAACTGCGTTTGAGCTAGCTGTCAGGGGAGATTCTACCCCACGCCACGAACAACAAAAGGCTGCGTTCTCCATTGCCGTATCTAGTGGTTCACAATCACCATTACCTGGTCCTTCCACTCCGCGGCGCCCGCGAAGTCAACCATCTAGACTAGTTGAAGAATCAGCTGCAATGGAAGTTGACGAACAACGGTCGGAGCCTGCCGGGCTTCCTGTGCGCAAACGGTTTCGACCAGTGTTCCTGGACCGACAGCAGTGGTGCAGTCGAGACCCCAGACTTGCAAACATCTGGGATGCATCCATAGAGCATAGGACGAAGATGATGGGGTTGTATAATCATCCATTTGAGCAGTATCGCCCTGTCGTCACCTCTTGAGTCATGTGAAAGCCAAGGTTGGGCACATCGCCGATATCATCACAGTTTAGTTTAGATCATAATTGCTGTATTCCACTATCCGTGGACATCATGACACTGATTGACCAGTCCACGCTCAAATATTAGGTGATGCTGGTATGTTCCCTCGGCGTTCTTATCAAAGCCGACAGCCACGTTGGCTATCCAATCTCGTAGCACCATAATGACACGTACGAGGAAAGTTAGAGTTGGCACTAGGACTGCCATCATGTAACTGATGTGTTTGCCTGGTCACCTGCCAAACGTGCGACTTCAGGGATGGATGTGGCGGACAGAAGCTTGATACCATTTGCGAATAAAACAGATTGTTGTCGATAGGATCAAACTTGACGATGCGGTGCAGCTCATTCAGTATCTTTCTTTTTTTGACGTGTCCTTGGGTTTGCACCTATGATTGATACTGGTCCAAAACATCTTTAAATGGTCTTTAATAATACTTTCGAGTTGTGAGTCTCTGTAGTAGATGAACAAAGGGGTGAAAGCAAGCGCAATCCTCGAAGCTGCTTCATTAGTAGGGGCGGTCGATCGCCTAAGGGTGGTTCTATATGGAACCGTATATCGGTTATAACAGCTCCGTACTTTGTGGGTGCTCTTGTGCGGTTGTGTAGGTGAGAACGAGAAAAAAAAATGTTTGCTTTGAATGCAAGTAAATCGTCTTCGGGTGGAAGTCCCGATAGTGGCCCTGACCTGTGCAAAAGTGAGCCTGCGATTCCCACATGCGACGCGACGAAGTGAACCTCGAATCCCCAAATTGTACGAGCCACAAGATCACGTATCGAGGTGGGCCTTAATGAGGAAAGGTAGTAAGAAGTCGTTCGCATGAGCATAGCTGTGGCATCTGTGTCAGCACAGGCATCCGCTTGAGTATGACTGCGGGCCCATCTGTGTCAGTACAGTCATCTACGTGAGCATGAGTGCAGGGATCTGTATCAATACAGGGATCCGCATCAATGCAGGGATCCGCGTCGGTGCGAGCGTCTGTCTGCGTCCAGGAAAATGCAGGGATCCATATGCGCACAGCAGCAGGTGTTAGCAGGAACGGCACTCTTGCTCGCCACTTGCTCTCTACTCATGACCAGTTTGCACGCTGAACTTGCCTTCATTGCATGCGGATGCACCAAGGATCTGCACTATCAGAGCGCACCCGAGTTTGTGGTAGAAAAGGTCCGAAAGGCGGCAGGCGGCAGACAGGGGCGCGTGTGGTAGGCAAAGAAGAGAAGCCATGTGCCGCACAGCCGCCACACAAAGTCCTTATTCTAACCCTGGACTTGTACCTCGCTTCGGGTAAAATTCCAAACTTCTGACATACAATAAGGTCAGTTGACGGAGAGAAAATCTAGCGGGAGCAGGAGATAAGTAGCCCTACTGTAGACTGGCTTGTTGTGCGGAAAGTATTAAGCCAGGTTGTCAAGCAACTAGTCTTTAGAGTATGTTTGGCTAGTGAGGCGGCGGCGCAAGTACTTGTATGATTGTTGGTGAGGTTTTGTCCTCCGTAATTTGGACGATGAAGGGTTGTCTGGCAGAGACCTCACGTTTCGCAGACGTCCACAACAGGCTCCAGGAGTGGGTTGTTATGAAGTTCTTGTTACGGGAGCTTTCGTGGTGCGAACGAGTGGTTTCCACATCAGAGTACGAGCAATGATCGCCTGGGAGACGTTACCGGGGATGACCGGGACCGTTAAGCCACACTGATGCTGCTTTGTTTGATGATTGCCATTGAGCGTCCCTGCCACAATTTTTCGGTATCAGTGATGTGTGGCCGTGAAGATAAACAGTGGACCAGTACCAGCCGAGTCAGTTAGCAATTGAGTTACCTTTTAGGACATTATGTGATTTTGTGGATATTTTTACGCTCAGACATAAATGCAAAACCCGACCGACTTCAAGCCAGTTGTGGTCTCTCGCTCCTTTAAATCCAACCGCAATGGAGGTCATCGACATCCCTTCTTCCCCTGAACTACTTCCTACCGTATCCAGAGTAACTCGTAATCAAAGTCACCACCATCGGTCGCAAAAGAGAAGGATGCTGCCGCCACCAGCACCGAATCTACTATTGACGGAAGAAATCATCGAAATATCGGACTCTGACAGTGAACTCGAAAATAAACTGATGTCCCCGAAAAAGAGGCTATCGGTGGACACACATACAGTACCAGGTCCTTCGAAGTTGCCAGTTATCGAAGCGCCTCTTGATGACTTGCTTACGGGTGCAGCTGTACCGGCTGCCGGATCATCTCAGAAACCTCAAGACAGAGTCGCTTCCGCTCCGCTGTTTTATTTAGATGATGAGGACCCAGAGACAGAGTTACAACAGATGCCGATGCAACAGCTAGATATCCCTCCAGTGCCAGTGCTTCCACTCGCGCCACTTCCTCAACCTTCTGAACCACTAGTGGAGGCCCAGGCTTCAGCCGACACGTATGTTGCTCGCGTCCTTGAAATTGTCCCAGATGTAGAACCCGCACATGCTCTCGGGCTTGCGGAGCAATTCATCCATAACTCAGCTAATTCCGGACAGAACGTCCTAGAGCTTGTCCTCCATTCTATCCTTGAGGACCCAAATTACCCTAAAGTTGATAGGAAGGGAAAGCGGAAAAGGCTTGAAGACGATGAGGAAGGTGCTGCTCGTGGGCAACCTGTTCCTAAGATTGATTATGGCGCGACAGACAGAGAATTCAAGGGGGGTATGTATTATTTTGAACTGGCTTTGGTATGTATCTTTTCTCTTTTTATGATTAATTGTCCTGATCTCTTAATAGGATCAGCTTATGGTTGACTTTCCATACGCGCCGAAACCGTATCTCCGAACGCAGCTACTCAAACGTCGACTTTATGCTCCAACTCATTTGTTTCTGGCTGAGAACCGGGATCCTCCACCTTACGTTCCAAAATCCATTCCATCAAGAGTTAGCGGAAAGGGGAAAGAAAAACATGATCCCGAATTCGATGCAGAGCGACAATGGCTTCTGCAGCGACAAAATGCACCTGTACAGCCACCTCCTGATCTAACAAATGACAGTGATGCATGTGAAGAATGCGAAGACGGTATTGAATGTGGTTGTTGCTTCTCTTCCTACCCATTTGTCTGTTGCTTTCCTTGTTCTCCCCATATACATTATCTGACGTCGTGGGTAGGACAAGATGATCCAGTGTCCAGAAGCGCATCTATTCTGCAAAAGTTGCATGTCTTCTTACGCATCCAACCTTTTGGGCGAGCACAATCCCAATATCGTTTGCATGGATCAGTCCGGATGCAAACTTCTCTTTCCGCAGTCCGAGTTGGAACGTTTCCTTACACCAAAGCTACTTGAGCTGTACCATCGCGTAAGGCAGCACAAGGACATTGAAGCCGCTGGCCTTGAGAACTTGGAGGAATGTCCTTTCTGCGATTATAAGTGCGTGATCGAGAACGAGATGGAGAAGCTCTTTCGGTGTGAGAACGTGGACTGCGGTGCGGTGAGCTGTCGAGAATGTAAGAAGCCTGTACGTATCCAAACTTTTCTGCAGAAGAGGGTCCAATTTTATCGTTCATTTAGGACCATTTACCGAAAAGTTGCAAGGGTAACTTCGATTCTGTATCCATTGACTGTTGCGCTCACAATGCTCTCCAGAAGTAGAATCGGACAAACACCTTAACGTGCAGCACATCGTTGAGGAAGCGATGAGTATGTTTGCATGATGATCATTAACGGCTTATTTTGACATTGTTTTTTTATATAGCTCGTGCACTAATGCGAAACTGTCCGAAGTGCCAGAAAGGTTCGTTCTTACAAACCATTTCAATCAGTAGCTCTAATCATAGTTGCACACAGCATTTATAAAAGAACACGGTGTAAGTTTTTTCTCCTCGTGATAAGAGTACATGCTCACCGTACACCTTAGTGTAACAAAATGACTTGTCCGAATTGTCGAACTGTATCATGCTATATATGTCGGAAGGTCATTGATGGATACGAACATTTCGGAAAGGTAAGTCACGGCACTGTAATTTTTTCGTCATGAACCTCAACCTCAAATCATTAGCCACCTCCTCAAGTCGGACAAGTCGATAAGAGCAAATGCCTGCTATGGGATCCGGTAGAACAGCGGCATGCAAATGAGGTATCAGGTTCGCCTGCTTATCATGGATCAATTTTGTTAACGGCGCCTTATCTATTCAGGTTCAAGAAGCAGTTAAGAAGACAATGGAAGAGCTCAAACGCGATCACCCTGATCTTGATGAGAGCAACATCAAGATAGATTTACCAATTGCCGGTCCGGCTCAGCCAGTGCCCAATATGCATCCACCTCCGCTCATCAACGCTGCATGGGGCTTGCCAGCCTTACCGAATGCACTAGGTCTAGTACCACATGCACATCCGGCACCGAATGCATATGGTCTAGCACCGAATGCTTATGGAGTACCCGCTTATGGCTTACCCCACGTAGACTTCGCAGGAAATATGTTAAATGTCCAGGCTCAGCATGCTCAGCAACGGATGTTAGAGGCTCAGCAGGTCCACCAGCGAATGGCGCTCGCACAGCGTGTCCAGGCTCGAGCACAGCTGCAGGAGCGAATGGTGCGGGCACAGCTCGCCCAGGTTGACTTAATGCGTCAGATAGAATTCAGGGACGCTCAGATCAGACGTCAAGCGGCGCTGAGAGAAGATTTTCGTTTGATAGCTGGAGCCGAGAGGGACAGACACGCTATGCACATGCCGCCCCGACTCCCACCAGTTCCACAACCCGTCGCTGCGCCCAGGAGGCCTCAGAGACCCTAAGGAAGGAAACTGTAATTTCTTGTGCATTCTCTCCTGTTATGATAATGTTGCTGCTATCATACGTTATACTTAGTCGTATATACCTATAAATTCCTACGTACGCTTAACCAGCGTTCTGCTACGTAGTATACTACTACACCATATTCAATTGGTGCTCGAGATCGGATTTTTGCATCTGTATCTGTCAATATCTAGATACACCGGGACCACTGCGCATGTTGGTCAATCAAAGTCTCGAAAAGTGGCGGGAGCGTTGCGAAAACTGTGAAATTGGCGATATTTCTAACATCACCATACTCACAAGTATTCGGAAGCGGCGAAATTTTTAGTCTAATCATTCATGCAGAAAGGGATTACCATGATTGTCTCAGCGACTTAAACACCTTATGATAACGACAGAGATTTTCTACCACCCTCGAATTTTCTTCTAATAAGTATGTAGTATAGTACCGAGTACAAACAATGAAAGCAGTATAAATGATTATATTAGGCGCATCTATATTTGAAGTCTGCACGAGGGTGCCGATTGCGAATCAAACAGGGATAAAGCCAACGCTACGCCAGTATCCGATCCATTTAGCTACGTCCCTAGCTCCCAGTGGGTTTGAGGCCAAGGAACGTAGTGTCGGAGACTCCTGTAATGCTTTGGCGCACGAGAGCTCTGGCTCTAAGAAGTTGTCGGTGTTCGTATTCCGTCTCCGAGTGGTATACTTGAAAAAGTCAAGCAACCTCAGCGCAGGATTGTTTTTCGAATATTCGCCTGTTTTAGATGATGCCTGTTTTTCCAAAGAAGCGAGCCACTGGGTATAGGGGACCAATGGAACGTTCATGATGCGAGCAGCTTCCTGCATCGGAATAGTCCATGAAACAGGACTTGGATGTGTCAAGTGATACACGCCAGGGGGTGAATCAAGCATCTCCACCATCGATGTTGCCGCCACATCAATTGGAAGCCAATTTACAGTCTACAAACTCATCAGTGATGATCATATGACAACGAGAAAAAATGAACTCGCATTAGCACGGTTGGGTAAGACACCGAGAGAGAGGCCTGATTTGATCATGGATGGTATCCATTCTGTTACTTTCCAGAACCCCTTACGCCCTCCGGTTAGCTGTCCAAGGCGAATAATTGTTGGCTTCAGTCTCGTAGCATCAGCAGCTGCTGCCAGGACGTGCTCTGCAACCCATTTGCTTTCGATGTATCCCGCGCCAACAGATATACTGGGGTCATGTATAAGAGCCTCCTCTACGGCGCTCGATGATGTGACACCTGCCAGAATGTCAGTAATACAGCGCGTCGTAATTTACGGAAGGTACTTCACCACTCAATACACCGACTGTGCTTGTGAAAAGTAATTGAGGCGGAACTTCCCAGGGCGAGGAAATGGCGAAGTCCACCAAGTTCCGCAGACCGTGAATAGCGTGATCAAATGCAGCGAGGGGAATAGCGAAGTCCATTGGCCATGCTATATGCTTGTCAGTACGGAAGTGACATAAAGTAGGGGATTTCTTACCAACGTGAACAATGTGGGTGACGCTTCGACTCATCTAAAACAAGATTAACATCGCTAATTTTTCTAAAAAAAAAAAGCCAGTGCTCACTTCATTGAACGTGTCAGTTGAAAGCCCAAAGTAAGTTTTATCTAGAGTGCCTTCCAAATACACGACCTTGTCTGTTTCCAGTCCCGTCGGGTCGAGGGACTGTGCCTGGAAAATCTCTTGATGACGTTCCAACATAGTCGGACTTCCGGGCTTGGTACGGTTGAGAAGGAATATGCGAGTGATTTGTGGTACATTGAGTAAGCATTCCAGAAGGTGTGCGCCCACAACGCCTGTGGTACCGGTTATGAGAACAACGCAGTCCCGTGAGCTGAGAGAGGAAGGTAGCAGTGTCTTGGGGCTTTTGAATCCAGACGTGTACTTTGCAACCAATGATTTCATCTCAGATACCTGGTGAAGCTCAGATGCGCTCCTCTGCTCTGCTTCAGTAAGTATGGACAGCCGCTGGTCTTCTAATCGCGCTTCTAGACTCCGAAGGGTTACATTTGCAAGGAGCTGGGTTTGGCTGATAGAAAAGAAGGGGTTCAAGGCAAAGGATAGCCTTGCAGCAGATAAGGAATCCAGACCGTACACCGTTAAAGGAACGTCGGGAGACAAATCTTCGCGCGCAATGTCTAGGGTGGCGCACAATATGTCGCCTATCGAAACACTGTCCTTTGAGGTCGGCGCTCCGTCTTCCATAATCGCCCGCTCGGGTAACAAGTGACTATACATGGGTGCGTTTCCAAGGTTCGCGCAGACCGCTTCCCAGTCGAAATCCGGAATGTAAAACCAGAAAGGACCATCAGCAAGTTTCTGAATGCCTTCCTCGATGAATTGGAAGATCCCTAACGGAATATGATGTCATGTTTCGCGGTAGAGGGCAACTTGAACTCACTCTGAGATGACATCCCCCAATCTGTCAAGTGTTTGAACTTCGTCGGACCCGATGTAGCGACGAATGAGTCTGTGACTGCAGGTGTTACGATAGAGAATGCGTTTGACATTGTGCGCAATTTGCCGTCCAACATAGTGTTTGCTCTGAGGAACGTGAGCAGTTAATTTATGCGCACTACTCAAAAGACGCACGCAGCATAGTTAGTTTGGCCTGCATTCCCGAATAGTGCTGACACTGAGGAGAATGAAATCAAGAAATCCAGCTTGTTCGTGTCAGTTGTGTGGCATAGCACATCTAAGGCTCTGATCTTCGGATCGAATGGCGCATCGAAGTTCTCAGCGGACAACCCGGAAAAGAGACCATCCGCCAAGACCACGGAGAGCAACATGCATCCCCCGAGCGGATTCTGGAGTCGTTTCACCAACGCTTTCATGTCAGGTTCGCAGAGGGCATTGATCGCCTCGATACGCAGAATTAAATCAGGCAGGCTCTCGAGATATGCAATGATACGCAGAGATGCAGTGTCTCCCCTGCGCTCAATTCCAGTACGCCCGGACCGCGATGTTAGAACGATTTCCCGAGCCCCATTCTAATTGGTCGACTTAGTACGATTAAGATGAAAAGAAATATGCTGACCTTGTACATCCACTGGGCAATCTGAAGTCCAAGGCTGCCGAGACCTCCCACCAGTAGATATGCCTTCTTGTCACTGAAGAGATCTTTCTTCACATGGACGGATTCACCAGGCATGACGGTTATAATCTCGCCTAGGTTGGACATAGGAATCTTGAGTTCGTTGCCAACTATATTTGATCCAAGACGAATAGCATGGCCAACCAACCATGGATCGCAGGCGAGGAGCGATTGCAAGCCCTGTTTAGGATGCTTCCACGGAAACATCCTCCCATTAGCCGTCAAGAGGCGCGATAAGAGCTGAAGCGTTGCCGTGTCTTTGTATTCGGAGACAATAATATTGAAGTGACCATTGGGAAGGCAGCTAATTTCGGAGTCTGTCGCATTTTGCGTTAGAGTAACGACGTGAAAGCCTTGGAGAAGGTAGAGTTGAACAATCAGCATGCTGGTCTGAGTATCTGCATGCGTCACAAGAATTTCTCCACGGAATCTTCCCGGGTTCTCAAAATATGCAGAACCAACAGCAAGGACTGATATGGCGAAGGCGAGAACAGGAGGTCCCATCGATCTATTAGCATTCAGGTCCACGGGAGCATCCACCATGCTATCCAATGATGATACGATGGTATTTCCAACAGGAGAAGCAGATATCCCCATGACACTTTTGTGCGAGCTACCCAAGGAGCCAACGAAAGACCATATCTGATCGTCCAATAGGCTAGCACTTTGCACATGCACGACAGCCGAATGGCAATCCGAAGGTGGAGGCGAAATATGAACAACTGCGGACTTCTCGAGTTGCCATGGTTCGTGGAAGTTGAAAGGAGAGACCTTCTTCGGACCCTCGCAAGGTGTTATTCTGGGGACATGTACCAATCCGGATGCGTCCACCATAAGCTCGGTCTCCACTTGAGGCATCTTGGATATAGCTTCAACTGCCCGTCTTATGCTTTCATCGTCCCAAACCGACTCGAACACTACAACCCAAATTGTCCACAACAGATATTCCTTCCGTAGGGATCGCACGAATCCGATAGCCCCGTCCCCATCCGGACCAGCAGGTGCCGTAAAATAGATGTAGCACGGAGCAGTGGCGTCCTGTGCAGATAATATCGGTTGAAGATCTATCTCCTTTCCATGCTCGTAAGTGATGATGTTGAGAGGTGACAATGACGAAGAAGTTATAGCATCTGTGCCCACTAGGGCCGTTGAGCTGTCTCTGGTTTGGGCATCCACAGGTAATTCTTCCTGGGTCGGGTGACGGCACGAAGACAGGTCGAGTGAGATGGGCTCATACATCAAATCGAAGCGACATCTCGGTTGGTATAGAGAGGACTCTCCGTGGAGCGCAACTTCGAATGATTGCATGGTGCAAAGATGGTTTCCGTCTTCATTCAGGAGGGCGACATCATATGTCAGAGATTCTGTTTTGAAATAAGTGACTGATAAAATTGTTGATGATAAGCAAACTCACGAGGTGTCCACTGGCGAAAAACAACATGAGCATAGAGAGACCGCGGGAATGGGGATGTAACAAGTGTTTCATGAATTGTCAGTTTTTGCAGACGAGAAGGAAGATAATACAAGGTTTTGTCGGCGAGATGGGTAAAAATCGGATGGACTAGAATATGTATCGAAGAATCGAAAATGACGGGGTGGATCTTGAACATCTCCAGCCTATCATTTCTGTCATATAAACATCTCGGCAAAACAAAAGGAACAATCATACCCTGGAAGGTCTCCGACATCACCACGGATTTGTACTAGAGCTTCGTCGCGCCCTCCGTCAGTACCCCGGTAGCAATCCAATACTCTTCGGTAATCTGGTCCATATTGAGCGAAGTGCTCGAGCGCGTCATAAAAGCCTGTAATAGTACGGTGAGTGACAAATCCCGACAGCGATTTATACGGACCTTCAACGCTAACTCGCGTACAGCGTTCCTTTATTGCCTGAATGTCCAGAGCTGGTAAGGCTGGAGTTGGAGAATCAAGAGATAGGTAGCCCTCAGCATGCAAACGATCATACTAACTGCCAGTGAGTCACGGAGCGAAGAACAAGACAATTTCACATACCTGGGGAGGTGCAATGGACGATTGTGATGGATTGAGTAGAGCAGAACGCACTGACCAATGAGGTCCTTCAGTACAAATATCAACTGGCACAGGTTGATCTCCAGATAAAGATAGCATGAACGAGAAGTTGACATCCCATAATTGGCTTGCGCCAAATTCCAATGCCTGGAAAATAAATATGAGCCGGGTGCACCATCCTCGGAATTTGCAAGTGAGCACTTACCATTTCAAGGAAACCTGCAGCCGGCATGATGGGTTCGCCTTGAATCACATGTTGAGCCAGATAAGGGTGTGTCTGGGCGTTGATACGGAGCTGAGAATAGTTTAAAGGTCCGTTACGAGGTTGACAAATTCTCTTGATAGAAGGAGAAATTGGGTACAAGGGGAGCTTCTTGTGGGAAAAGGGGTAGACGGGCAGTTCGGGGGTATCTGCAATGCATCCGTTGAGAACGTTGAAGTCGATACAGCAGTGCCCGGCAACCGCAAGCTTGCCCAAAGCGTCAAGGAAAGTAGTCACGTCTCCTTGATTGGCCTTGGGCCTGCGCAAGGGACAGACGACAGTCGTTTTCTCGCCGCCGAGAGCTACGAGATAACTAGCGAGAGCTGGGTGAGGTCCTATCTCTAAAAAGGTCGGAGAACCTATTTCGTGAACCATACGTTGGATTGCTGCCGTAAATTGCACTGGACCACGTGTACCAGACCAATAATATTCCGCACTGAATCGGTCGTGTTTCAGCATACCACTTTCAGTGGAATATGTTGGAATTTGAGGCGGCTGTGAAGGGTAGCGATCGAATATGTCTGTCACCAATCGCATAAATTCCTCGCGACACGCGTCCATTAGTCTGGAATGCACAGGAACAGCGGTATTCAACCGCTTCGCGAAAAATCCTGCAGCCTTTGCGTGTTCGACTGCGAGGTCGATATCGGTAGATGATCCCGATAGAGTGACGGCGCCGGGAGTATTGTAGCAGCCAACATCCAAATCAGCCTTGCCCTGTTCAGTATGTATCTGAGATATAATTTTCTGTGCCTGTTCAGGGGAGCATGAAACTGCCGCCATTGCACCTTGAGAACCTTCGACGATTGTCATGGCCCGTCCACGAGCGATTGCAAGTTCCACAGCCATGGCTTTGGAACCTGCACCAGATGCGTATAATAAGGCAGTCTCTCCTGCAGAGTGGCCCACTATCGCGGTGGGTTTCATCCCAAGACTCACAAGAGAGTCGAAAATAGCGATTTGAAGCATGGTTAGAGCAGGAAGAGTCACTGAGATAGGCCAGACACTGCCAAGTACTTCTGTGGGATCAGTTTGTTGAGCGAAAAGACCGGTCTGTGCGATAAGTGAAAATCCAGTTGAAAGCTTGTGTATTTTATCCATTTCAAGAATGCTACTCTGGAAAACAGCGCAGGAGCTGAACAATTCTCTGCCCACTGATAAGGATCAGCATCAAGTTATGAATTGTTTGAGAGGTCTCACTTTCGAAGTGTTGAGGGCCTTGTCCGGAAAATACAAACACGAGCGGAGGAGGAGTGCGTGGAGCGAGAACAGGCTCATTAAAACGAGGAGGCGAATTCGATGAAGCAACCGCATAGGAACGCCAAGGCATAGACCTGGATCGACGTCCAAATGTCGCTGCTACAGTGGGTAATTTTTCACCGTCTATGGCTCGTATAGATTCGCCTATGGCTGCTGTTGAACGCGGAGACAGGCCACCCGCAACCAAAAGGCAAGGAGTATGAATGGCACTCAACTGCCAGAACGGCGTTACAGGATTAGCTGTAGGAGGACCTTCAACGACACAGTGGCCATTGGCACCGCCAATTCCGGAACTTGCTAACGAGATCAGCGAGCGTCCAGTAGTGGATTGACAAGGTAACGAGGTTGGCGATAAGGCGACACGGAGATGGAAGTCCTCCCAACGAATAGCCGGATTAGGGTTGGAGAGATTGACATTGGGAGGGATAGTTCCTGTCCGAAACATGGAACAAACCTTACACAGTGACGCAAGAAATGCCGTAATCTCAAGGTGACTAGATGGAAGGAAAATGAGAACAAATTGTCTATGGCAATTCTGTCAACATAACATACCCTATATTTCCTTTCACACTGCCTATATAGAGCTCCTTGTTATCATCCTTCAAGAAGCTCTCTCCAACCCAGTTGGCTTCCGTTGGATCGCCGATTGCAGTGCCTACGGTCATACACTCTTAGCAAAAGTAAAGACCTAGATCGTTGAACTCGCCTGTAGCATGAAGCTCCACGAAATCGACTTCGTGTGGCTGACGGCCAGCTTGCTTGAAGGCTCTCAGCATTGCATCCCTTTGAGCATAGGCTACAGGGGAGTTTGCAGGAGCGAGTGAACCGGACGAATTGACGCCTGTTCCTAGAACCTGTGAAGAATAAGAACGATAATCTAGATATGATCAGGAGATCCCGCACAGTAGCATAGATGTGATCATGATCAAGGAGAGCCTGTTCAAGAGGTTTTAAGACCATTACGACGGCACCCTCTCCCCGAGAAAATCTTGGAATGATTATTAATCAGTGAGTCGGACAGATCAGCAATGCACCTCACCCATTAGCAGAGGCGTCGAAAGGTTTGCATTTACCATCTGGTGCAAGGATTCCACCTTGAGTGTACGCCAGCCAATCCATAAACCTAGCAAATTACGGCGTTTCAATCTTCAACTTTGAGAAATGTTGCTAAAATAAACTTGCCTATGATTCAACTGACAACCACCCACAAGTGCTGCGTCGCACTCTCCGTTGCGTACGGCCTGAATAGCGAGATGGAAGGCCGAAAGACTGGAGCTACAAGCAGTATCGGTGGGGATAGAAGGTCCACGTAGATCCAAGTGGTATGACACACGATTGGCAATCATTGAAGGAGAATATGCCAATGAACCACGGGCTTCGGTTTCATCCTGAGACACTAGGGGTGAGCCAGTGAGAGATAAACCAGGTGTCACCAACCTCGCCGGAAATCATCCAAACGTCATGAGCAACGCTTGCCATGTAAGCGCCAATATTCTTTCCTCGATAATCGATTCCAGAGTCCAACAAGGCCAGGAACGACAACTCAATGAGCTTTCGTGTTCCGATTGTCATCATCCTGACGTCCTTGCTGCTGATTCCGAATTCAATGTGATCGAATAAATCTAAATCTTTCAAAAATGTGCCATGTGTGGCAGCCACTTCACCGATATTAGTTCCCTTAAGACTAGAGATAAAGTCAATGATTGAATGGTAGCATGTCCAAAGGAGACAGACGCACGCGTCTATGTTAAATCTATCGCCGGGAATTTTCTCGTAGGCTTCGTGTTCATTCATGAGAAAGTCAAAGAACGATGAGTAGTCGAGGTTCCTTGTTCCATGAGGACCGCTTGGTAGCTCTGCAGAAATGCCGACCTGTCAATTGAAGAATAAAAAATGTTAGGCAGCACCAAAATGGTCGGCTAGAAGCTCACTAGTGCGACAGGGAGTTGCTCTTGTGAAAAAACCATGATACTTCTTGTAGGAAGGCGAGTAATAATGAAATTCAGTAAGGAGAGAGCGTCCTTTTGAACCTATGTGCGTCAGGAAAGTTCGCAGGATAAATCAGACGTCAATGTAGATCATAGAACACAGCAAGTCAACCGTTGACACTGCCAGTTTAATTGTGATCCGAGTCAAACACATTGTGTCGAAACTTTGTTTATGAGCGGCCGCTACTAGAACTATGCAAGCTAGTACCAGATGAGACTGAGGTATGGACGCAACTGAGCTGGGCTAGAGCAAGAGTTAAAAAAAAATCATTTGAATTTGAAACATCTTGATGCATTGCGGTACGTGTGCGTGAGTATACATTTCAGTGGAAGCGCGCGGGGATAGCATTACAGTGCCATTGCCGCGGCAGTTACTGTCAGGATGAGCATTACATAATATCCTGAGTTTGTGGGTGCTAAGCATCGGTGGCGCAATATCAGCTTGTGCCGTGACCAGACAACGGAAATGATAGTACGGCGCTTGGTCGGGCACCGAATTGAGGTCAGGGCTGATTGCCCTGAGCCTTGGTCGATGATGATCAGCGCTCACGGCGGTAAACCGGTGCCAGTACTTCATTTATGCAATGGATGGAGCCGCGGCGAAGCTGATCCAGCTGCGGCATCTTGATTGATGCCATTGATGATTCCTGAAACACTGGCACTTTGACTTTCATAGGCCTATCATTATGATCGCTGGGTCACAATTCAAACAGGTGCACTCGGTGCTCAGATCCTAACTTGCACTTCAAACGAGGTCCACTGAATCATGCCCAGCACTAGTGACCACGATGTCCCTCATGCATTGGAACCCGTTGACACAGAAAAGCCTCCCCCGCCTCCCCCACCCTTCGTAGAAGGGGGTCTCCGAGGGTATATGACTATATTTGGCGCATTTTTTGCTTTGTTCGCCGCCTTCGGTCAATCCATGGCATTTGGAAGCTTTCAACTCTGGTATTCACAAAACCAGCTTGTAGAGTATACCGCGTCCGATATTTCGTGGATCGGCTCGGTTCAGCTTTGGGTCTTCTTCGTTTCAGTGAGTTACTCAGTTACCACTCAATCCTGAATTTGATTCATTGAATACTTGGAAGGGGGGTGTTGTTGGCAGGCTCTTCGACGCATACGGACCAACATGGCTACTCGCTTCGGGAACCATCATCCTAACATTTTCTCTCATGATGACATCCCTAGCTACAAAGTATTACGAGTTCATTCTGGCCCAAGGGATCGTCTTTGGTATTGGATTCGGACTTTTGTGAGTTTCCTAAACAGAGTCCGCCCACGGAGCCTAGCCTTACCTAACGACGTCTCCTTGTTTAGATTCTTTCCATCAATGAGTGCTACCGCCACACATTTTATGAAGTATCGAGCCACTGCTCTTGGTATTGCTGTAGCTGGCAGTAGTGTAGGTAAGATTACTTTTTTTGGTTCATCACTGTCGCTGCTGACAGAAATTTGCAGGTGGAGTTGTTTTCCCCATCATGTTGCAACAACTCTTCGACAAAGTAGGCTTTGGCTGGGCAGTCCGCATATCCGCATTTGTGTGTCTGGCATGTGGCGTTATAGCCACCGCCCTTGTGTCCAGTCGACTTCCAAAACGTAAACCAGGCCCATGGATCGATGTGTCATCTCTCAAGGATGTTAATTATGCAATTTTCGTGCTAGGAAGCGCTGTCACCTGCTTGGGTAAGCTGTCATGATGTCTAACGTCTATTATCTTTCATACATCCGACAGGTATTTTCGTGCCGATGTACTATATTGTACAGTACGCCCAAGAATACCACATCTCTCAGTCCCTCGCATTCGGGGTCTTGTCGATAATGAACGCAGGCAGCGTGTTTGGCCGCATTGCACCATCAATTATGGCAGATCGAATTGGAAGATTCAACACGTTGATTCCGTCCACGGCTCTGATGGGGATTTTTACTCTCGCACTATGGCTCCACGCACACGATTTGGCAACCATTACGACATATTCCGTTTTTTACGGATTTTTTTCTGGAAGTTGGTTTGCAATGCAGACAAGTTGCATCGCCCAGATATCAAGAATGGATAAGATTGGAGTCCGAATGGGAATGGCTTACAGCTTGGTTTCTTTCCCGTGCGTTCCAATATTCGATTCTGATTACACCGACAAACTTAATAACTCATCAGCGCCCTTGTTGGCGAACCAATTGCTGGTGCGATATTGACTCGGGATAATGCAAGTTATACGGGTATGATAGTTTTCACTGGAGTATCTCTGCTTCTCGGCTCTCTCATTACCCTGGTTGTCAAGTTAAGAATCAACCGTAGTCTACTGGCGAAAGTATAGGCAGCAATAAACTGGCTATCCTAGGCCAGTTCCGTACGTGAATGTAATACTACCTACAATAGTCAAGAAGGATAAGGCGCTATTACTGTAGGTTACGATTGAAAGACCAGTATTAATGTTTGTATGTACAGCCATTGAATACACACTGGTTTTTGACTGTTCAGGTTCATAACTCCGTTGACATCTCCTAGCCAAGAAGTTCCCCCGTGATCGTCACTCGTCACACCGAGATGTACAAAAATAGTTCGCATCGTTTATCTAGTTCCCGATGATATAAACATGACATGATGGCATGATATGATTAATACTCAGTTATCAAGGATCAGAAGTAAGAACCTCTTCCATTGATTCAAGTAATCCAGCACGTTCTCCATCTTTACGACATTAGAGTTGTAATCAGCGCCAAGGTCAATCACGCCCCCCCAAGACGAAAGACGAAAGAATCTAAATGTTCCACTTAATTGCATTGTACAACAAAGATATGGAAACTCACGGGCCAGGATCGAATCTATTCAGAGATGTGAAGAACTTGTTCACCGAAAGGACGGGTGTTCCAGCGTCATCCGCAAAAGTGTGATTCAAATAGATTTCTCCTTTGCCGTCACTGGAAAATGAATAACACTGGTTGGGTGGCAGCCTGCTATGACGTTAACAGACGTATAATATTCGTACCCCGCACGTACAGGTTTGCAGATGCAGCTGGCACGGTGGCCATGGCGAATGCTTCGCCAACCTGTGGCATGCAACTTAACCCAGCAGGCAATTCCATGTGGGCGCGATACTGCTCCTTGGCTATGTCTGCTACCTGTAGAAGCATGTCACCGTCCAATGGCAGTGCATTTCCGTCAGGAGACAAAAACGCTGACACAGGAATCCTGGTCATGAAAACGCCAAGAACATAGCCTGGATGGAGCGCATATTTCGGATCCAAGCGGCCTCGGAAATTAGCCAAGGATACATTGTTCAAGTAGTGAGAAGAAGATGCCGAATTGGGTGGATTATCAGCTATGACAACCATTGCTAATGCAGCGTGGGCTGGCGGATTCTCAATTCGACATGCTAATAAAGGGGATGCGGCTACATACCAAGGTGTGTAAGTGTGAACCCAGATATCTTCGAGGCAGCCAGAATTCTTTCTGATTCTTCCCTCGTGAAGAGGACCTCGGCGCGACGCGTCTTCGGCCACTCTGTATCTTTGGGGCGAGCTCTAAATCCATATGTGTCCTTGATGTTCAGTATTAGTCACGAAGAAAGTAGAAAGCGAAAATGAATAGCACCTTCATTGACGCGCCGAAGGCGGAGAGAACTCTTCCAAAGGACTTGTAGTAATCACTGTCAAGGCAAGGTTCCTCTGGTGAGTGTGGCGAAACAGGAAGGGGTTCTTTGGAGTTTAGAATGTTGAAGGGTGCCGGAAGGAGGTTTTCCAGCTCATTTCCCCATTCGATAGACTCGGGCGCGCTGTAGGAATTGGAGAGCACCTTTGCCAATTGCGTGAGGTAGCGATTCACGACGATCTTTAACCCTGCACCATCGAAGGGCGAGTGATGGGTGTGGATCAGCAGACCCAATTTGGAGACCGCCCCGTTGGTGGTTTCGCCAGGGACAAGGTGCATCCACGTATGGTCTCCGTCCGATGAAGGAACCCTCTTCTGACCCTCGTTGACCCGTAATTGGTCGAGGTCAATGTCCGAGGGTGGGTGGATAATGAGAGTGCGCTGCTCCCACCGACTGATCTCTTGCGGACTAGCGGTTGTATAGACCAACAGGGGCAGATTGTGATCGGATTCATTCAGTATGGATGACGCGATGGTAGGAACTTGGAAGCGTAACCAGGACCAGCATTGTTGAGCGGAGGAACTGAGCTTGGTGATGCTCACAGGGTCGCGCAAGTCGATAGTGAGTCCGAAGAACAGCGTTTGGTCACCCTTGAGATAGCGGTTGAAGATATCTTGGACATGCTCAGCGCCTCCAAGAGGGCGAGCACATCCGTTTTGGACGCCTTCACCGTTGAAGGGCTTCCATTTGAACTGCTCTAAATCGTAACGAGTAAAGATATTAGCCATCCGAGTCAGTGGTATGCTTGTTTCAGAGACTGAAGCTGAAATACAGAACAAGTTGCATCAAAGGTTATATAAGTAAGTACTGTCTTCGATCAATGGAACTGAACTTCGCAGCATACCGTTAATCATGATACTAATCGATATGATTATCATGATCCCCTTTGACGACCGGTGTATTGAATTAAAACCCTTGCCCTCTCACGCACCGGATTTTGGCAATGTTACTAGAATTATGTGGCTTGGTAGATGAAACACATCGCAGCTCGGGGTCCGAAGGACTAGACAATCACCAAGTGGGTTGGAAAAGGCAAGTCAGAATCGAGAGTTGGTTGCGGATGGGCTTACTCAATTGTTTGCACAGCCCATTCTAACTATTATCGGCTAGTCTAAACTCGTTCTTGCTGTTGATCTACACGACTATTCTAGCTGAGACTCAGTTAGTTCTGAATCTCTAGTTGAAAGATGAGAAATGGGTTTAAAACAGGTCACCACTCGTCTACAATATCATAATTTTCTTCGACATCTCCCGAACAATCGACCTTTTGGCCTGAAGCACACCTGGAGGACTGCATGATGCAGTGTGCTCCGGGATGTCGCAGTAAAGTATATTAATTACATAAAAGTCACTGAAGTATTACTGATCCACATGCTCACTTAGTGCATCGCCCCGGCCCTCGAACACTCTTGGTAGAAAAATGTCAGTTGTTCCTACCTTCATCGCCCTATCTGTGATGCCATCATGTCACGGTATCACCGAGAGATTGGCCATCAATGAGCCTCACTATCAGGGAGAAGAGACTTAAATAACGCACAAAATACCAGGCGAAGTCCACACTTTCGTACATCTGTTAGGTTGTAGACGGCTGTAGACATTTCGCTATGGCTTCAACAGGAATCGCATTGGATGCCGCTTGTTTAATGGCAGTGGCGCTGGAAGGCATTGTATACGGTGAGTATCTCAGTGGGCTTGTTTGTCCTATGTTCACCAAGCAAGGATCACCTCTCCAGGCTTCTCGGTCCTCCTGTTTGTGGGCACCATGTGGACTTTGACCTGGAAACAGCGCATGCAGGATGTCAATCGCCCAATTGCCATAGTAGCCATCCTGTTGTTAATAATAAGTACCGCAGTTGGTGCACGATTCTTACATTTGTTGTCATCTGCTAACGTTTTATAAGCACATCGTCGTGAACATCATTCGTGTCGAAGATGGACTGGTGAAGTATCGCGACACGTACCCAGGCGGGCCGGTGGCATTCTTCGCAGACCCTTCCCAGCCAACACTTTCGATACTGCATGCGTTATACATCTTGCAAACTCTGCTGGCTGATGGAGTAGTGGTGGGTTCATACTTTTATTTGGTACCTTTAACCCTTCTTGACGTATAGAGATTGTCTTGTAGATTTACCGCTGCTATGTTGTGTGGCAATCGATCCTAGTCGTTATCCTACCATGCATGTTGTGGTGCAGCGTTGCAGGTTAGTTCACAGTCGTACTCACAAAGTCGTGTTCTCTAATCATGCATCAAAGTGACTGGTGTTTTTGTAATCTACAGCTATTCGGCAGTCACAAATATCACCGGAGACTTCTTTGCCAACGTGGTTGGCCAGCCTACACACTGGGTTACGGCATTTTTTGCCTCGACTATGTCAACGAATCTGTTGAGTTCGGGTAAGCACATTACCGTGAGCATGGTATAAAGGTCCTGAACATGTCTAGGGTTGTTGGTATACCGCATCTGGACGGTTGAACGCAACATATCTACAGTTCGCACTACGAGGAACACTTTGATCCCAATACTGCGCATGCTCGTGGATGCCGCTGTTTTGTATACTGTCGTTCTCTTCATCGCATTAGTCTTGTATTTGTGCGCGAATAATGGAGAGGAACCTGCGGTGGACATGGTAATTTTGCCCTACATACCTCTTGTTCGAAATGAAGAGCTGACTGAATTTCAAACAAATAGATCATGCCGATCATATCGATTGCTTTCTACATGGTCCTCATTCGCTTGGCCATCAATAGAAAAAATCGCAGTCTTCTCTCGACTATAGAGACGACCATCGCAATGGAACAAGGCAATTCGCAGCAGTCCCCTAGGCACCCCTTGCGGGTCCATGTATCCAAATATGCGCACAGTGATAGTACTTCAGCCTCCAGAATACCATATGAAGACCAGCAGTCGTCATTCAACGCGGAGTCTGGCAAGGGTTCTATGCAATCGTGATCAACCCCGAACACCATTATTAATTTACATTTCATGCCAGGTATCTGTATGTGCTTCTACTTTAACATATCTTTACGTTCGCAAAATGTCACGATTGATACTAGTACTGTTCCTGCGTGACACTAGGTCCATCGATAATAAACCATAATCATTTTAAACCCCAACCCATGCACCAGTAAATCGGTACATCAGGAAAACTCTCCTGGGCTGAATTCGTGTAATTTCGAAGATTTGTAAAATTCTATCTAATTGTTTACTTGTGTTTTTTTGTCCAATTCATGTCCATTGAGAGTTGGATTCTATGTAGGACAATACTAGCTAGTCACAGAGTGTTATGACTTGGATAGTATCTGTTGGCGATGCTCAAACAGAGTGTGTGTCGTCAACGGTCGAGGATGTCCTTGGGCTAGCCCAAGGTTAGGGGTCTTACTTGGCGAGGCTTCAGCAAGTAAGATTTAACGCCTATGTCCAAATCGGGTAGCTTATGTCAAGCGGGGCTTGATGATAAGTGTATCTGCCAAGGCTTACGACACCCGAAGGTTAATTGTAAGATCTGCGTTAATTAGAAGGACAGAAGTCCGACTATTTAACAGGGGCTTTGCTCGTTGACGAAGTTGATGAGTAAAGATCGAGACTAAGGACTTATCCACGATGAGCAGATAAGAAGATAGAATATAGACTGCTGGCTAGGCAGAAAGGATCACTCTTATTAGGAGTAGGAGGTCAAGAACCAAGTAGATTCAAGTTAAGGAGTAAGATACATGGTAGCGAGTTTATATAGAGGAGAGGATGCATATTAGTGGATGATAACTCGTACTACCAGAAAGGGAACTGGTCAAAGGGTGATACTAGAAAAGGAAGGCATGTTCGAGGTGAGTCATAGGCGAACTAGAATGTGCAAGTAGAAATGAGTCAAAGAAACAGAATGGGAAGTGAAACAAGCAGGGGCACGATCGTGCAACTGTGGAGCTAAATATAAGTACACATGTGTGACTGCGCACTGAGTCATAGATCAAGAAAAGAAATGAGGCAAAGGGGATGCAGCGTGCATCGTATCATAGGTTACCATCCGGATGGTAAGGGCAAAGGAACTGTCCACAGGTTCAGTCAGGAGGCGGAACAGAGCAAGGGTATGCTTCATCAGAGAAAGGGTCTGGCCAGATGTACTGGCTCTGCTGGAGCGACAGGTAGAGAGCGAAGGGGAATGCGAGGATAACAAGGATAACAAGAGCAAGGTCGGGGTAAGGGTGTGATGCAAGGGCTGAGACGAGGAGGATGAGGAGAAAAATGGTAGGGGCCCAAGCGTCTAGATGTTCTTGTAACAGCTAATCAACATTCCTGCGCTTCTCTCTCACCTCTCCTCACTGTTAACAACAGTGAGCTCAATAGTTCTCATACCTCACTTCAAACATTCCTATTGTGCCTGTCATCAGGAAATCAGCAAGGCTTAGGTTTTCCTAGTTAGATGTGATCAACATAACCAAACATGGTAAATAAGGATCAATGTTGGTCAACCATGATAATTCTTTACCATGTGATACCACTTAGATGTTCAATGTCCATGAGTTATGATACAGGCTCAATTTTGATTGCCCTTGGTATTCTCCTGTCATCACAGGCCTTCTAGGCAATGTTCTGGTTTGCACCTACCATCTTTCACCTTCAGTCATCTAGTGTTCACTTTTTGGAGTCAGTGTTGGAAGGCCTGGCCATACAATAGCACTTATGTTGACTTTTGATAAACTCTTACACTTTGTTTCCTTTCTTTACCTTATCCCATAATCTTGATCACTATCAGCACCACTGTGTCCGGTACTTCCTGACTTCTGCACCATATGATACATCCGCTCATCGATCCTCCAGCATCACATTACCTAAGTCTCTCCGCAGATATATACATTGTCACACCTCTTGTTCACACCTCAGTATTGTTTATGGACTCTACTGAGGTGTGTAGTATTCTCATATCTTGTACTCACATATACTGATGTACCTTAGCACTCGAACTTGCTAGGTACTTTGTCAATAGTATTGTTTATGGACTCTACTGAGCACTTAAACTTGCTAGTGCCTACAACTTAGATATTCAATGTCCATGAGTTATGATACAGGCTCAATTTTGATTGCGCCTGGTATTATCCTGTCACCACAGGCCTTCTAGGCAATGTTCTGGTTTGCACCTACCATCTTTCACCTTCAGTTATCACTATTGTTATCCTTGATCCAGCCTTTTGATTTGACTAGCATGTCTGGTAAGTCATTGTGAGGGGTGGTGCAACAAAGACTAGTACAAACATAAATAGTAGGATCCAGTCCAAGGAAAGAGTGATTGGAGAAGTTGCTATGTTTATAACATCAACAAACCATACAGCCTCTGAGCCAATTTGATTGGTGCAAAAATAATTATTCCCAAGTGGTCCAGATAATGGCTGCAAAACTTCAAATTTGCTATACTAAAGAGGAGGACAAAATGGCACCATGGTTGTGCTCAAAAAATCAGATAACCTTTGGTGGCAGTCTCCAGGAACATTAGTGAAGGTTCAACAATTCAGATGGTGAGTTGAAACAATATTGAATCTGACTTCCTAGCTGCTATGTCTAAGAGACACTGTTCAATCCTAAAGAGTTTCTGTACTAGGCTCAAGGCTCAGAGAGAGAGGAAACTACGAAGACTCAGACTCATGCTGGAAACTGGTGAAAAGGTAACTTGATTATGTAAGCTACAGAATAGCAAACATAAGATAAAGAAAGTGTTTATAAGCCTAGTCAGGAATGAGTCTCTACACCAGTATATCATGGCCTTCCCATAATTCAGACCTGGTTATCTCAAATGCCTGTAAGAACATCCAACCAGCTCTTGTTCATCAACTCCACACTTCTTCAACCTATAGTCCATCAGGACTAGATCAGGCTTCCATGAATCAGTCACGTTTGGCACAGGAGTGGTAGAGAATTCTGAGGATCAATAATGCGGCTCTGGTAGAACTTTGAAGGGTAGTGGGTAAGGTTCTTGCTGTGAGTCAGAACTGGAGGAAACTTTGTCAGGATCAGAGGGTTTGTGAGCCTCTCTGATCAAGTCACACATTGCATACTGCAGACTTCTCAGCAGATATTTCCAAACATAGAGAATGTAGTGGTTTTGAAGGTATTAAGTAGTTACACCTTTAACAATCAACAATGCATTGCTTCTGATCTAAGTACTCACATCAGATCTCAGATACAATCAGAGATCCATCCATTGATGGACCTGCCAATGGGAAGATCCAATCAATGGGAAGCTGATGCAGAGAACCGGCTTATTGGTCCCTACTGAGAGGCAAGGGCCAATGAGTGGCAGAGTTGTTTCCCTTCCTCTCCTGAGCATAGGGTAGAGCCAGGTCCACCAGAAGGCACCATGTGAGCACTAGAGGGTGCTATGTGAGAGCTGGGGGCACCAGCTGGGTGCTCCCAGAATCAGAGCTGAGGTCCAACTGCTTGTGCGGTTGTGAAAAAAATTTGCTGTGGGATCTGTACTGGTGAAGATGAGGAATCTAAACTGTGGAGAAAGTTAGTGCTAAGCTAAGCAAACACAGATAGACCTGGGTGCGAAAGAAATCATTGTCCCAAGGGCAGCTAACTGAGTAAAGGAAACCTCTCTTTGTAAAAAGAGGGACACCAAACAACCAATGGAGTACTAAGTCTTAGTAATGTGCAAAGTGCAAAGCGGAAACAATGCGATGTGCGGAAGGCAGATGCGCGAGTGCGAAAGGCGAAGGTCGAGGTGCACAATGCAAAGGTAGCATGCAAGCGAAGGCGAGAGACAAGCTAGCGAGAGAAGCGAGAGAAGGACAAGACAAGATGAATGTTAACACCCAAACTAAGGTTGGCTGATGCTAAAGCGGAGTCTGAGAACTGAAGCGCGTGACTTTAGATAGTCACTTCCAAACAATGAGTAAAATTCTTAGTATCTAGAGACACAGAGAAAGTGGGTGGAAAATTGACCCAGGAAATAGAGTAAAGGGATAGTATAAGTAAAGTAGATAAGCGGTGCTAGGTGCACAGGTCTGATGTAGTGAGCCGAGTAAGCTAAATATAGTACGCGAGATAGGTAATAGGGTCTCAGCTGCATGTGTAGCGCTAGGCTGAGAATTAGTGATGGAAACAATTAGTTAAAATGGGAATATAGTGAGAAAACACACAAATGGACATCTAAGGACATGGGGAGGATGGGTGGATAGGTTTGCGGATGATGCTGACACAGATGTGTGGTGCGCGCAAAGTGCAAGTGGCTGTGTGCAGAATCTGCGAAGTAAAATATATGAAGTGCTACTGTGCAAGACGTATCCTTGGGATTAGAGCTGGAGTGTGTAGGGAATGTGGAAGAATTCGAGGGAAGTGCCTGTGGAGACGCAAGGCTCTACACCAGGGTGCGCCAAGATGGTTTTGAGGGACAATGCTGGATTGGTACCCACAATGGAGGCAAATTTGTCATACTAGGGAAACATTTGTAGTACTTGAGCTGTACTTTTTATTAGTTTAATCTCATCAAATAAAATAATGAAAACATACCATGCAGATTTTCAGCATCATCATCTGGCATGACACCAGTGCCCATGGAGTGTAATTTATCATAACATTCATGATACCTCTTTTTGAGGCTTTGGAGGGAACATTAGTACACATCAAAATGAATGTAAAATCTCGTACTTTATAATGTGACTGTTTTTGGAATCACAAAACTTATCCAGTATCTCAGTGTATTGCTGCACATTGTAGCGATGGTCAGTGGTGCTGGGCTCAGAACCACAGTTTTTCATACTCATGTCAACACCCAAAACATAAGTGCACATGTCCAAGCCACTCCGTATTGGACTTTTGGACATTGCATCGGCCAATCGCACTTCACATGCACTTGTCCATACTGTGTCCTGTCCATCCAAACTAGCCTCACTAGGTGCATAATTATTCCCATGCATGTTTTCTGACATTTGGACCGCGTTATTACATGTCCGCAGCACCTCGTGTCTTATTACATAGGACATCGGACCCGAAATATATCACTACTATCTTCGCCTGTAGTATTCTGGATTTTTACAGACTTACTTAAATACTCTGTAGTGACCCATCACAATTCATCAGGAAAACATGCTATCTCTATATAGCCCACCATAGGCCCTAGGGCATCTATAGCCCCATAGCTAAGTCCCCAATTATATAGGCTGGTAGAGTGTGGTATAGTACACCATAGCACCACATAGTATATATATCATGTATATTCCTCATAACTGGACCTTATGTCTGACTATAACCACCTATACAAGGCTACATTGACATGTACATTGTCATAGTTCTCTTGGTATATTATGCTATACAGACCTATGACATTCTTATGTAGCTTCATATCTCAATAAAATCATAGCGTCAACCAATACATTTGCAAATTTTATATTTCACAAAATCTAGTAAATCAGTTGACATCGTCTTCAACATTAGCTACACCAGTTGTTGGCTTAACATACTCCTCCATTGCATCAAAATCAACATCAGATTCATCAGCATCTCCTTCCTCTTCTCTGAGCTGGAAGCGACAAGCCACTCTATCATAGTGTTAACAAGATCATATTCTTTCAAAAACCAAACAGACATATGCAATATCAGTCCATAAATCATCTCTCAATTTCTTCATATAGCTTGGCATCTTAAGGCTATACTCAGTGAGTTTAGACATGTAGTACTGATGTCTACAAAACGACATTGAGTAAAATATCAAACATATGTAAATGATGTACCTTGGTTGAAATGCTGGTTCCTTGAACTCTACTACAACTGGTGTACCTGTGAGCATGCCTTTGTATGCACACTGAAGATGAGGAATCTAAACTGTGGGGGAAGTTGGTGCTAAGCTAAGCAAACACAGATAGACCCGGGTGTGAGTGAAATCGTCGTCCCAAGGGCAGCTAACTGAGTAAAGGAAACCTCTCTTTGTAAAAAGAGGGACACCAAACAACTAATGAAGTACTAGGGCTAAGTAATGTGTGAAGCGGAAACAATGCGATGTATGGAAGGTGAACGCGTGCAATGGTGCGTGAGTATGAAAGGCAAAGGTCGAGGTGTGCGACGCGAAGGTAGCATGTGCGAGTGAAGGCAAGAGACAAATGAGCGAGAGAAGCAAGGAAAAGACGAGGCAAGACAAGTGTTAACACCCCAACTAAGGTTGGCTGATGCTAAGACGGAGACTGAGAACTGAAGCACGCGACTTTAGACAGTCACTTGCAAACAACGAGTAAAATTCTTAGTATCTAGAGACACACAGAAAGTGGGCGGAAAATCAACCTCAAAAATAGAGTAAAGAGATAGTATATGTAAAGATAGCTAAACACCGCTAGGTGCGCAGGTCCAATGTAGCGAGCCGAGTAAGCTAAATATAGTATGTGAGATAGGTAATAGGGTCTCAGCTGCACGCATAGTGCTAGGCCGAGAATCAGCGATGGAAACAATTAGTCAAAATGGGAATATAGTGAGAAAATGCACCAATGGACATCTAAGGACATGGGGAGGACAGATGGACAGGTATGCGGATGATGCTAATGCAGATGCGCGCGAAGTGCGAGTGGCTGCGTGTGGAATCTGCAAAGTAAAATATATGAAGTGCTACTGTGCAAGATGTATCCTTGGGATTAGAGCTGGAGTGTGTAGGGAATGTGGGAGAATTTGAGGGAAGTGCCTGTGGAGATGCGAGGCTCTACAACACTCTATCTGAAGATGCTCTATGGTTAGTATGACATATCATTAGATAACAAAACTTACAGAAGTGGCCAAAAGCACAATAAGGTTGAAAAAATTGGCCCATGAGAAGTTGCTTGATGAGGTGTGTGCAGAAAGGAAGATTCTTGTTGAACTTCTTGGCCTGAATAGACGTCTAGTCAGTATACATATACAAAGGTAAGAAGTAGATGGCTTACTTTGATGTCCATTTCACCGCTAAGGAATGGCTCCTTCCTTGTAGATGTAACCCAATTAGCTATATCGGCTGAGGAAGGAAGACAATGTTAAGATTAAAAATATAAAACCTGGTTTGAAAGAAATCACCTATTTCCTTGGGACGTAAGTGCTGCATCATGAAGATCACATTCTCTCTAGCCTTCCTAGCCAACTCCCTCCTTAACTGAGATGCACCTGACCATACCTAAGAACAGCATCAGTAAGTATTCATAAAACACTAGTGAACATACATATGCCAATGTCCTGCCTTTGAGTGTATCATCTTCACTAATACGATCAAACATAACCTTCATTGGGGAGCCTGATTCTTTACCAGCCTCCTTGATACAGTTCCAGGCAAAAGTGTCCTGGACATCTACAGAAGGACCAGGAAAGGCGTTCTCCAGGGCAATTTTTACTCTCAGCAGTTGATGAGCAAGAACCACCAAAGGTCCACATCCATCTCTTTTTAAAGATGCAAGGGTAGTAGGTGGTCTGACTTCACCTTTATTAGCTTCCCTTCTGCGACACCTGACAGCCATATCATCTTGTGACTCATCCTTAACTTCTATTAGCTAGACTATAGTCTAGGTTAAAATGGGTTACCTCACTAGATCTGAAGATAGCTATGTCACCATTGCGCAACTCCAGAACTAGCCCATTCTCCAATAAGCACAACCCCCCCCCCTCAAAGTGTCCAATAGGTATTACCAAACATAGATGACGATCACCACTGTCTCTATGAGCTTTGGTGTGAACATTGATGTTGATCACCAGAGAAATGAAAGGAATAATGGGCGGAAGAGCATTGCCAGGCAAAATGGAGGTGACTTCCATCAGTATTTCAAACTCTCCTTGTAGGTAATTCTCCATCTACCATTGAAACAATTTAGGGCTTGGATGCTATGCAGATTTCACCGAACTCACCAACTGTTTTATCCACTCAAATAACTCCCCGTACACCTTTGAGATTGTTCCGTATATGAGTCTGTGCTGCTGTAAGTCCTGGGATATGTAGGGAATAACTTGACCATGGTTTGTGCACATTCCTTCCTTCTCTAATAACCAAAGTTGAATGTCTGTTGGAGTGTTAAGGCCCTTGTATTGTATTAACAACAATATACTGATAGTCCAAGTGCGCTAGCTTACCGATGTACAATGGCGATTGTACCAAGAGAGGTGCATAGCCTGGAAAGGTCTACCTTCAGGCAAGCGCATATCCATATCTCCAAGCAAGTCTGCATTTCCGAGTGCAGCCAGTAAATTGACTTCCAGAGAAGCACGTATGTGGGTGGGAAGTGCAGTAGATACAAATGCCATCAACGACCCATCCTTATTTCGAAGTTCTAGGTGGTGACTGACCAGAGTTCAGTGTGCAAGAGTGGTGTGGGAGAGCCAAACAAAAATATGTACTTTGGCATGATCTGCATTGAGATGCGTAAGTATGCATCAGGTAATTTCTTGATACCATTGTGATAGAAAGTTTTCAGCTGTTGATAAGATAAGTACGATTGGCACCAGAACTTGCACACCCACCTTGTTGCGTAAGTCTTTGAGGCTTTTCACTTTCACCCGCCTCTGCTTGTGACCTTTTTGCCGCACTCCAGCTAGTGTTCATGACCTTGTCATGAGGAGGCTTGAAGCACTTGTTTTTAGCTGCAGATGGATCAAACACTGTGTCAATGACAACATGCGCGATCTCATCCTCCTCAATGTCGGATAATGGTGGACTGTAAGGACGACCTATACCATAGAGCTCACTGTGATTGGCAGTGTGTAAAGGCAGCCTCTGAAGATCACTTGGCACTGGTACAATGCAAGCACCAAACATGTCCATTTCTACGGAGTGGTGTGAATGCGCTAAAATTTGACTGTGTTAATCAATAGATCGCATATGAGTACGCTGTCCTGCATGATGTGGGAATCATGCATGGACATGAATACTAGGTGACCCTCAAAAGACAAAGTCTGTTAGCTTAGTCCTCAGACTAGTCAACTCATACCTTGGTTTCAAACCATGGTCCATATTTCCAGTTTTCCCCAAGTTTCATGATCTGAATATGTTTTGATGGAAAAAGTCTAATGTGAGATGGGAATCACATTTAGACCTAGTTGATGTGAGAAGAGAAATGAAGGTTAAGGTATAGCCTTGCCTTTGGCTTATTCACTTTGGCTAGAGAAAACCATAGAGAAAAGTACAAAGCCTATAAAAAAACCTATCCAAAAAGACCGTGTTTCAATTCCTGCCAACTGTCTTATTTTTGCTACCTACTTTTCTCTAGTGTTTCTTTACTTTACTTTTTTCATTAGGATGCTTTGACTCACCTGACACTTCATAAAATTGTACCCATAGGGTATGATGTCATTATGATGTCATAAGACTCCACAGATACTCCTGCAGGTATTCTGTTGAAAGATATTATGTCATCAAGCTCTAGATTATTCTACTCTACAATGACATCATTCATGATGTCATTTTCTTCTAGAATATTCTGCTCCACAATGACTCACTCATGGAAGGTTCTGGAATCTTTTGCTCCACAATGATGTCACTCTTGATGTCATTATGATGTCATTACTCCACATTCCAGAATGTTCTGCTCCACAATGATGTCATAGCTCCATCTTTCACTTGTATTTTATTCTTTTATTGGGTTTGACCCAATATTTTGATTGGTCCTCCTTATTTTTTATTGTTTGTGAACCTAGGTTACTTTCCCACACAAAATGTATATAAGGAGAGCCCATTCTCCCCCCAAAAAATATGATCTCTCATTTGTAGCTATCTGCCTATCAGATATTTCACTTGCAAAGTTAGTCCCTTTGAAGTGAGACAAGTGCAGGGAAAAGAATTCCCTTGAGATTATAAGTTTCTTACCTTAGAAACTTATTTAGTGCTATAGACCAAGCGTTCTTGGTCACATATATTGTCTTTGAGACCCCTTTGTCTCATTGCTCTGTGCCCTTTGACTAAGCGATCTTAGTCATCTATCATATTGTTAAGACCACATCTCACTAGTTGTCCCATAGACCAAGCAATCTTGGTCAAGTTATAGTCCCCTTTGTTCAAGCAATCTTGAACATATATCGTATATTTGAGACCACTGTCTCATAGTTCCAGTGCCCATAGACCAAGCGATCTTGGTCATATTTCGTATATTTGAGACCATGTCTCACTAGTTCCAGTATCTAAGTCCAGAGCCTAGAAGGAGATTTCCTAGGCAAATATGTTCCAGAAACCGAATTACGTGTCTAGAAGCTTATTCCTAGACAAGAGATTTGAGTTTCAATAAAGAAAAGTAAAGCTCTGGCTAGGTTGATCTTGACAAAGATTAGTTTAGCGAGCCTCCCAAGAACTCACACATTATCTACCACGAAATAGGAAAAGTCGTAGACTGTGTTAATTGAGGACTGGCAAGCAGTCTTATCCAAAGTGTAATTGTGGTGTCATTACATTTACACGACTTTATATAAGACCCTCAGTTATTAAGACAACGCCATATGCACTTTTGGATAATGTCATCAAAAAAACGATCAGATGCTGAGAAGTCCGTGCAGTCAATATCCTTTGAGATGGAGAATCTCTCAATCAAACACGAGAGATCAAACACGAGAGAACATTGAGGTCATACTGAAGAGAAAGGAGAGTCACATGCGTGCGATGGTGGGTATAATGCATTCAAGAATCAGCTTCCTTTGAGGGGAATCTACACATACATGGTTAGTAGTCTGATAGCCCAAGACAAAAGGTCCGCTTACCTCTTGGAGGTGATCGTAGCATGTCTGCTGGATGTAAGTGCATGGTTCCAACCATGGATGCAATGGACCCTCTAAGACCAAGGCCTGCGATGAGTACTAAAGCATATATGGAGCCACCGCATGCAATGGCAATGAACTTGCTACCAGTAGCATGCCACTCCAAAAAAGTGCAATAAGTGACCTTGGTTTCTAAAGGGTGGTCTTTGACTTCATTCTCATAAATCCCTTTCAGGTGTAGGCCTGTCTTGAGGCGGATGCTTTCAAAAGGTGTCATTTAAACGAGCGAAGTGAAGATTCTAGATGACGCACCTCTGACACTTACAAACAAGGATCATGAAATTGATACAAATGTCCTTGCCCATCATTCCTCTACACCTCACCACTAGTGATAACAAAGATTCATCATCCACAGATGGGACTTGTACATAATTCCCGATATCTTGCAGTCATCAAAGTGGATTATGAATAGAAGAGAGACAGTGTGTGGCTGCGAGCTCGGCAATGATTGCGGTAGCTTGATCACTGCAAGAAATCTTAGGATCGTCTAAGGGACATCGACGCCATGTACCTCATAGTTGAGTTTGAGGACCACTGATGGCTTGCTCTGAGTCACCAGCATCATGCACTTCCCCCTCTTCCTCTGCCTCCATCTGATCCACCCCTGATTCCTTTTCATCCGCCTCCCATTCCTCTTCTTCCTCTCCAGGGTGCAAAACATCCTTCATAGCTACAGCATGAGCTGTTGCTCGAGCTGCCCATATTTTTAACCAACTTGCACCATGGTTACAATTGTCAGGAACATGTGGTAGATTGGGGTCAAACCCAGGCCCAGGGGGCTCCCCTCCTGTAGCAAGAGTACTTTGATGGATGTCAGTGGTGATACAAAGTTTTTTTGGGGGATAGTATAAATTGTTATCAACCTCGGTGTTACAGCGTGGTCTTCGGCGAGCTGTAGATGTTACTGGGAGATTCTCTTGTGTCATTCCACTGTCTGCTACAACTGACGTTTCAGATGCGACAGAATGAGAGTGCAGAGAAGCGGGGGTGGATGCTGGAGTGGGAAGGAGGCAGCACGGATCAAAAGCGGGGGTGGACACTGGAGTGGGAAGGAGGCAGCACGGATCAATTCCCTGGGGGAAGGGTGGATGCATCAGGGGGAGCATTGCAGTAGGGCTGGGTGTTGAAAGGGATGTAGGGCTGGGTGTTGGAAGGGAAGGATTCAAAGGATAATCCTGTGTTATCGCTAAATGCAATGTGGGCATCAAATTATATGCATCCATAGAAATAGATCTGATATACACACCATTATCTGTTAAGGTCCCTTGACCATAACCCAGGTGAAACATGTATTCATGGAGGGCATGCAATGTGGGCATCAGAGGCATGTTATTTCCCAACATCTGCATAAGATTGTCAGCGCTGTCTTCCAATAAACATAAGAGGTTGTTTGCAGAATAAGTAAGGGTGCAAACGGGCACGGACCCTGTCCTGGATCCAGAAAATTCCATTCAATGAATATTGAATTGAATTGAATTGTGCGTAAGCGCTAAGCGCCAAAACTTTACTTTGCACAGATATTACAAATCATCAAGCTTATGCCATTGCCTCCATTGTTCATCGCATTCCCATCACTTCACAAGTTGTCCTATCCTATCTGGTGGTTTACAAATGACTTAAGGTGACTTTATACTTCCTTATTGAAAAAACTAAGATAATGCTCTGTCATTTGAATCAAAATTCATTGCATGTTTTTCCACCTTTTTATAACACATCATATGAAGTGCATGCATGTGAACAACTGTCGAAAAGAATGACCATAATTTAGGGTTTGTACTGTGATTGGAGGGGCCTGGCATGTGCTTTCCACCAATCATGTTCTTCCACCTTATGGGCTTCACCCATGTGTCGTGTCATGTCAAGACTTCAATATCGAGTGATGGTCGCAATGCTCCTTACTCACCAATGCCACTGGTGTTTGAATTCAAGTTCTGAAAAAATAATAATCATAAGTATCTGCTTCTATTGCGGTATCCCCTTGCAATAGTACTCATGTTTGTTTGTCATCTCATCAATAAACCTTTCGGTAAATCCTGTCCCTCCACCCCACCACTGTGCATTCTAAATCTTGACAACCAACTCTGCTTGTGTCCTCATCCTGCCATTCAAACACTTTCTGTGACATACAATGTCTTCATTTGTGCCCTTTTTCCACCTGAAACAAAGGTCATATAAATTGGTGAGCAAGGAGAGTTATACCATTGATTATGGCTAATTTTTGATGGATAAGGTCCAATTGCGAGGCATCATAGCCAAGACCGATAACGATAAGTACCAAAACCAAGTGGTAGCACAAGTGTGCAAACTCAAGGCCGACCTTCAGCCAAAGGATCAGATCAAGGACAGCGAGGAAGCTTACAAGGGCTACTTTGAGATGCCTGCAAGCGATGTGAAGGACATCACTCGCAGGATTATCCAGGAGCTGGGACGTGACGAAGTACTCTTTCAGATCTTGTTTGGCCAGAGGACCCTACCTGACCCAACTGTGTGAAGGAGATTCTGAAGATATTTTGTGTAAAAGGGTTCCTCGACCAAAACAGTGAGTTCCCTATTCCAATATACATCATGTCAGTTTACGCGGATACATAGATCATTGGACATCAGCAATAGCCTGTCCAGATCTTACACAAACCCACCATGCCACTCGCAGTAACAGGCCAAGTACCGAAGATCTTATGGCTATTTTTTTGAATCATTTGGTAGAAGAGGTGCTAGCCTTACTTGGACCCTCTCATATCCATCGAAAGTGGTCTGCCGAGTTTTGTCAGAGGGTCCTTCCAGGCTTGGCTGAAGATCACAAACCTGACATTATCCTCGTAGATTCAGACTTACCAGAAGATTGGCGTAACCTCACTACTGTTGGCAAGATGAAGAAGAGTAGCATTGACATCAAAAATCCACTATGGTTTGATGAGGTGGCGAAATGGGCAAATACAATGTACGCCAGTCAGGATTCCCGTACTTTTGCCCTGGTCTTGCAATTCCTTGGTGCCCAGTTTACCTTCGTGTTTTTTGATCGTGGTGGATCTGTTTGTCTTGATGTATTAGGGATACATGAAGATAGTGAGGAATACTTTAGGCTGGTATTGTACTTATCTTTGGCCCATCCCAGTGTGTACATGCATAAATCTATGTGTTTTCCAAACATGACAATTGTTGGTACAGGTTTACTGGGATTCAACCCCACAATCGTCCATGACCCTAAAAGTGACAGTCATTTCATCCAAACCAAACACCTTGGGAAGGTACCAATCAATATGGTACTATTCATCAGCAACAACCTCAATGGCCATGGCACCATTGTCCGTCAGGTCACATTACCAAAAGATCAGATCAATCAAGCATTGAAAAACGGGCTGAACTGTGAGGCCTTGCAGAAATGGCTGAAGGGCATGGTGGACATGGAGTCGATTGTTGTCAAAGATACTTGGTTGGATCTCACAATGCCTCATACAGAAGGCATGGCCCTGAACTATCTACAGTTGAAAGGTGTTCAGGACGTAACTCGATCACTCTTTGAGGGACTCATGCTTTTCCCCCCTGCATTTGTCCTGCCAGCACTTGCCTTGAAATACAAGGAAGCCCAGGCTCTACCGTGGCAGAGCACCGTGCACAATCGGCTTTCCTAGAATGTTCCAACACTCGCATTGGCCTGTCACAGCCTGACATCCAGTCTTAAAGCTTATGATGCCGAGCATGATCAGGGACTTGAACACATGGATCGGGAAGTTTACGAGGAGCATATTCTTACTCGACACTTCTTATACCCTCTATGTGCACCAATTTATGAATTTTCATGCATCTACAAAGCTTTGACGGGTGTCATGGACTGTATCCGGGGTGAGTATCAACAATACCTGGTCTCGGCTGCTACTGAATGTATCACACAGCGCATGGTCAAGCCTATTCACCATACTGTATTTCAGACGATGGCTCTGAGAGTAATGAGTTATTCCCTCTGTTGTTCATGCAAGCAGATACCTCACTGTGGAACTTAGGACTTGTTCATCCCAACAAGTCTGACTGGGGTCACATAAACAATAGCAATATCAGATGCAGCTTGCTATTCGACCATGCACTTGCTTCCTGGACCCCTCAAGACATTTCCTCACAAGGACCACTCCCACCCAAGATCTTTGAAGATAATGCTGAAGACAACGCACACCCTTCCTTGCCTCTCATTTCTCAAGACGCTGCTCTCCCTCACACCACACCCAGTTCTCTCACCCCGTCATCCATACCTCCTCAAGACGCTGCTGTCCTTCGCACCACACCCAGTTCTCCCATCCCATCTCCCCTATCTCTGCTTACACAAAGCACTCCAGCCATTCCAGTCACCCCTGCACACCCTTTGCCCACAACTCGCAAGCCTCACAAATGCAAAGCTGCTAAAGCTTGTTCTGCAGGTCAGCAAGTTGATGCTGGTTCTAGTGTGCTTCCCACAGGGGCTGTCGCTCAAGTTCAGCAAAAGCAGGGGATCAGTGGCATCTCAAATCCAGAACCCAGCACTTCAAAGAAACACGCACTTCCTGAAGTGGTGAAGGTACAGATAGAGGACAAAGGGTTCATTCAAATCAAGGTGTCGGCATGGGGTGCTTCCAATGTGAAAGAGGACCTGCAGAATTTTACTAATGGTGATGAGAACGGTGGAGGCCTTTATGAGCTGACGGTTAGTGCATTGACCCCTATCATTATCTCTTCCTAATGGTACATCATTGACAGGGTACACAAGTATGGATGGCTGTGGATTCCATGTTTGCTCACAAGCCAGGTGCAGCGCCTGTTCCACGTGTTGTGGCACACAACCTGGAAGGTTACTACTATGTCATTCTCAGCCTCACCTTCATGTTTAATGAACCATATGTCTTGAAGCCACTTCCAGGCAGAGATGCCCCAGAAGAATCTGATTATTACCTTGGGATTTGGCTAGAAAATGCGACAGAGGAAGTTGCAATCTGGTGTGAGGCGGCAAGGAGGGGACACTTCTTCTGCAATCATGATGGGTTCTGACTTCTCAAAGGACAGCTGGGTAGAGAGTGGTCCTGTGAGGCTATCAAAACAATGTTGAGAGAGATGCAGGATCTTCTCTTTTATGAGAAGGCAGTCACACATGTAGGCATAATCTGTATCATCCAGCGTGCACTCCACTCTCTATCTACAGACCATCCTGATCTCTGCAAGCCTGTGCCCATGACAGAAGAGTAGCGTAATGCGACAGGTGCCCCAGGAGTTTCCACCAGTTCATGTCGCTTACCTGCAATGTGTATGAATATTATGCATCACCAGATCAGGTGTGCAAATGCCAACATTACATCCAATTTATTTGCGTGCATGCCCTGCCCCCCTGATGAAGAACAAGTGCTCGGTCCAGCAAGCTCATCAAAAGTTTTGAAGGGCTCAGGAATGCGGACTTGCAATCAAGTTAGGCTTGTTGCACCTGCCTGTGTCAGTGGCAGTGAGTGGTGGGCTGATTTCGCATGTTAACTATGTCCTTCCTTTTGTGCTTAGTGATTATCATTGCAGCTACTGTGTAGAGAGTATTGGAAGGTAGACTTGGACACTTTCTTTTATTTTTATTTGATCCATATATGCCTTATCCACTTTGTTTCCAGCTCTTTTTTGCCTGATTGCCTGTTGTCTGTTTGCATCACGTAGTTTGTTTAGAACATTTGTATTTCCAATGATGTGTAGCTTTGGGCCAGAAATAAGTACGACCCAAATATAACTTATTTGTAACAACAGTCTAAAGGTTATCAAAACTTAAGAAGTCCCACCAACGTCAAACCCCCTATTCTATTGTCCAAAATATATGGTATCCCACATGTGTATGTTGGCTGAGGCCTCAATGCCTTATAGATGTCCAGCATCTGGTTGTACATGTTCTTTTAGCACTCCTAAAGGCCTTAATGCTCATCTCCGAAATGCCACCAGCTGCAAGTGGTACAAGGCAGGAAAATGTTGTGAGTTGGATACAGAAGATGGAAGTAGAAACCAAGATTCAATGGAGGATCTATCAAATGCAATGGTGGATGAAGTAAATGATGAGCTTTTTCAACTAATTCCACTAAATCCTCAGGGTGAGTAGCGCCTCTATTATTTTCATATTGGAAGAGGGAGGGCTTACAGTAAATATCAGGCCAATGGATAGATGCTGACCAGGGTTTTATGGACATAGATGATCCACTGGAACAGCCTAGAGTTCCTGGTCCATCCAGGCATGCATGCTCCCTGCTGGATGAGGAAGATGATAGGATGACAGAGTGGCATCCTCATGCTGGCAAAGTGATACGCATTGACAAAAACTTACATGTCAAATGGCGTCAAAAGTTTGGTTTAACAGAAGATGAAGATGATATGAAAATGAACGGAATAGAGATGGAGGAAGAAGATCCTTTGTTCTATCCATTTGCTTCACATTTGGACTGGAAGGTGGTGTGTTGGGCAGTGCAAGAAGGTATAGGACACAAGGCTTTTGACAGATTATTGGCCATTCCAGGGGTAAGTGTAATGAGGTTTTATAATGTTTTCATATCAACTAATGTGCATTTAGGTTAGAGAACATCTAGGGCTTCAGTATCACAATATCAGATCACTCCATCAAACTATAGACAGTATCCCAGCTTGGGCTAAATGGCAGTCAACCCATCTTTCCTTCCATGATAAGCCTCAACATAAGCATGAGCTACACTATAGAAACCCTTTAGATGCTATCCAAGCATTATTGGGTAATCCTGCACATGCTAGGGATATAGTTTACAAACCATCAACTATATTCAGCGACTCTACACATTCAACTAGGATCTATAATGAAATGTGGAGTGGAAGATGGTGGCATGCTGTTCAGGTGGATGTAAGATGAAATTGGGGAACATAACTTTTCAATTAATGATGTTGTAGGATAGACTACCGGAGGGTGCATATGTAGCACTTGTCATTATTGCCTCCAACAAAACACAGCTTACTCGTTTCTCCACATCAAAATCTGCATATCCTGTATACTTAACTTTGGGAAATATACCCAGAGCCATCCACCATAAACCTGAATAACATGCCTGTATACTGATAGGCTACTTATCAGTGGATAAAGTGTTAAAGGAGGAGCTGTCTGTCAAAGAAGCATCTTCTAGAACTCAAAGGCTTTTCCATGAATCCCTATGCATCATTTTGGAGCCATTAAAGGAGGCAGGAAGGACTGGAGTAGAGATTACAGGAGGGGATGGCTTAGTCCGCCTAGTTTTTCCCATTATAGCTTACTATGTAGCAGACTATCCAGAGCAATTCTTGGCTATGTGTTCCAAGTATGGGACTTGTCCTAAGTGCAAAGCTAGAGCGGACCAGTTAGCAGAAGTTCAACAATTTGCCCATCGCACACAGTCATGGACAACCTCTGTCATCAATGAAGCCAATACCAATACAAATTCTAATGCAGCTTTCTGTCAGCACTGCATGGCACAAGACATTGCAGGAGGTGTCTTTGAGCTATTCTGGCTTGATTTTCCTCTTTGTAATATCCACCTGGCAATAACATCTGATGTTCTCCATCAATTATACCAAGGAGTATTGAAACATATTGTGGAGTGGTGTCAAGAACTTATGGATGAAGAAGAATTGGACTGACATCTGAAAGCACTCCCCCCTTGTTATGGTGTATATCACTTTCAGAATGGTTGGTCCGGTATGGGTCAAATAGGAGGCAAGGAGAGAAAACATATGGCTAGAGTGCTATTAGGTTGTCTTATTGGCAAGGTTCCAGGAGATGTTATCCAGGCTTATTGTTCCCTCCTGGATTTCATATATCTGGCTCATTATCCCACTCATGACGACACCACTCTCCAATATATGCAAAAGGCTCTAGAGGACTTCCACCAACACAAGGAGGTTATTATCAATCTTGGAGTCAGAGAAGACCTAGACATCCCCAAATTCCACTCTCTGCAACATTATTTGGAGAACATCAAAAACTTTGGTACCACCGACAACTATAATATAGAGATGTTTGAGAGGTTTCATAGACTTCTGCAAGGAAGCTTGATATGCGTCAAATGGTAGAAATGAGAAGCCTCAGATGATAGCATGGCTAACTAGAAGGGAAAAGGTTTCCTCCTTTCAGAGTTATCTGAAAATGTCTATGGAGGATGAGGAGGAGGAGTTTGCGCACTCTATGTTTGGAGATCAAAGACTTCTCTTAACCAAGAGACCTCATCAAGCTAGATGTCACATTTTGAATGTCATTCAAGATCATAACTGTCAAGGCTTCAAGAAAGATCTTATTTCCTATCTCAATTCACAGCTTCCTGATCCACACTCAAGAGGACAACTGTGACACATGGATCCACCTTTTAGTCATATAGACATTTATCATGGGTTCAAGTTTTGTCTTGACTCCTTAGGAAACGACAATGATTTCGACCATGAGGAGACAGATACAGTCAAAGCCAAACCTTCTTTAGGAGGTAAACCTGGCTGTTTCGACACTGTGGTTGTGATGGATACATCAGATTGTGAAACTACTGGTCTTAAAGGTAAGTTTTTATTAAATATTTTATGCTGGCAGTGAGTAATCTAACTCTATCTATAGGCACTAGAATTGGACGCTTGAAGGTCATTTTCAAATTACCTTCACAAGTATATGGCTCCATTACTCCTGCTTGGACTAAGGATCCACTGGCTTATGTTGAGTGGTATGCACCTTTAAAGCCTGCTGCTGAAGATTATCGTGAAATGTATCTTGTCAAGAAATGTCTATCTAATGCAGATGGGTTTACGCTAGGTCAAGTGATATCTCTATCTTCTATTAGACAGACATGTCAACTCATTCCAAACTTTGGATGTACAGCTTTACCTATGGAATGGACCTCAGATAGTGTTTTAGATAGATGTGATATATTTTTTCTTAATAGTTTTACTTCCAAATATGCATATCAAACTTTATGGTAAAATTCTTTTAATTATATCATATGAAGTTTCCTATAGTGACATATAGTGCCCCATAGTTGTACATAGCCTATACTACACTATACCAGCTATAGCATAGTGTAGCACCTATATAGAACAACAGTTTTTCCTGATGTTATCATCCAGTAGTTAGGAGCTGTTTCCTGACTCTGTGGATCACCCAGAATATTCTCATAGTTCTTAGTTGCATTGCGAAATATTACCATTCATTCACCGTCATACTCTGTGTTACAAGAACATCTAGACGCTTGGGCCCCTACCATTTTTCTCCTCATCCTTCTCGTATCAGCCCTCGCATCATACCCTTACCCCGACCTCACCCTCGTTATCCTTGTCATCCTCGCATTCCCTTTCACCCTCTACCTATCGCTTCAGCAGAGCCAGTACATCTGGCTGGACCCTTTCGCTGACGAAGCATACCCATGCTCCGTTCCACCACCTGACTGATCCTGTGGACAGTCCCCTTGCCCTTACTGTTATAAGAACATCTAGATGCTTGGGCCCCTACCATTTTTCTCCTCATCCTCCTCATATCAGCCCTCGCGTCATACCCCTACCCCGACCTTACCCTCGTCATCCTTGTCATTCTCGCATTCCCGTTCGCCCTCTACCTGTCGCTCCAGCAAAGCCAGTACATTTGGCCAGATCCTTTTGCTGACGAAGCATACCCATGCTCTGTTCCTCCACCTGACTGATCCTGTGGACAGTCCCCTTGCCCTTACCGTCCGGACGGTAACCTATGATATGATGCATGACGCATCCCCTTTGCCTTTTCCCTTTCTTGATCTCTGACTCAGTGCGCAGTCGCACATGCAACTTATACTTAGATCCACAGTTGCACGATCGTGCCCCTGCGCATTTCACTTCTTATTTCGACCTCTGACTCACTTTCTTATCTAGCACGTTCTGCCTCGCCCGTGTCTCAACGTGAACGTGCCTTCCTTTTATGGTTATGCCCTTTACTGATTACTTCACTTGGTAGTACGAGTTATCACCCACTAATACACCTCCTGTCCTCTAAATAAACTCGCTACCATGTACCATATTCCCTAACTTGAATCTACTTGGTTCTTGACCTCCTACTCTCACCAGAGTGATCCTTTCTGCCTTGCCAGCAGTCTATATTCTATCTTCTTATCTGCTCTTTGTGGATAAGCCTATAGTCTCGATCTTTACTCATCGACTTCGTCGACGAGCAAAGCCCCTGTTAACTAGTCGGACTTCCGTCCTTCTAATTAACGACAATCTTACGATTAACCTTCGGGTGTCGTAAGTCTTGGCAGATACAGCTCATCGTCTAGCATCCGCTTGACGTAAGCTACCTGATTCGGACATAGGCGTCAAATCTTACTTGCCGAAGCCTCGCCAAGTAAGACCCCTAACCTTGGGCTAGCCCAAGGACGTCCATGACCATTGACGACACACGCTCTGTTTGAGTGTCACCAACAGCTACCATCCAAGTCGTAACACTCTGTCACTTGTTATACTTGCGCATACTGCTCACAATCTGACACTCATTATAAAGTTTCTGACCTATTATCGTGAAGTCCGAAAGTTTGAAATCTTGGACATCGCACTTTGGCTTCGGACATTGGATAAGTACCTTTGGACATCATTTCACAGCATCAGACATTTTCTTATTTGCATTACTGACACATTTTACTACTAATACCAATTAGCAATCCCTTTAGGATTGAACGCACTTGCCCTGCAAGTATAGCAGCATAGGTTGTGCTAAGATCTACCTAAATATTGTTAACTAGGTAGTACAGTTTCTGCTGAGCCCAGCAGAGATTTACTCTTTACAACATACTCATGATCATCCTTGAAAACATGCATAGTGATTACCAAACATATCACAAGCTTATCCTTGCCTGAGGGGGGGCAATCACCATCAACATGCAATTGTTTCCCATCCGAGAAGAACAGAACCCAGCAGTCTGCTGGATTGGAACAGACATGGTCAATAACCCTCTGGGTGTGGGATGAATTGGCCTGCCACTGGACAGCAAATTTGGGTGCCTGAGTGGCATGATCTGGAGCATTAGTGCTAGTACTACCTTATGAGCCTCGAGTTTTGCCTTGGCTGTGGCTAATAGGTCCCTGAATATTGTGTTGCATAGCTTGGGTAGGCTTTGAGGATCTCTGCAAGTGCTTGAGGCATACAGAATGACAAAGACATGGGGGTCAAAGGGCAGGCATGTTTTTTGAAGTCCGAAATGATGCTGAGTGTGCTGCATGTCGTGGTGGCTGTTCTTGCACAAGTTTTGTTGAACTTTTGCTGAGTTTAGCGCTGTTTAGTGAGGTCGTAATTCTTACTTTGAGTACCACTATTGCATTCATTCTCAAAGTTAATATCACTTCTACTACCGGAGTTCACCATAAGCCATGAGGGAGTTACAGGGGACCAGTGCTGGTGACACTGAGACTCAAGGTATGTTCTAACTTTTTATCATTTTTCTATATTCTTACTGCGAAGCATCTTTGCACTTACCTGTTCTCTCGCAAACTTATCAATGCCTACAGATCTATACTTCTGGTCTCTTGTATCGCGCTTCACAGTGAAGCAGTTGCTTTTCTCCTAATTGATCACACAGATTGGTCCATGTCATTAAACAATCTTGTGACTCAACTCTCCACCCGCTTTTGCCATCGAGGCAATGACAAAGACTCAGATGAGGCTATCACACTTCACAGCAATGTGCTGGCTTTGCGCCTGGTCAGTCACACAGATTGGCCTGTATGAGCACTCATATGCACTCAAACATCAGAAGACTCAGGTGACCCAATAGCCCAGGTGCACCATCGGTTTGTTCATTATGTTATTGTTATTTTTTGTATTTAAATCTGGCACTACAGGATGATGATACTACTAACATTTTTGGTCACCTACCTGCCCTTGTAAAGCCTGCAAAGACCTCTCCCACATATCCGCTGGTATGGGTGTGGGTCTGACCTTCGACACACCTGTGCCAATCCCTAGTCATCTGATGGCTTGGTTAGTCTAGTGAGAACTTTGCAAGGGCTGCAGCGACCTAATGATTCAAGACCCATTAGCTAGAACAACATAGCTGACCATATAGTACTGAATTTTGTACAATACAAGACCTGTGTGTGTTCAGCATTTGTGTGTGTCATATGTATGTGTGTGTATAATTGTTGAACTGATCCAGTGCCATACTTTCTTGATATCCTTCCTACTCACACATAAAATATCTGTGACAGAAGTCTCAAAATAAGCAAAGAATGTGACTGGTAAGTTGAGACGAGGCGAGACATGCACTATTGCCAGGTGGAGTCAGGGACTGGCAGTTAACTGCCATTACGATTACAATATTGAATAGACCAAAACAATTCATGATGATTTGCATGTGCTAGCTCAAAAACACGAACACTAGGTGAGCACAAACTCGTGGGTATATCTAGTACTACAAATCCGCATGCGGCCCATGTGTCCGGTTTTCGCTGAGTTACGGAGTTTGCCGTATACGGACAGTCCCAGATGTCCTCGAGAAATCTGTTCCACCAATCGTGTTGCTCCGAATCACCAGCGTCGTAAGCTCACTGTAAGCATCATACTTCTTTTGATAAGTGATGATTGTGGTCTTCTGCTTAGAAGTGAGTGTCATTTCGAATTCCGGATGAAACATTTGGGCGAGTCGGAGTTTGATAAACGGTGATCGTGATCTAAGGGTATCCATGTGACCTTCGAAGTCGGAGCAACCGAGCCTTAGCTGTGGCATCAGACGAGTACTGCCATTCTGAGAATGCTGTGGTCCATGGATAGCCCATCAAGTGAATTGATGCGTTGGACTGATCACAATCACAGGCGTCAAGATAATGTCCACTTATATTGCGGGCCACTGTCTAAGCCTCTTGCATCCATCAAGTCGACATGTCCCTCCCAACGCACACACCAGTTTGGCGTATCAAGAATTCCCCTCAAGACTCTGTAGTTCTTGATTTTTCTGATGATGCAACGTTTGCCTTGACAGAAGAACCTCTGCCTCATGTTGAGGATGGTGAAATGCTCGTGGAAACGTTGTACATCTCCAATGACCCTGCACAACGAGGTTTATATTATATTCAAAGTTGGATCTCAGTCGATGGTGACCATGTTCTCTAGGATGGATCCAGAAAGGTGTCTTGCCAGAGCGCCTTTACACCGCTCCTGTGCGTGAGGGCGATGTAATGGCGACACATTCCATCGCTCGTGTTCTCGCAATCAAGGACAACACCGGCCATGGATTTAAGGTAAACGACCTGGTTTACTGTTTGACTGCTGGGTGGCGACGATACGCTGTGATCAAAATAGGCCCATCCTCATGCCTACCCGTGATGTACGCAAACGCTTTCTCTTGTTATCACATCGCTGACCTGACTAGGGTGCCTGAAAATGTGTCGCCCACTGCCGCTATCGGTCTTTTTGGAGTCCCTGGATTTACTGCGTACTGTAAATTGTCATCAATGCGTGGTATCATCCTTTGCTTGACATGTTCATAGATGGTCTGCTGGATATTTTAAAGCTCAAGGAAGGAGAGTCGCTGATTGTCAGCGCGGCTGCGGGGTGAGTTTGTCTTGGCCTGTATGCTTGTGTTGTCCGCTAAAAGCGTGGAAATAGTGCGGTCGGGAATGTCGTCGTTCAATACGCCAAGAAAGTGCTCAAGGCCAAAAAAGTGATTGCAATCACGGGATCAGACAAAAAATGCCAATGGATCAAGGAGCTCGGTGCAGATGTGGCCCTCAATTATAAATCAGATACATTCCCTCAAGATCTTATCGACGCCACCTCGGACTTTGTGGATGCATACTTTGACAAGTGAGCTATTTGTACTCCCTATATCTTGAATATCTACTTACCACCTTTCGCCATGCAGTGTGGGGTAAGCTAGATCAGCAGGAGATTTTGCTTCTGTTAGCTAAATCAAATGCATTAGCGGTTTTGTCCTTGATCAAGTGATTCCACGAATCAAAGCGCATGGCCGTATCGCAGCTTGTGGCGCCATTTCAGGTTAGAAGAATATGCATTCAGCTGGTATGCATAGTTATTGACTGTCCTTTCCAGGATACAATAAGGACTCAGGGAAATTACCTACGATGGGTACCACCTGGATCGAAGTAATCACCAACCGCTTGTCTATCAAAGGCTTCGTTGTGCTTGATTTCATGTTCCCGAAGGACGGGCCTAACAGAGTGGCCACGGAAGCCTTTCCAGACATTGCTGGAGCAGTTCAGCGGGGAGAGATCACGCTTGAAGGCACTGAGGACATTGTGGAGGTACCCTTCATTGACGTCCCAAAGGTTTGGGGAAGGCTTTTTACTGGTGGTAATACTGGGAAGTTGGTGACGAAGCTTACATTTAGTGCATGATAAGACGACGGGAACAAGCATGTACATATTGCGATTCTGATGCGGCCACAAGTGATGATCTGACCTGTGAGAAGCATGTGATATCTGCATAGTATCATGTGTTGTGCCTAGCGAGGCTCAGTAGTTGTTAGGAACCACACTGATCCTGAGGTGTTGCAAATTTGCAATGTCTCTAAGTGGGACCCCGTAAGCAATAGGTTTGAGCGCTTAAGCACAGTCACGGCGACCACGCACGTTAAGTCTCCCTTCTAACATTTAAAGGCTCGCGTACACCTGTTTTGCACTGATGGCAGACATCTACTCGGTATCAAGAAGACTGTTGACTCGGACTAGTATCTCAAAATGCAATGAAGTTGTCGCAATCTCACTGTCACCTGTCCTTCGCCGAAATCCCACTATATCGTTACAGTGTACGTCGTGGTGCGTATCTGTACATACAGGTTACATTACCACCAAAGGGTATCTCTGCTCACGCTCTCGAGCCAGATGTGCCATTCCCATGAACCACTGGCGTATCTTCGAGATATCTTCGGACCCGGAAATGCAGCTGCGCGATATATTTGGATTTAAGGAACTGACTCGTCGATTCGGCGTTTATTTCCCGCTTGAAGTGTACCGCGGTATTTGGGTTGGGAGACATGAAAAATGACTGGTTTTACTGAAGATTCGAGTCGCTCACATGGGGTCCTGTATAAAAAAACTTTGTCAAGTCATCTCTCGGGTTTAGGTAGCACGTTCTCAAGACCATGCTGGTGGGTCATGGTTACCCTATGCAGCTGGCCTCATTCCCTGGACTAAACTTAACTAACCCATACATGACGTAACTTGCTTCGAACTAGGGATCACTTCCTCCGAGCCGTGGGTGCCCGTTGGACCTCAAGGCCTTAGGCTCTGGTCCATCAGATCTATACTATAATAGTCCATCAATTTCCTTTTAATTCCGGGTAGGCTTTCATGCATGTTGATACAGGCGCAACAGTGCATACTATAATTCAATTAAGAATAGAGCCGAATCGTCTCCCTCAGTCCCTCCACCATCATGGCCGCAAACTGCACCCCCACTGCAGAGATACCAAACCCTTGCACATCTCTAGCATTTTTAGCTCCTGAGTCAGCAATGCAGCTCGAGGTGTCTCGATATCTCTACTGGGCTACAGTCGGGGTTTGTTCGTCTTACTTCCATAATGCGTGGCAGGATTTGACGCACGATCTCTAGGCGTTCTTGTGGGACTGGACTATATCTTTACCAGATGAAATCCGAATCTTCCGAAAAACAGGAATTCGCCTTCCAGTTATCGCCTACGTGCTATCAAGGTAATCTCTTCCATCGAAATAGATCGAGTTTACTGCTTACTGTCCGCAGATTTGGCACTCTAGCCTATATTATCATCGCTACAGTCTTTCAAGGTACCGTCTGTTCATAGTAATCACCAGCGTAAATTCCTGACTTTCTATACTATGTAGCACTTCCGGTTCACGGATCTTGCCAAACTATTCTTTGGATCATTGGTTTCAGCTATCCCTTTGCAGCACCCGCTACAGCGGCATTATTCTTCTTTAGGGTCCGTGCGGTCTACGACCGTTCAATCATCGTCACACTCATATTCGGAACATTATGGCTGGGGACATTGGGTGCTGCGATTGCACTCCCATTTACGCTTAAAGGAGATCACATAGGAACGACAGATTATTGCATTCAAACATCTGTAGCACCAGGTGCTTCTGCTGTTGTTATCATAAACGCCTGCAGCGACACTCTCGTCTTCCTTTTCATTTCATGGCGCCTCGCACTCAATAACTTTACTGCTGAATCCTGGGGCACCCGTGTTCGTTCCTTCTATAAAGGAGATGGACTCCCCAGGCTCTCTAAAACCCTGTTGCAAAGTGGTCAGGCATATTATTTGTACGTACAAAACTTCGAATCGTATTGATGACGCTTATCAATACGTCTTGCACAGGGCCACTGTTGGATTGAACGTGGCAACCATGATCATGATCCTAGTTCCTACCGCACCTCCTGTATACCACGCTTTTTTATCGCTTCCCAACATCGCCCTTGAAAACTCAATGGCATGTCGCGTTTTCCGGTCAATCCATCTCGGGACCATCAGTTCCCAACCTGGCACCTCATACTCGTCAGGTCGGGCGCCTTCCGGAATCCGGTTTGTGGATCGCCCTCCGCATGCCATTAGACCACAGCTGTACAGCGATATACACTCAACTCCACTCGACATCAGCGTCACCACACAGCATTCGAGTTTGGATGACACGAACCAGAAAAAAAATTCATACATAATTGAACAGGAAACGACCGATGTTGTCTAGGGGCAAGCACATTGTCCGCAGGTGTTACAGGTATTGTGAGAAATTCGGGTTATTGATACATCGCCATAGTGTATGTAAATATAGGGAGTCGCTTACAAGCACGCTTATTTGTTGTAGTCTCATTTTACTGTGCCAAAGCTATTCATATACCTTCATCTTGAACAGTAGCACAAATAGAAACGCAGTGATTTGCATCAAATATCGCACAATGCACAAGATCGTTGCAAGTCAACAGCACAGCGACATTTTACGTGTGTAGCGACGAACGTATGTTGGCCAGGAGCCATGTCTGGAGCACAGACCAGTCGTCTTGCATACAAGACGTGGGATCATAAAAGAGAGCATGAAGGCAAGTTACCGCAGTTTTCCAGTTAGATTGGTGCGACGATGAGAGGTTAGCATCCGCATGCCGATAACTCCACTAAAGGCACATTTTTCCATCCTGCATCCACTTTCAGCCAGGCATCGAGTGGTTTGTCCCCACTCATGAATTTGCCATCCTCGTAACGAAGAACCTGTCGGCGCAATTAGGGACAATGAGGAGCATAGAACTTGCCACCATGCACTAAGGAATGCGTCTGCGCCCAGCGACGTGATTGGGACAAGCTTCCTGAACACAAACTCGACTGCCGCTTTCAGCCTCACCGTCTTGAATGCCTAGAGACCTCCTGATTTTTGTCAGTGAACGTCTCGTCAAACTTGTGGAACTGGCCCGACCAGTGTCGGGATGTAGTCTTTCACCGTTGATTCCTTGTTTGCAATGGCATACACGTTCTAGAGTATCTCGTCCTCGCTCTGACGGTTCACGCAGACTGCTCCTCAGTTGCAATGTAAAACCATAAAGGAGCATCAGCAAGTTTTTGAATGCCTTCCTCGACGAATTGGGAGATCCTCGATAGAATATGATATCATGTTTCGCAGTCTAGACAGAGGGTGACTCACTCTGAGATAACGTCCCCAGTCTGTCGAGTGTTTGGACTTTGTCACATGATTGTAGCGACGAATCACGAATGAGTCTGTGACTGCTTAAGTTACGATAAAGAATGCGTTTGACGTTGTGAGCAGTCAGCCGTCTCACATAGTGTTTGCTTGGAGGAACATGAGCAGTCATGTAATTTACGCGTACAGTTCAGAAGACGTACGCAGCATAATTTGTTTGACTTGCATTCCCAAACGGTACCGACCCTGAGAATGAGATTTAGCTTGTTCACGAAGCCAAGACCCTAACCTTAGGATCGAATGGAGCATCGAAGTTCTCAGCGGATAGCCCAGAAAAGAGACCATCTACCACAACCACGAGAGGAAGATGCATCCCCCAAACGAACCCTGGAGTTGTTCCACAACACTTTCATGTCAGGCTCGTACAAAGCGTTGATTGCCTCGAAGCGCAGATTTGGATCAGGCAGGTTCTTGAGATGTACGATGATGCACTGAGATGCAGTTCTCCCCTACGCCGAATTCCGGCATGCTTGGACAGTGAGGTCAGAACAAATTCCTGTTTGTTTCCTGTACAAAAACGGGTCGCATTGCTCGTCTAGTTCCCAATGATATAAACATGACAATGATGACAAGATATAGTTAACATTCAGTTGTCAAGGATCAGAAGTAAGAACCTCTTCCATTGATTCAAGTAATTCATCACATCCTCCGTCTTCACGATATTAGAGTTGTAATCAGCGCCAAGGTCGATCACGCCCCCCCAGGAGGAGAGACGAAAGAATCTAAGTGTTCCAGTTAATTGCATTGCAGAACCACTAAGATCTAGAAAACTCACGGGCCGGGGTCTAATCTGTTCAGTGATGTGAAAAACTTGTTCACTGTAAGGACGGGTTTCCCAGTGTCATCCGCAAAAGTGTGATTCAAGTAGTTCTCCCCTTTGCCGTCACTGGAAAATGAGTAACACTGGTTGGGCGGCAACCTGCTACGATATTACCAAAAAGTAAACTATTCGTAACCTGCACGTACATGTTTGTAGATGCAGCATGCACATTGATCATGGCAAATGCTTCACAACCCTGCGGCATGCAACTCAACCCGGCGGGCAATTCTATAAGGGCTCGATACTGTCCCTTGGCTATGTCTGCTACCCGTAAAAGTATGTCCCTGTCCAATGGCAAGACACTTCCGTCAGCGGACAAGAACGCTGATACCGGAATCCTGGCTATGGAAATGCCAAGAGCATAACCTGGATGTAGCGCGTGTTTCGGATCCAACCGGCCTCGGAAATTAGCCATAGATGGGTTGTTCAAGTAGTGAGAGGAAGACAGAGAATTGGGTGGATTATCGGCTATAACGACCATTGCTAACGCAGCGTGGGCTAGTAGATTCTCAATCCGACATACTGATAAAGGGGATGCGGCTACATACCAAGGTGTGTAAGTGTGAACCCAGATATTTTCGAGGCAGCCAGAATTCTTTCTGATTCTTCCCTCGTGAAGAGGACCTCGGCGCGACACGTCTTCGGCCACTTTGTATCTTTGGGGCGAGCGCTAAATCCGTATTTATCCTTGTGGTCAATGATTAGCAGCGAAAAAAGATCTGAAGAGAAAATGAATAGCACCTTCGTCGACGCGCCCAAGGCAGAGAGGACACTTCCAAGGGACTTGTAGTAATCATGGTCAAAGCAAGGGTCTTCTAGCGAGTCTGGCGAAATGGGAAGGGATTCTTTGGAGTTCAGGATGTTGTAGGCTGCCGGAGGGATGTTCCCCAGCTCATTTCCCCATTCCATAAACTCGGACGCGCTATAGGAGTCGGAGAGCACCTTCGCCAATTGTGCGAGGTAGCGATTCACAACGATCTTTAAACCTGCACCATCGAACAGCGAGTGATGAGTATGGAATAGCAGACAAAATTTGGAGACTATCCCATTTGCGATTTCGCCAGGGACAAGGTGCATCCATGTATAATCTCCTTCAGATGAGGGGACCTTCTTCAGACCCTCGTTGATCCGCAATTGGTTGAGGTCGATATGTGAGGGTGGATGAATAATGAGAGTGCGCTGCACCCACCGGCTGATCTCTTGCGGACTCGCCGTTGTATAGATCAACATGGGCAGCTTGTAATCGGATTCATTTAGTATGGATGACGCGATGGTAGGAACTTGGAAGCGAAGCCAGGACCAACATTCTTGAGCGGAAGAGCTGAGCTTGGTGATGCTCATAGTGTCATGCAAGTCGATAGTGACTCCAAAGAATAACGTTTGATCGCCCTTGAGATAGCGGTTGCAAATCTCGTGGACAAGCTCACCGCCTCCAAGAGGACGAGTACATCCATTCCGGACGCCTTCACCTTTAAAGGGCTTCCATTTGAACTGTTCTAAGTCGTAACGAATCAAGATATTAGCCATCCGAGTCGGTAGTATGCCAAGTTGTCTCAGTGACTGAGGCTGAAGCGCTGAACAAGTTTCATAGAAGGCTTAACGTTCATCATTGTTCGGTACCCTAGTAATGGCATACATGCCAGTGCAGGAATCGGTCGTTAAAGAAGACAGATTCACCCTCTTAACTTTCTCAGGCCAATACCATTACATAATAATGGATGCACGAAACTGGTGAACTGGTGAAGAAAGTAGAAGTCCACATATCACAATTTGAATTAGTATGATTCTGTTATCGAGAATAACATCGACATCTTTGCCCTTGTAAACTCGGAGGAAATGAGGTTTTTTTTTGAAACTTGAAGATCAAGACACAGTACCAATATCGCTCGAACGGGAAGGTGGAACAAAAGCTGATGGTTGACCGACATGAATCAAAGCTGCCATACTGTTGGTAAGGTTCACCATATCGAAGCTAAGACTGAAAGCTCGTAACTTTCAAGGGTACGAGGATGTGTTAACCTCAGTGGAAGACATACATGTGCGTCTTCTGTTAAATCTCGATGTATTTCCTTGACAAGCCAAGTTAGCCAACGTCCCTGCAAGACGGCTCCATTAAGATTGCATATGCCGCCTACATTCAATTAGAGAACCGCGTTTGAAGATAAAATGTTGGACTCAGTAACGGCCCAGGAACATGGTAATCAGAACCCAATGCCAGTGAACTCGCCTTGCGCGGTGGAACATGGGCTCAAGGCGGCCTATAGACACATTGACTGTTCTTTGTAGGAAGCTTTGCCTTGATTTTGATGAGCAAATCCCAGAATTTACACGAGGGGAATGAGGCACATGCACAGTTAATGACTCACTATGTGGTGCAGACCGGTGGACGACACGTGCGGGTGATCCGACAGCTGACCCAAGCTCGTGATAAAGGCGTATGGCTCAACAGACATGTCTGTGCAAACGTTCAAAGGCAAGGAAGAGCCGAACGGCTACAGCCTTCCTTGTAGACAGCATGAAGTAATCTCCCTTCAGGTTGTAAAGATATCATGCGACTATAGCAAGGGAACAAGGAGGCAGGGCGAGCGTAGACATCAGACCCATTTTATTGGCAAGAGTCGATCTAGTGAAGTAGCCTAATCTGAAAATTTAATTGACACGACAATCAAACACGCAATGACAAGCTCAGCGATCCAGCTTGAGAAAACACGGGGCTTCAAGAGTAACCCAAACCTTGGGGTACGTCAATATTCACTTGATACTGACATATCAGCGATGCGATGGGCTTTAATGCAGGTAGTATAGCGTCAAAGCATGGTGTGACATGAGGTACCATAAGAAGCATGACATGAAGTGTGGATGATGTACGGGGATTATTTTAGGCAGTCCTGAATGAATTGCATGAGCGCAGATCATGCAGGATGACAGTTCAAAACATACTTGGTGTGCGAGGCTTTGATGGCTGCAACCTTGGCCTTCTTCTCAGCAACACGCTTTTGCATGAGGGCACTAAATGAGAGGTTACTATGGCAAGTTTCGTGCAAACAATTATCACTGACTCGTATTCTGCCTTCTGCTCTTTCTGGCGGTCGATCCGGCGACGGTTAAGAGAACGGAGGTGACGGGCGCGTTGCAGACGGATGGGAGTGACCAATCTTTGGATTTTGGGTCTGGGTAGGGAGAAAAATTCAGCCCAGAAAGAAAGGGAGGTGACTTTACACTGACGCTTTGGTGTAAGGTTTGGCGTTCTCCTTCTTCGAACTCTTCACCTCACGCCTTACAACGTACTTCCTGACATCATCCTCCTTCGACAAGTTGAAGAACCTTCTGATCTTTGTTGCCCTTTTAGGACCAAGTCGCTTGGGCAGAACGGTGTCGGTGAGCCCAGGGACATCATTGTCGCCCTGTTTAACGATAACGACGGAGAGGACGGCAATGTCAGGGCCAACGATGCAACCACGGACGGACTTGCGCTTCCTCTCGCCTGAGCGGCTTGCACGGTAGCAAGTGTGGTTATCGGTCAAAAGCAGTCTGATACGAGAGGGGAGCAGGACACCCTGCATCATGGGGAAACCCTGCTTGTCGTTACCACCAGTGATACGGAAAATGTAACCCTTCCATTCGTCTCCAAGGATGTCCGCCTCGACCTCTTGCGAGATCTTCTTGTCGAAGAAGATACGGCTAGTTTGAAGTACTTTGGTTAGTATTCAAAGGAAGAGTTGTGCCAATCGTACTATCTTCTCTCTTCATCGATATTAATGGTCTTTTGAGCCCCAGTGGCGGGGTCTGTATCAAAGGTCAGTTCATCGCATTGGTACATGTTGGACATTGAAGTTTGAACGCACTGGCAATGTTGATCTTCATACTGCCCACGTAGAATTGTCAATACAAGCTCAAAATTGACATCAGCATCGATAATTCACCTTACGAAAGGAGAAAAGGCCTTATCACCGTGGGCTGCAGCGACGAGGAGGAGTCTTGATCTTGCTGGTTAGCCAGGGCCTTGTATTCAACAGTGGCAGATTCCGGCTTGTGGCTGAAGTGGAAAATAAGGTTTGCTGCTATACAGTTGCTAAGCCACACACTAACCCGTCACGCGTCACATTACCTTTCCGTGAACGCGTCCAACGACACTCCTCAAGACATCCTCTCCGCCAACAAAAACTGTGAGTGTTCTGCAAAGTAGAATTGTTTCAAGCTGAACAGATGTTATAGATTCATCATGGGTCGTATGCACGCTCCTGGCAAGGGCATTTGTACGTAGCAAAATATCTTCTATTGATACATGGAATGTATCTTGATCATCTTCACTAGCGTCCTCTGCCCTCCCTTACAAACGTTCCCCTCCTTCATGGCTCAAGACTACGCCAGATGAAGTCGTCGAGCATATCATGAAATTGGCTCGCAAGGGTCTCACTCCCTCTCAGATCGGTGTTACCCTGCGTGACTCGCATGGTATCCCTCAAGTGCGCTTCGTCACTGGTAACAAAATTCTCCGTATCCTCAAATCCAACGGTGAGCGCTTCATTGACGGGTTAGTTCTCCAAACACTCATGCATTGAATTATCATCCGCTTCGTTGCCGTGCATTGCTGCTACTGCATCTTGTTTTGTACATGCCTTTTGTTTGGGGATAGGATTGGCACCATCCATCCCAGAGGACCTTTGGCACCTCGTCAAAAAGGCGGTGGCCGTGCGCAAGCACCTTGAAGTCAACCGCAAAGACAAGGACTCCAAGTTCCGTCTTATCTTGATCGAGTCTCGCATTCACCGTCTTGCTCGTTACTACAAGACGAAGCAGCAGATCCCTCCTACATTCAAGTATGACTCTGCTACGGCTTCTACTTTGATTGCGTAAGCAGTAGTGGGCTCTGGCGTGGCTGTTGGAGCAAATCATATTCTGATATTTGTCGCACAATTCCTTCACCGATATCATGCAAAAAATTAGGCTTATGCAGAACTATGCTCAAATATCCGGGCTCGTGATTAAGGAGAACGTAAACCCAGATTTCAAGTTATCGTTGGTATTCCATTTCTATCGCTCACCGGCTCTTACATTGCCGACTACTAGCTAACTGACGACCGCTTGGCGGTGATAGCGTTCAACGTTTAACCCTGTCAGTGTTTCCAAGCGCAGTTCTTCAATGGAATGTTAGCAGCATGGCAGTGCCACATTATGATGCTGAAGTTGAACTCAAGACTCTCTACATCAACATCCGAAGTTCCATGGAGGTATCGATTGTCGCCTTGATTTCATGTAAGAACAATAGCATTGTTCTGGTTTAAAAGCGAACCATAAAATGCATTTTCTTGCCCACAATCGACGAATGTGCTTTTTATTTCCTATCAGTAACCTGTTCAGTTCCGAACTTGGCATCATGGTCAATAGTAGTGCCACTGGTCCTCGCAGCGTTTATTTCGCCTCCGGGCCCAACACTCCACTTTCAGGTGGCTCTGCTGCTGTTAGCGAACATGCAACGGTCACATCCCGGACATGGTGTGGTTCCACAAGTTTGACGAGACGTTTACGACAAAAATCAGGAGGTCGCTAGGAATTCAAGATACTGATGCTGAGAGGGGCAGTCGCGTTTTGTATATATCGTATTCGGGAAGCTTATTCCAATCACATCGCTGAATGGAGACGATTTTCTCAGTGCATGGTGGCAAGTTGTCCTATGTATGTCTGATTTTTCTTGTGGTATTCGTTGTCTCTAACCGTGTTGACAGGTCATTATACCCTCTGGAAGCACGACGTCCATCACCGCGACATAAGTCCTAACAATCTCATGGTCTACTGGTTGAACGGCCAATGGATCGGGGTCCTCAACGATTACGACTTATCATCGATCAAACGTGATGGGCCCAGAGGGAAGCAGGTCACAGGAACAGTTCCATTCATGGTAGTTGACCTGCTCTCCCAACCTGTCCTCGAAGGCAAAGCCACACACCTGTACCGGCACGATGCTGAATCGTTAGTGTGAGTCCTCGTGTGGGTCTGTCTTAGGTACCAAGGAGGCAAGTTGTTGAGTAATGGCAGACTGCTCAATGACTGGCACAAATTGGATGCTCCTGGATGCTGGAAGGAAAACCAGCCTTTCTGGGCCACATTCGGCACGGGAAGGCCGAGGACAGCGACATAAAACCTCCGTTGTCACATCACTCTAACTGGAGAATAGCGGGAGCTTGCCTGGACATAATCCATTATACTCCCGTGGCCAAAATGGACGAATTAAATGGGCCTATTCTTCGGAAATGGCTCCTGGATAACGTGGAGTCTGTCGCTCCGGCCATGATAGCTCGTCATCCCATCAATGCATCATAAGGTTCATTCAGTTCGGTAACTGTGGCATATTTGTACATTTATGGGTAAAAGAAAACACTGAGGTATGAGGCGTGCGCTAACAGTGGTATCAATCTATGCATAAGTGTGAGCAACGAAGCTTAATGAAGTATGAGTGCGTACACGTTTAGGCCCACATAGCCTTGAACTTTTCATGGAACTCTTCGAGCGCACCGTTAACCACTTCAAAAACTCTCCAGTCCGCGCCCGACACTCCTCGCGGTCGCTGCGAATCATGAGTCAATTCACCCCTTCCCTGCTTCCCAGATGCGTCGTCCTCCTCTTCTTCATCCTCCCACTGGAGGGATGCATATCCACTGTCCACATCTTCACTAAGATCTTCATTACCTGACGTCGCATCTTTTTCGGCGGCAGACCTCTTTTGAATGAGTTGCTCAAGTACCCCACGCACAGTCATTAACGTGAGGTCAAAGTCCTGCAATAAAAACCAAACGTCACCCCGCCTAATTCCGTTTGCAGCGGCAAGAGCCGCCACCTGTCCGTGCATGTAGAAATCAAGGAGGTATGCGTTCAGCGCGTATTTTCTATCATCTTGGTTGGTTATTCCAGCGATGCCTTCAAACGATGGGATGGTATGTTCGTTCAGGTTCAGCCCCCGTCGAGCCGTTTGAGCGAGGTCGCGAACACTGCTGAAGTGATCATCGTGGCCCGAGTTAGCCACAAAGAGCGACCGTGCTACAACACGGATCGCGGTACTGTGAAGATGGTCACGAATGAGTGACGGTTCATCTTCCGCAGTACCAGATATATTCCTCTTGCTAAGAGGCAGAATATTATCGGGCCCAAGGTCCTTTTGGTGCTGAGTCCCGTAGGTAAGGGCATATCCGCTGAAGATTTGCAGGATTTCACGTTCTTGTTCTATGAGCACGTCACGAGCTGCATTAGACAGTGGAGGCAGGATGACGATTGATGGCGACTTCTTCACCACGTTCGCGATGTACTCTTCTTTCATGCAAGCAGAAGGCAGGTACCGCCGTCCAAAGAGGTGAGCCATCAACAGGATGAAGTTGCGTTTCGCAAGCTTCAGGTTAGGTTGCGCACAAATTTTATGGATCACGCCGCTACGAAGCAGAGCAACTAGGGCGAAGTTGCTGGGTTCCGTGTAATACAGATGTGCAGCTATTCCAAAAAGATTGAGCGGCTTCCCTTGCTCGTCGAGCAGACCAGCACGACGCAAATAGTCGATGGAGAAACGTAGATGGTGCAAAAGCTGGTATCTTCCTTCCTCAGAGCCAAAACTGATTTGTGGGAGGCGGAAGAGTCGCTGCACGGCAGCAACAGCAATCGTGGAGTAATCGGAGCCCTCCAGCAGATTGAACAGGCGCACGACGAGAGTCGATGTTACAGGGAAACTGGCAGAGAGAGATGGCAATTTTGAAAGTACTAGTCTCTGCACCCTGCTCATGGGAAGAGCATAGAAAACGACTTTACCGAGGGTGTCGTATCCTCGCCGTCCAGCGCGTCCTGCACATTGTCGATACTAAGATTATTAATTAATGACGAATAAGTAAAGTTATGGGAAACTGACCATAAGTGCAGTGAGGAAAGGCGAGTCGCCGCAGAAAATTGAAGTTTTGGTCGGGGCGTTGATACCCAAGGCAAGAGTGCCTATAAATGCAGTCTGATGTCAGCAACCCTACAGATACAATGGAACGCGTACCCGTTGCAAAAATCACGCGCACGAAGCCACGTCGAAAGAGACTTGATCTACTGTCAGACAGTGGTGCTACGTCGGAAAAAAAGCTTACCCCTCAACCAGTGCGCGATACCCTTTATTCATACCAGCATGGTGAACAGCGATCCCACGTCTCAAACATTTCAATGCCCATTCAGGTATAAAAGATTTCCGTCTCACAAGATCGGTGATATCCTCGTCAAGCTCCGATGCAGTGTACGAAGTACTTTGACCAGCGAACGAGAAGTCTGACAATGGATCATCAGGTCTGAAGGATGCTTGCCATTCACTCGTGTCAGCGCGTTTATCCTCTTCATCGACCTTGTGTTTCGATGCTCGTGCAGCTTGGCGCTCCCGCTCTTTGGCGCCCTGAAGGTATGCATCATATTGTGCCATTTTGCGTTTCCATTCGGGACTACTTTTGCGCCATTCGTCTTCCTTGGTCTCGAGCACGTTGTTCAAAATGCGGGCCATCATTTCGCAATCACTTCGATCGAATGAGAAGAAGATACCGGGCTAGATGAATAAGGATTTCATGAACATAGAGAAAGAAACTGCGTCGAGTACTCACGAGGTCCCCTTGTGCGTGAAGATCGGCGACCAGATGAATGATGTTGGAGCCAGACACAACACGACTAGGCTGAGAGTTCAACGCTCTTTCTGGGACGCGAGATAAAACATCATCTCGAAGCTGGGTAATGACGCGTGACAATGGCGTCTCGGAGTCTTGCGAATCGAAAGAAGACAACAACGGGGAGAGGTGCTGTTTCAAAGCCTCTTCGTATCGGATTACATCCTTCTGCTGAAGCAGTTTGCTAGAGGAAAAAAATACCGGGGGATCAAGGGCTGCGAGAATAGAGGGCTGCAGGGCTGTGCATGTACTAAGAGCACGATATAAATTCAATGTATCCACCGCTTCCAATGCAAGATCAGAGGGGAGAGCACGTGCACTGGACGAAAGAATGGCTAGTGGATGCAGAAATCGCATCCTTTCCGTAGTCTTGTATGTTGAAATGCCTTGGAAGGTATCTCTTGGCTTCTCGTGGATATTGTAGTAGAACTTCCTCAAGTGCGAATAACGATATGGATAATGCACGAACTTGTGCTGGAATCCACCCGCTTTCTGAACGCTCTCGAGCCATTCGTTGAACCTTTCTGGTGCTCCGACTGTGGCAGACAGACCTCTATTCATGCGAGAATCAGTACATGGTCAGTTGAATGCAAAGTGACGCACATGACAGGACAAGGGGACAGAAGCAGGATCTGCTCCCAAACAGCTCCGCCTTCCTGCTGGCCGATTGTGTGAATCTCGTCAAGGATGACACTACAGTTGGACATCAGAGGGAAATACACATGTATCAAACTGACATTCGTACTATTTGAGTCGGGGTGTCCATATCTTGGCGAGTGGAGGAGACAAAAGCATGATCGCCAGAATATCAGGCACAGTGATAAGGATTTGACAGTTCTGCGGATCGTGGACCCGGAAGTCACGGGAATGAATCGCCCAGCAACTACCTGTAGTGGAATCAGCGATAGTCACTTGTTGAATACGAGCTCATGAGTACTCACGACCGTTAAGGTCCTTGCTATACCTAGCATAGATCTCGGCCGCAACTTGAGCGACAAGGGCTTTCGTCGGTGCAATATAAACGAGTATGCCGTCATCGGACCCTCGTAGAATCTTCTCCATAGCGTAATACGAGATGAAAGTCTTCCCCGCACTGGTAGGAGCTACAGATAAATGAGTGGCTGTTCGACCCCCGAAACAAAGCATTACTAACCTACGACAAGAAGAGACATATTTTGATCAATAGCGTCGAGCACCTCACGTTGCCACGCATCTGGCTTGAAGGTCACTCTTGTATCAGCCTGACTGTCCATGCTTCTATCCATAAATTCTCCAAATAGGCGGAGCTGCCACACTATGGGGTGCTCCTGGATTCGCATAAAGTCATATACCGCAGTCTTGGTTTTGGACTTGACCAGCTTAACGAAGCGAAAAGTTAGCGCCCTGTCATCGGTCGAGCCTGAGACCACGAGTTTATCGATGTAGTCGCTGAAGCCGAGGGTAATCAACACGCTCGTGATTGCATTGGCCATCTCTTTTGTGCTAAAGCCGATCTCCCAGACTTCCTTGACAAGACGCATCAGCAACAGGGAATATTTGTCACGACTCGCCGGGGAGTCTGGATTAGCGGAATTGATCCACTCTCGGAGCAGACGATGCATACGATAGACCCGAAGTTCCGCGCCTACTGACGCCTCCCTAGTTCGCGGATTGCGGGCAAGAACTTGCAGGCACTTTTCGAGACTAGCGCCATTCAGGCTTTCCATCTCTTGGACACGGGACGCGATCCATGCTGCAGACTCGGACACTTGTTTAGATTCCTTCTTAGCAATGTTCTGTTCGCGGATAGCATCTGCTTTTGACATCTTGCCGGTATTCTTACTTGACGAACGAGCGTGAGCAGCTTTTGGCTGGGGGTCTATGATTAGCAACAGAAGTAAGGGTTACTATGCTTGGGTACCGACCTTTACGGTACGCTGATTTGAGAGGGAGGCTACAGACAGTATCTTCACTTGTTCAAGGACAGCTCCCGATGCACCGGTCAAGGTGCTGGCTTGGTCATGCATGGTCTTCATAAAGCGCTGGTCCGAACGAAGCTTGCGACTACGCTGCCATTCAGTCATCGGTGCTGTAGTCTCCCCTCCGAGGTGCTTGGGCAGAATGGCCTTTCTATTGTTGTGCCAATGCTGCGTATCCGAAAAGATTGTGTCTCCTCTGGATGTTTGATTTTGAGAAGAACGAGTGGATGGGTGGACATCAGCAGACTCGTCACTAGTGCTGCTGTCATCCCACTCGTCGTCAGACTCTTCTCCGCTGGAAGAAACAGATTCTATGGGATTGGACTGTGTGACGTCCTCCGTATCAACGTGGACGGCAGAAAGCTCCTTATCAAACACTGGGTTGGAAAACGGAAGGAGCTTGAGGGGAATTGGTATCTCATACAAGTCATCGGGAAGGAAAGATGCGCTCAAATGCGAAAATTTGAGGTGCGGGAGTTTCAACTCAGAAAAGATACCTTCTGCAACTTTGGCTACCGTCGGCCCCAGGATCTCCGTCAACGATTGAGCTGGATGCTCAGAAAGATAACGCAAGACACAAAGGAACACACGAATATCAATGTCGAGGGACGCATCGTTTGATACAATGACTGCTTCTGTCGCTCGGAAGATATGAGGAAGGAAGGATTTCATCAATGAAGTCAGAAGGTCAGGTTTAATTGGCAGCAGGCGCCGCGCTCGATCCTGGATGGAGACACTTTTGAGAAGAAGGACATGGATGATGAAAACAGCAAGTAGCGACGGCTGAGTGTCGCTCTCGAATGCTAAAAGATATGACAATCCAACATCCTTCAAGGTCGCGCGGAGGTCGAATAAAGACGGTGACACTGATGCTTCGCGAAGAACGCGACTACTGACTTGATTGAATGGCCCTTGCTCATGACTAGTAAGGATGTCCCTGGCAGTGACGCCCACGGATAAAATAGCGCCAGGTAAATGCCCTCGATGGTTTAAACGAAGCTTTGATTCAAAAACGAAAGTTAAAATCTATAGCATGACCAACAATCAGGCAAGGAAATAGAGTAGGAAGGAAGATGCGGTGTGACCTTGGTGTCCTTGAATTCGGCACCCTGAAGCGGCGCCATTGCCAAGCCACTAGCCAGTACATCGAAGATAAATAACCGTTGAGTGAGTATTTGATGGGCAGCGAATTGTCCGCCGACTCCTTCCTTCAGTGTACCGCCATCATTGACCATGAGAAACATTGGCTACATGGGAGTGAGAAGAGATTATCACGACTCGTGGGACTTCTACCTTCACTCGAACACGATAGTCGATCCAATTTTTGTCGGAAAGACTTGCAAAGGCGAAGGTATTCACTGAATCCAGAGACTGAACATGCTTATATAAGAGTCTCCTGGCCAGGGCTCGAGATGCGACAGTAAACTCTGACTCGCCCGCTCGCAGTACTAAGTGTCGGTTGACTAAGACATCGTCGATAAGATCAAGTCAGACGGTGAGATGGAGAAGCAGCCTCACCATCGAAAAACACGATGTCAAAGTTTGCTGATCGATTGCGAAAGTTTTGCAGTATGCGTTCTACTGAATAGATCGCGTGAATGATTTGAAACGACGGATCTTCAACACGCGTTATGTCAGGGAAAAGCCATCTGTACTAGACCCTAGCGACGTACCATCATCCTTCGCTAGTGCAAGCAGAGGATCGTCAAGTACGATCTGGAGTAGAGAATGACCTAGGATGGGATGTAGATGGACATCAATTTAGGAGTTAGACGATTAGTAAGTTAGATGAATACCGTCAATCACAAAGGGTTCTGCACCAGCATAGTCCCCGATCAAGTCCATCCAGCGCGCATTCCTACTTGCAGGCGTATACCACTTTGAATCGATCCAATTCAAAGTTTCTGTGACAGTGCATGATTGTGATGGCTCCGAGTCCTTGATGGCTTGCTCGATATCAACTTCAAACTCCTCAAAATCCATAGTGTGGATGGTGGTGTGAGTGGGATCCAAGTGATCTGTAGTCTTTTAGTAGTCCCGCTTAGCAGATAGTAGTTGGCTTCGGTGGGGGTTGCCAAGATAATCGCCTCGAGGCGCAACTGCCCATTAGGGAGATCAACGATACGGCACAAGGCCGAGATCTAGCACTGCGCGGCGCTTACTAGAAGTAAACCTTACATAAATTGGATTGAAATTAGGGTGACTCTGCGGCCATTGACAATGTTCTCGGACCGCTGGATTCTCGGTTTAGTTCAGAATACTTATCGATGGCAAAAAAAAAAACTTTGCAAGCAATGTATTAAGAAGCTGGACAATATCAAATGATCAACTTGAATCGTACTCAGCTGAATTTTCTTTCTGCAGATGCTTCTTCGTGGATCTCCGGCGATTCTCCATCGATGAGTTGGTCGCTACTGTGCTACATAGACAGGTCATATTACTCGAGCGCTGACGCGCACAAGCCCGAAGTCTCGCCGTGATATTAAAACCTGGAAGCAGAGGCAGTATTAAAAATGATCACGCGAATGACTACTAGTACCATATCGACGATATGTGGCACCTTCGTCGGTCAATTCCGAGAGCATTAATGTGATGGCGTCCGTAAACTCTGAGCTTGATCAGGCCACTCGATGACCGCACCCATCAGAAAATCAACTTAGAAACGGAGGTCCGCAGGAATGAAAACTTGGTTAGACCGTGAGGAAGTTCCAGGCCTTAAGCATCGGTCACATGCATGTCACATGTCACCTCCACTAGACTCGCACCGGCCGGTCCGTAATGACAATCAGCCGCAACTTGAACTACTAGCGCTCGAATCAATGACGTACATATGCCGCAACGCACAAATACTATTAGGGTCACTGTTGCTTATGGCGCCCGAGACCTGGCAGAACGTTCTTCAAACTCACGTATATCCGTTATCTCTGGGCACCGCATGAACAGAAATTGTCTGTGGGTTTGAGGATGACATTTGACTCCGATGAAATCTCACGATGATCACTCATGATCTCATGCACCATAGTCCAGAGTCGGCACAAGGAGATAACATCGTGTCGTTACCTTGAAACCCTCTTTGGTTACCTATGGCATCGCATTTCATCACCCTTAATAACGGCCAGACCATCCCTGCTGTCGGGCTCGGTGAGTTCATAAACTTACTAGCTCAGGGTTGATGACTTACTGACAAGGTGAACAGGAACATGGCAATCGAAACCTAATGAAGTTGCTCGTGCTGTAGAATGTGCGTTGAAGGCAGGCTATAGACACATCGACTGTGCTTGGTAGGGAAATGCTGGTTGTTCGTGAAGTAATCCTAATGAGCACTCTACACTGAAGGGCGTACGGGAACGAAAAGGAAGTCGGCGAGGGCCTGCGTGCATCGGGAGTTCCGCGGGAGGAAGTGTTTGTGCGTATAACGTATCTCACGGATTCGTCACCCTGTTCACCTCGGTATTCATAGATCACCAGCAAGCTTTGGGGTACATACCATAGACGTGTTGAGGACTGCCTCGACCAGACACTCGCAAACTTGGGAACAACATATCTTGACCGTGGGATCAGCTTCTCTCTGGTCTTGTTTGATTGAGACTGACAGTTTCCAACCATCAGTTTATCTTGTGCACTGGCCTGTTGCGATGAACCCTAACGGGAATCACCCTGTCATGCCAATGCGCCCGAACGGAAACCGTGACATCGATGAATCCCGGGACATCAGGGATACATGGAAGGGTATGGAGGCCATGGTAAAGAAGGGTAAAGCAAAAGCAATTGGCGCATCAAACTTCTCCCAGGCGGTGCTCGAGAAGATTTTGCCCATAGCTGAGATCATACCGGCTGTTAATCAGGCACGTTCGATGCAACGATACCCGTTCGAAACTGACCATTGAGATACGTAGCTCGAAATTCATCTGTACAATCCACAGCTCGAACTTCTTGATTACTTGAAGTCGAAGAATATTGTTCCACAAGCGTACTCACCCCTTGGTTCGACCAACTCTCCACTGTTGACCGATGAGTGTGCGACAGAGATTGCAAAGAAGCGTGGCCTTAAGAGCACGTCCGATGTCCTTCTAGGTTACCTGCGTGCGTCCATGCTTGTCATTCGTCCTGTGCAAGAGAATGGTAGTTGATGTGTCCGATTGCAGTGGCCAAGGATATCGTTGTCCTTCCCAAATCAGTAACACCATCCCGTATCGAGTCTAACTTGACCGGTGCGCTAGAGGCATATAGTGCGCTGACACCAGAGGACATCGAAATCCTTGACGGAGTAGCTGCGGGTGGTAAGCAGAAGCGTTTTATCATGCCTCCTTGGGGTAAGTGTTGATGATAGCTGTGGAATTGACGGTACTGAAATGTGTTATCTAGGTATCGACCTCGGCTTCGATAATTGGCCTGCTTCAACAAAGTGAGCAATAGGCGCAGTCAATTGTTGATATATACGATTGATGGTAGGTGAATTGAAGAGCACGACTATAACATCTGAAGCAGACATGGAAACTATCTGCATTAGTAGAGTTGCATGTAATTCGTAGATACATTTTCATCATCATCATTGACGCAATGTCAAACAAATGAATCGTATGCAATGCGACCGCACAGCGAGATGACACGACTCAGGACTAAGCAAGTGCCTCCATTCGTAAGAGGGTGCAAACCGGTGGAGTATACAGTCAGTCTGGTGCGTGGTAATCGGAGCAAGGATTTAGGCTTTAGCACTGGCTATTGTAAACAAGCGTGCTGTCACTCTGCAAGACTGAAAGTACTCCTTGAGGATATGGCCAGTCATCCGCGGGATAGAAATGACAGCTCATCGCTTGTCAAGACGATGAGTGATGCATATATTTTGATTGCGCATGTGCCAGCACAAAGAGAATGACCATGATCATCAAGTGTGACCTGAAGGAGAGGCGTTCAGCTCGTAAACTTGAGCCATCACCCATACTAGGATTATCGTGCAGGCCTGAGTGAAACCATAAATATATCGAAGTCCGTGGGGCAACGGTTGGCCTGACAAGCCAACGGAAAAGCCCACACGTTATAGCAGATTCCTAGGTTGACGCAAATAGGTTGAGAGATTTTTGAAAACATTCTCAATTGGCCCAGCCAGTAAAGTAGAATCTGGACGAGTCGAGTCATCATGACGGCCAAGCACAAGTAATTCAGAGAGTCCTGGGAAAGATTAACACATCATTATCGGCGACCCGCTGTCTATACCGTATAGTGCACCGACGGCAGGAGTCTGTACTAGTCCGATTTCTACCGTGCCAAGTTGGTATTCCGATGGACTCAGGAATTATGTGAGCCTGAGTTAAGGGCTGCACTAGGAGAAAAAATTCAGCTGTCTGTGGCTGTGCTCTTGCGATTACTCGGGAATGTTTTAACGCTAGCGGCGAGTAGGTTGCCGTTGATTCAATATTGGATCACGGAAGCGAGCGAGTTAGAACGAGTTAGACCAGATGATCCTGTGTAAAATTTGCCGGCGAGTCAGGACTCAGAAACATAGCAGTATCATGTTGAGCACGATGTACTGGTCACCGACCACGCAACTTGAACGCTTCGGGTGACGTACGTCGGCCAGAACAACTCTTCCGCAAGCCGAGAAAATATCGGAGCCACGCAAGAGACACGTGGGCGGCGTGGTTTACGCAAAAGGTCCGCGGCACTAATGACACCCACACACTAATAAGGAAGTTGACAATCTTTCAAATTATCGTCATCTTGCGGGAAACACGTATGGTGAATCGGTGCAGGGCAGTTTCAGGTTTGGGTGCTCGCGATGGTCGCATTCGTATATAAGGCAGCCTGTCTGTCTACCCTCATTCCCAACAAGCCTCTTCCTCCTCCTCCTCCTCCTCCTCCTCCTCCTCTCCCAAAATCCTCATTCCGCTATTACCTTTAGACATGCCTGCAGTCGTTATTAACACACATGCCGGACGTGAACTCGACGATGTTTGCGACGCAGTCGATGACGGTGTGCATTCATACACTGCTCCACCGCCTTCGTGACTGATTCACTGTCTCTTTGCAGTAAACGTTCTAAAGGCCAAAATTTGGGACTCAAAGTCCGAGTTTGATTCTGACAAAGACAAGACGACCTTCCGGCAGTATGAAACTGCCTGCGATCGCGTCAAGAATTTTTACAAGGAGCAGCATGGTTTGTTACATTCACCCAATCTACTCATTTGCAACATGGTACTGACGCTGCCACGGTAGAAAAACAGACCGTAGCCTTCAACATCAAGGCCCGCACGGAATTCAAAAGCCGGAAACGCGCTCGCATGGGTATCTGGCAAGCTATGGAAATGCTCAACACGCTTGTGGACGACTCGGATCCAGACGTCAGTGAATCATTGGCTTGCAACTTTCCTTTGCTGACTTGCAATACATATTTAGACCGAGCTTTCGCAAATCGAGCATTTGCTCCAGACTGCCGAGGCCATCCGTCGCGACGGCAAGCCTGAATGGATGCAAGTTACCGGTTTGATCCACGACCTTGGCAAGCTGTTGCACCTATTTGGCAGTGAGGGCCAGTGGGATGTTGTCGGTGTAAGTTCTTTCATCTGGTACTTGTAAAGACCTGCAGACTGATACGCTTCTTTACGCAAGGATACCTTTGTCGTCGGTTGCGCGTTTTCCGATAAAAATATATACCCCGGTACCTTTGCCGGTAACCCAGACTCCCACGACGCCGTTTATTCCACCAAGTATGGAATTTATGAGCCTAATTGCGGCCTTGACAATGTCATGGTGTCTTGGGGTCATGACGAGGTACATTTCTGTCTACATGTTGTATCTTCCGTGCTTATCAAACTTCTCGCAGTATTTATACAATGTTGTCAAGGATCAGAGTTCGCTTCCTACAGAAGGTCTTGCTATGATCAGATACCACAGCTTTTATCCGTAAGCTTCTCTCACCCTGCACCGCCCACCGAATTTTTACAACGTTTATCTAGATGGCACCGTGAGGGAGCTTACACGCACCTCATGAATGAGAAAGATCATGCAGCCCTTGAGGCCGTTCGTGCCTTCAACCCTTATGATCTCTACTCGAAGAGTGACGAGCCCTGCGACACCGAAAAACTTCGCCCATACTACGAAGACCTCATTGCAAAATTCTTCCCTTCCGAGATCGACTGGTAGATGCGATAGATGTGCGCAATCGCGCGCACGACTTTATTGTAAGATCATAGATCCACTGCATGGTATAGACATGGCCTCCTGTGGAGGGCAAAAACTGCGCAGCTTAATCATGTATTTCTTTCAAAAGTTTGTGTCCCTAGTTTTTCCGTTTACTTTACTGCGACAATATCCTCATGTCCATATAGAAGCCTTTATTAGCATTGCAATAATTTACTGCATTATTAACATTCTTACTAGAACAAGTGCCAAGATTTCAGGTACTCTTGCTTTGATCAAAGACCTATTGATGTAGTGAGGGTTGCAAGTTGGAGAATGCTTGCTTGACCTAGTATTCACCAACGTGCAACCCTAACCCTGCGCCACCGCTGTCATTCCATATCTCACGGACTTCACTTCATTATCTTTGACTCATACCTTCTAGATCCTACTAGAGATCCAAACATACTAGACGACCCATCATACTTGTACGATGTCACAGGAATCACCACTTAGCGAACCAGTCATCTACCACGGCAAGAAATTCATCGTGCTCAGCGATTGGTATGTAGACGCTAGATCTAGATCTAAGCGGCGATATCACTGACTACGGTTCGCTGTGCTCAAACAGGGATGGCACAATCACCACTCAGGACTCCAATGATTGTTCGTAGTGTCGAGAACTTATGATGTGTCCTCTCTCTGACCAGAGTACTACGTTTCAGTCGTGACGGACACCTTTGGGATGGGGCACTCAGATCGCGTTCTGCTCAATCAGCGTATACGTAAAGGCGAAGATAACTTCCGGTGCGAAAACATTCTGCATGAAGAAAGCTACAGAATTGATTTCGCCATCTAGAGATGGATTCCGGAAAATGATCCTGAGCGTCGTTGAGAATGGAAAAAAGGAAGGCAAGGTGACGCATACATTCGAGTTCTGCAAAAATGCTGTCGCGGACAGTGAGTTTTGTCTGCGCATGGCGGGCTTTTATATTTGTCCTGAGCTACTGATGTATAGACTATTTCAGACATCAAAGTCGACGATACTTTCAAGGGTTTCTACGAATTTTGCGAAACGAATGATATACCCGTGGTAATCGTGTCCAGGTACAAAAGAATTTATGGTTTCACCGTGCTATTCATCGAGTCATACCTCCGCAGTGGTATGGAACCTATCATCCGTGCAGTCCTGAATAAGCACCTCGCCAGCCTCGACGGCATTCAAATAATATCGAACGAGGTGAAAACCTATGATGATGGAAGTTGGGACATTCAATACCGTCATCCCGAGAGGTAGCATTGCACATCACTGTTTCGCGTTTGACTAAAGATGATAAATTAGCGGCTTCGGACACGACAAGTCGAAGGCGATTGCCCCATACAGGAATATGGAGCCGGCCCCGATCGTATTCTTCTTTGGTGATGGCGTTTCAGACTTATCCGCAGCGCGGGGAGCGACTTGTCTGTTCGTTAAGCACAAGCCAAATGGAGAGAACGAATTGATGGAATACTGCATCATGAACAAGATCAAGCACAGATTATTCCAGAGTTTCGAGGAAGCGCAAAATTTGATGAAGCTCATCATCTTTGCGAAGACGGAGGAAGAGCGACAGAATATCATTTCACGGGAGTGGCCCGAAGTAGTTTAGAAGTGATCTCACCTCACCCCTAGTGCTGGTAATCGCAGGGGAGAAGCAGCATTGGATACTCGTAACACAATGCATTTAGATCTGAAGGCATCAATATCGTGCCTCGAGTTGAACCCAGCTTATGATTCTCGGTGTCTTGGTGCTTCGCCTGGATATGATGGATGTCACATACAACTGCAATTTCCAACGAACCAAACAATGCAGTAGTCCCCTTGTCACGGCAAATGCCGGGCAAGAGCGAATTTGACTCGATGATGGATCTCAGCATGACTGAACAGTAAGATGAATCATCGCAAGGAAAATTGAGTACTCGCCTGCGAACGTTCTGAATAATTCCGATCTTCCCCAATGAGGTTGATGAACCAAATTCGCCTTCATCCTCACCAATGTCTGTAGACATCTTCATTTCCATAATTTTCTGTGGAGAAAGACTCAATCAACCGCTGGAGTGTTGCAATTGTGCATACAAAGCCTGAACCACGAAAAGGATACAAATTATCATATGTTTTATCATGTGATATATATGAAACTGGCTAATACTATCCCTTACGCTCTATTCGTGACGGTCCACAATTTCGTGAGTCACACTCAGGTCACGAATAGTAACGGACAGTCACACTGGCCGAATCTACAGTCCGCTCGGCAGACGTTAGAATCTTCGTGATTCGTGATTCGGGATTCGTGAACTTCAACAGTGATTGATTAGGACGCTACTTATAAGTCTGTGAGCTACAGTATGTACCGAAAAATTATATAGAACTAAATGCAATCATTAATGATGTGTAAAATATTGCTGAGGGAATGTATGTGGATGTGGGTATTGATGCATACTAGTAGATGGATTATGAAGTCCGTGACTCGGACTCGGATGCGCGGGTTGAGCAAAAAAATATGGTGGATGTGGTAGCCCAGCTCAGCGCTCGCTACTTGCTCACGCGCTCACGGATTGCAGCTGCAATGAAACACGCTGTTAAATTCAATGTCCGACGTCGGCAGCCTCGGCAGGTGACACTGAAATCGTGATTTTGGCTGCTGTCACGCTGAAAACACGATCTCCACCATTTCTCAACAGATTTGTTTCGTTCCACTTGGAATATGCTAGTATATAGTATATAGAATATACTGAGTGAAGTAGCTAAGTAATTACATTGAAGTTGAGTGCTGCAGACAAAAATCACGAAATTGTGGACCGTCACGAATAGAGCGTAAGGGATAGTATTTGAATTTTGAACTGACATCAGGATTACAAAGTCAAGAGTTTGCCGTTATATGCATGCCCTGTCACGGTCTTGGGAGCGCGAGGGTCTTCCCGGTAGCTTCAGTCTTGCTGTCTCTGCGCCGTCCTCGCTCCTCACCGCGTTCATTTCGTGTTTCCTACTCTAGCTCCATTGCCACCCCGACTCAATGGTTGCGTCGCAAGTTCTCTATCATGGCGCATCCTCCTAGCGACTTTTTTGAATATACTTCAGGGCGGTGGATGTAAGTCTCATACATGTTATTCTATGGGGTATACTATGTCTAACCCGTAATCTAATATGTTCAGCTTTAACGATGACCTTCGCCACGCAGAACGCAGACGTGTCTTCAAGGTCGATGAGCTATGTCGACTTGCAGCGGAGGCCGTCAATCGGAGTCCTGATGCTATTATGCGTATGGAGAAACTAGCCGAGGGTGGGTTTAACCGCACTTTCCTCATTACCATGTGCTGTGGCTTCCAAATGGTGGCACGTATCCCGTACCCGGCTACGATTCCCAAGTACTTTACTGTCGCCAGTGAAGTGGCTACTATGGCCTTCCTCCGTTCCTCTGGGCTGCCTATACCTGAGGTATACGGATACTCACCTACGCCGAACAACGTGGCAGGGACCGAGTACTGTAGAGATACGCACTTAGCTTCGTCACAGCGTCACACGTCCGACGAATCGAAGCTATTTCGTGTGACCGTCACACAAGATTGAAGTCATCGAAGGTAAATTGTGACACACGGTAAAACATGAAAAAAAATGCAAAAATGTTCTCAAAAATTCTTGTACTGATTATTTGCCATGCATCTCGCTTTACATGACCAAAATTTTCTTCATCACCATCAGCTGTGAGCTCTTGCTGACAGCAGCTGGTAGTGGTGCTGATTCGAAACTATTTTTGACATGTCACAGGTCACACCCATCTTCGAATCTTCGAAGCTAAGGTTCAGTTGGTCACACCCAGATGATGTCGAAGCTAAGTGCGTATCTCTACAGTATATCTTCATGGAATTCATACAAGGCACCAATTTAAGTGACATATGGTTTGGCCTAGGGGAAGGGGAAATCATTTCAATCTCACGCCAACTTGCTGAACTCGAGTCGAAGATGATGTTGATTGCTTTCCCGGCCGGCGGAAGCCTTTACTATGCTGAAGACTTGGAGAATGCAGCCGAGAGCGCCTCTTGGCCTACTAGACCGGGCATCACACTAGAAAACAAGCATTTCTGCGTCGGCCCAGATACAAGTCTGCGTCTATGGTATGGCAAGAGATCACAGCTCGACTTAGATCGAGGACCATGTATGCCGCTCCCTGCCTTTGTATTACTCCCTTGAACTAACTAATAACTATAGATGAAAGTGCCGAAGCAGCCCTCGTAAGAGGGGCCGAAAAGGAACTAGCTTATTTACTGCGGTTCGGTCGACCGCTGTTGCCGTTCCAGCGCGTGAGGAGGGAGGCTTACAAGTATCAGGAGCAGCAGCCGTCAGATCACATCGAGAACCTGGACCGCTATCGTCTCATCGCGTCCTCACTCATCCCCAGGAACCTAGCTCTCAATCATTTCCGCATCCGTCATCCCGACCTCCAGCCGAGCAATATCATCGTTTCTAGGTCGCCCGACTCTAACTTGCACGTCGTCGGTCTGATCGACTGGCAACACACCTCAATCCTACCCCTGTTTCTCCTTACCGGTATACCCCAACAGCTACAGAATTACGATGATATTGGCTCACAATCTTTGACGCGGCCTTCATTACCGGAGAAATTGGATGACTTGGAAGAAACACAGCAAAGCGGAGACATGGAACTCTACCGTCGACGCCTCGTCCATTACTACTACGTCAAAACACGGAGGAGTACAACACGCTTCATTACGCGGCGTTAACGGACCCCGTGGGCATGCTCCGTCGCCGCCTTTTCTGCCACGCCAGTGACCCGTGGGAGGGCGAAACTCTTGCGCTGAAGGTTGCGCTGATACAAGCAACGGAGAACTGGAAGATGCTCACCGGGGGAGGCCTGCCGTGTCCTGTCGTGTTCGACCCCGACGACGTGCGCGAGACGATTAAGCTGGATGCAGAACAGAGAGAAGCGGATGAGTCTCTAGAGGCGTGCCGGGTCGTGATCGGCTTTGGACCGGAAGGCTGGATGCCTGCCGAGCACTACGAAGAAGCCATGGCAGTCAGCAAGAAGCTGAAGGAGGATGGCTTGGCGGCGGCCGAGTCAGAGGAGGAACGGGCTCAGGTCGCAGCGCACTGGCCCTTGGACGACATGGACGAAGAGGAATACATGTAATGAATGCAGGGCCGGTATGATGAAGTATTCCAAGAACCGAATGGGAACCAGACGTCGCGACCATTTGGGTAAGGCCGAACCACACGGTGCTGGGATAGAGAAGGGAGGCTCATGCATATGCTAAAATTCGGTACCGACAGTCACGTCGGAGGCCATGGCTCTTTAAAAGTCCTGTTACAGCAAATACGAACGTAAGCCGGAGTGTAACTTATTTTTGATTATCCTATTTCCACAAGCTTTGTGGGAGATATCTAATTGATGGCGTGAGGCCGTACAGGTTTCGCCACAAAAGTTCCAGACTCTAGTGCAAGCCCAGTAAATGATTTGCATGCCAATGCAAGAATCAGGAGTGTCATACTTGCCTGCCGGTGGCACAACTTGGTCCGAAGTATCATACATCGGAAGCAACATTGTTCCGAGTCGCAGTGTGGGTTCGAAATTCGAATCTATAGTAGTGAGGGGTTCTAAATTTATTGGCCGTGGGACCTTGAGGCGTGACCCGTGAGTACAGTAGGAGGTTTTGTTTGTTACAAGTTTGGTCCGTGCCCTTTATATATTTGGCACCGAATAGGGTACATTCGTTGTTTCATTGCCGCCTGGTCAGGCTGGCTCAGCAGTCGCCACGCATGCACAGCAACCCAGAAATGTCTAGGAGAGCTCATAGCGGGAGACTCTTGTATATCTGCTACCATGCTTCTAGATTCAGACTTCTGTGGTGGTCCTGATCGGTCCCGGATTCTCGTACTATTCGTGTGCCTATTATTTAGCTTGGACCATACGATACTCGGTATTTCTTGCATCCAGGAGAACGAGGTGATTGATGGGTGGGAATAGCAACACAAGCCCGACCATGTCACTACTCTACGGAGCTGAGCAACCTTGCACTGTTACTGCTCATAAGTTGCTGATCGCATGCTTACCTATGGCTACTTTGTTCAAATGTCAGCGCTCCAGCTGCCAAACCTGAACATGCTGCAAATTGATGTCACATGTCTTCCAGTTTATCTATATCGATTCATATGGACGCTTTCAACTTCCATGTGTTCCTTCAAGCGAGTCCTGTCAGTACTACGGCTACCCCGACCCATATAAGTTTCCTGGGGTCATTCATGATGCATTAGCGAGACTCCCACTCTTTTTTTCAACATGCAGTCGTTCTCAAAGCTTCTTCGCGCAGTTCTCCTCGCCACCGTCACGGTGACCTCTGTATCGGCTTCGAGTTTCTTTAGGATGCCCCTGACGAAGCTCACGCCTCCTAGCTTATCCCTTGCAGGACTGCCCGATGCTGATCGTGCACGTGCAGCAGTTCTTAAGGGCTTCGCTTCAGGTGGTCCCACAACAGTCCCTGCATCTAACCTCGCATATGTCCAGTACACAACCAGTGTTGGCGTTGGCAGTCCTCCGACGTACTACAATTTGGTTGTCGACACCGGTAGCTCAAATACTTTTGTCGGGTAAGACCTGATTTGTTGTTCCCTTGCGCCAAATCTCATTTTATCTCAAGAACTGGGACGCCGTATGTCCGGACCTCGACCAGTATCTTCACTGGTGAAGATGTCAACGTTACTTACGGCTCTGGTTACTTTTCTGGTTTGGAGTGTAGGTCTCTGTGCTGCTTAAGACCAGTAACATCTGAAAATTCGGCCTTTAGATCTCGACCAGGTAACGCTCGCTCCAGGTTTTGCCATCACAAACCAGTCCATCGGCGATGCTCTTTCCTATGCCGACTTCGAGGGCGTCGATGGCATCGTCGGGGTCGGACCTGTCATTCTGACTGAGGGCACACTCTCACCAAGTACCAATGAGCTGATTCCCACTGTTATGAACAACGCCCTCTCGCAGGGTTTGATCACAGAGGAAATATTAGGTGTCTCTTTCGCACCTGCAACGAGTTACAATGACACCAGTAAGAGGGGTCATGTAGTATGATTGAAGGTGATCTAATTTGCGCGTAGATGGAGCCCTCACTTACGGAGGAATCGATTCGTCTTTGGTGAGCCCAAAAAGTATGTCCTGAACAATGGTCCTGAATTTTATCCAGTACATCGGCGAAATCACTTACACACCGGTTACTGCCACTTACCCTGCTGGCTACTACTGGGGCATCAATGTCACACATGCAACGTACGGCTCCGCAACGACCGTTATTCCAACGTCAACTGCCGGAATCGTCGATACTGGCACCACTCGTAGGGGTTTATCACCCACATACGCATACTTTCTAACACATGTCTAGTGATCCTCCTCGCTGATAACTTCTTCGAGTCCTACTTGCGTGCCATCCCTGGTGCCAAGATCGACGAGAGCACGGGCCTTATGACCGTCCCTGAAAACTCTGTCTCGGAGATCCAACCATTGAACTTTACTATCGGCGGCACCGTCTTCAGTCTCGACGCTGCAGCACAACTCATTCCGACTGACCAGAACACCGCATGGGGCTTGTCAGCAAACAAGCAGTACGGCGTTGTCTCATACTTGGGGACTAACAGTGGTGAAGGGCTAGACTTCATCATCGGGCAGAAGTTCATGGAGAAGTACTATGCTGTGAGTTGTCAAATCACGAGGTGACTATGTAGTCTGGGTATTGATTGCTTTGCAGGTTTTCGACACGGATAGTAATCGCGTTGGACTTGCTTATACGTGAGTTTTTTTCGCCGTACCTAGGTTTCTTTTCCGACTGAGAAGTTTTTTTTATGAAAGTGAACATACATTTACCACGTACACTCCTTGATATAGGAGTGTCTTCTGAAGGGGATGAGTGGCAGTAAATACCTCCTTTACACATACCTCACGTTTCTCTTGCTCCGATTGGGTTACCACATGAGCCTTTTAATTCATTGCGCCACTCCCCAGGGCCCAAGACTTCATGCACCTTTTTGGGATGCACTCATATGGTGCTTATCAGTGCTATGACTGAGAGATATAGATGTGTAGTCTCGTACCCAGACGTTGAGGGGACAGTTGCATGCTTGACACCAAAGAATCCTAACTGGGACCTGAGAACAACATTACAAGAGGCAAATGAGGAAGCGATGAATGCAGCCTCGGAGTCGCTTTGAAAATCTATCGCAGTTAGCCTTGAGATATTGAAGGCATAAGCGTTGGAGTTTCTCGTGCACCAGACAATTATTGCCAAACCCAGGAGCGTTCCCAGTGACTGTGCTATAGATAGAGGCCTGCGGAAAATCACACATGATGGAAGCCCCAGATTCGCCTCTATTTCAGATTTACGTCACGGTGGATACTGTCAGGCCGGTCTGGCAGAGCAGTTTGGGAAGTCTCTGAAGCAGTGCTGTGGTAGCCTATCAGTGTAGCCTACTCCAGCGGTTCGGGTTATTTCCTGGTGAGAAATGCTGTTCGATGTGAGTAACAGAGCGCAAGCGTGTTACACTGCCACGGGAAGTGATGAGTACCGGAAGGCCACCGTGGGATTAATGATGGATTGACACGTGGGTAACAATTATATTGCACTGTCACGCGGGTGTGATTTCAACAAATTATTACAACTTGAACTTTGAAATTTAACCACTAGTGCGGCTGCCAAGCACAGGCTCTGTGGGCACTGTAAGGGCACCGGCCTCATACAGAGACACTATTCATGATTGTCATTCCGTTCTTTATCCGTTTTTTCTTATTGTATTTCGTCATAGGTGAGGCGGTACTTGCACCCGTTCCTTATCCCGAGCCGTATTGATCGACGATCAGGTATCAAGCGGAAAGGCTCAGGCTATATCTTGCTCTGTTCTTCCTCCAAAAATTTCAGTGCGGGGACATTTTTCAGCTGATTTTAAGTACCAGCCACAACGTACGTGGTGTCTTCTCGATTCACCAATTTTCCCCACCTTACTTCATGAACATGTGGTTTTGCAATTTACAGGATCGACACTTCAAATCTTCGTTCTCACACTTTCCGAGTCTGAATGGGCACAAAGACTACCGGTAGCCTCTCGTTCTCCATGTTGCCCCGATTTGGTTTTGCTCCGGGTCACAAATCAGGGTCTTCATCTCGTTCTCCCTATGCTGAACACCCTCAAGAAGACTGGTATATTCCCTACAATGGTCCGTTAGAACCACCCAAGGGCGTCTCAATGGCCAAGCAAGATACCACGAGACACTTCGTTAGACAGCATGACGTAAATGCATTTTTGGAAGACTCTCAATTACTGGACCGCTACCGGGACACGTCTGTGAACGATGCCGAGCCAGTACGACTTGGTCCATCTTCACAATCAGCCGGGTTTCCCAGAACCCGAGTTCGCTCTGATTTCACGAGGCGTACTACGAGCTCATCGAGTGTCATCAGCCCGATACAGCCGCATTCTCGACGGCGGCAGGCAAGTGCACCGCGCTTGCAAATCCCCACTCACACTAGCATGGATGCTAGTGCTGACGTTGGCGAATCCCCCATGCCTATGCAGCGTATTGCAATGTCGTCCCCTCAGAAAAAAATGGGTTGGTTCTTCGGCTTCGGATCTAGCAAAAAGCAAAAAAGACAATCAACCAGTACACCGGTATCCCCTATTAGTCAGACTAGCATGCCGGGAACATGGCTTCCCAGTTCTGTCCAGCATAGTATACTCCAGGAAAACGTTAATTTTGCGAAACCTTCAGGTTCTAGTCCCAACACTAGCAATCACTTCGACTCAACTTCTGTCACATTGGCACAACCATCCCGCAGAAGTCAGACCCTCCATTACCCGTCACGGGTAGATCTCTCTCCATCCAAGCAGCGTTCCGCCCGGCACCTCAAAGTCAATCAAGACTCGTTTGCTTCATTCCCGATTACAACCTATGACTCTTCAACTATCTTCATGGCTCACCCCTATGCAAATACATCCTCCTCTGCTTCTGTATCTGCTTTTCGAACGGGAACTTCTCAACAATTTCGTCAAGAACATCAACAACTGGATTCAGGATCACAACATACTCATTTCTCGCACGATAATCTCACTCGCCGTAATCGGGCACTCACCTATGCGACTGACCCTCGCAGTAATTATACCGCCGCATCGGTTAAAAATGCACGTCCCTTGAAGCCCTCTGTCTCCACCCCAAATCTTTTTGCTGCATCACACGACAAGCCTTTGCAACAGAGCACAAAATCAACACCGCAGGTAGCAGGCGTCGAACGCTGGCTATCTCCTGAGACATGGTGTGACGCACTGTTTTTTCCACGTCCACGCCTAAAAGTCAAGCGCGCACATGGGCCACATGGAGGAAGCAGTGGACGAATCCTCAGTCCGCCTATCACGCCTGTTGCTGAGGGGGCTACTCCGAGTCTCAGTCCTGCTTCACTTTGCAGGCGACCGCAGGTGTCATTGGTTACAACTGATGCACCGAGGAAACATCACGTTTTGTTGAAATCTAGGTCGGTTGATGTCTTGACTGGCCCTTCTATTTCTGGCAGACCTCGTACTGCACCCATGCAACGGCGTCCAGCCACAGATCCAGATTCAATTGAGGACCCAAATGTCAAGGAGTCAGAATTTGCACCGGGCGCATCGACCGCGCAACAGGAACTCCGTCCGTCAACCTCTGTGCCATCATTATCCCAGTAAGCTACAATTTGTAGGTGCCTAACCAATAACCAAGTACTCCTGCAGAGTTCTCGAAGAAGGCGAAGTTCTAGAAGAACAACGAAGGCAGTGGCAGCATCAGGCTTCACGCTCGTTCGGAAACAGCCGAACCCGCTCCCTCTCCCGCGCTCGTACCAGGTCATTGTCACGAAGTCATGGGCACAAGTCGGAGGGCAGCACGACCCTAGAATATCTGGCTGCACGGACGCTTCTTGGAGGTCAGAGCATTCCCCCCACCATTAACGTTGCAAGACCTTCGCACTCTCGATCTCATTCCCATTCACACACTCGTTCAAATTCTCGCGGGCGCTCTAGTTCATTCTCGTTTACACACTCACACTCACACTCCCTTGGTAAATCCAATTCGCAAAGGTCGCTCACGGATCCTCAACCTCAAAGTCCTCGGCATGCCCGCAATGACTCCTGGGGCAAAACTGCCTTGCTTAAAGCATGCGCACCTTGCGGGGATCTTAGTAATTTGCTGGGTACCCATGTTGAGAACAAAAAACCGGCCCTGGAACCTATGACGGAGGAAACCAAAATCATACATCTGAGTAGTCCTGCGGGTTCTCCGTGCAACGAAGCCGACGAAGGATGCGTCATCGTTATAGGGACTTCCCCAGCCCCGACTACACCAAGCGGGGAAGGAGTTGGTATCGCACTTTCATCTCCTCCTCCTTCCGACGATCGCATCTGTCCTGATCCCAAACTCCCCAGCATGCCCAGCCATCCATATGCTACCGGTGCCATCTATACACAGTATTCTAATTCAGTTTCTGAGCTTGGCGTACAACATGCCCTTAAAGTGTCTGATTACGCTGGGCCACATCCATCAGCCTACGACCCTCAACTCCCTTCGAATACTGCTACAAGCGACGTCAGCATGCGTCACAGGCTCCCTCCGCGGGCAATGCAGCCGGGTGCAATCTCACATCCTTACGCTGCTGGATCAAGTGAGCCGGTAACCTCACAGCAGCGCGGTGGCTCTGTGCTTTCTACGCTTCTGCACCCGCCAAGTGTTGTGCAGAAAGACGATGATATCGCATCTGGTAACCACATATCCATCAGCAGTCCTGAATTCGAGAAGTATGGCGTCGGTGAGGTTCTTGTGTTCGCTGCGCCATCGCGAGACGAGCAGGAAACCGACTTCGAGGATCAATCTTTGGGAACCATCGTCTCGTGTCAGCAGGATACTCTGAGTCGAATCATAGACAAAGGGAAGGCCAAGGACTTGTCACCTGCATCCATGACCTCCGATAATAGTGAATCCCGGATACCCGCTTCTGACTCTGTGGTTGTTTCCACTCGTCCTCCGAGTCTGATATCCGTGACAGCAGTTGAAGGCAGGGACTCGACCTACTCTCCTGGCACCCTCCGTACCTCGACCAACATCACCTCCGCACATCTTGTTATTTCAGCTTTGGACAATGATGATCTGGACGAATTTCAAGATCTGTTCTACAAGCCTCCCCAGAGCAGGCTCTCCAGTGAAAAATCTAGCATAAAACATCAGGACGCAAGCGAAACCAGCAGGGGTATACCGTCGGATATTCACAGCTCTTATTCTGGAAGCGCGCTCACCAACCTCATGCGCAGTATGAGCGAGATTGGAGAGCTGCATGTGTCGGCCTCAGACATCTCCTATGGGCAGAGATCAGGCGGGCCAGGGGACGAACTATCTCAAACATATGTCTTCATGGACATGTCCAGGACTCCTTCACCGGTGCAGGTCGGTCCTTGTGGTGTTACCCAGTCGCCAGCCCAGCTTTACGATGCACCCTTTGAAGCGGGTGTCCCAGAAGATATTGAATCCTCTCGAGCATCTTCTCTTCTGATAGTCTCACAAGAGAATGACACTTTTGGTATGCGACACTCTGTAGGATTCGATTAGTGGCTGACGAACATCTCTCACAGGTTACCCCATCCGGCAAGACGTCGTTGACGCTGCAGGAACATCTACCATTCACCAGGGCTCTCATAGAACTTCTACATACGCTTCGATCCATGATGCCGCCGAAGAAGCTGACCTGGTCAGCCCCATCTCATCATTCCAATCGCCGCCTGTCTCTGCAGATGCCATGCGGTCGAGCTACATGACCAGCGGGTCTGAGTACTCACGCATGTCCAACCTCTCCGATTTCCCCGATCCTCCCGCTCGAACAAATGTATCACCTAACCAACCCTCCCTTCTTCAGATTTATGTCGACCCTCCTACGCCACTCCAGTCAGAGAGCTTTCAGGGAACCGACTCTCCTCAATCTGGGGCCCGCGTCTTCAGCTTAGAGAGCCACCACACAACTTTTGGTGGTAATGACGACATGGACATCATTACACAGGTTCACAGGTCTGAGCTCTGAATGTCACATCTATTGCATGTTCCTCTTACCGGAATCACCGTCTAAGCTGTCTATTCTCGGACGGTGCATATGTAGGATATTTTCAACTGTCATTATTGTTGTACTGCAATGTAGACTCTAGTATCATGCTTTGCTTACTTTCCTATTCTTGATTAGAATACACGCTAATTTGCACGTACTAAACTTTTGCCAATCCAACGCTGAACATCAATTCCTCACTTTTGGCGCCTTGGCAATGCTGAAGTTCATCGACTAGTCACTAGTCACATCCGAAATACAGACTAATCCGTCCAATGCATGCGCGTATAACCTTGCAATGATATCTAGATAAGGAGGTCGTCATCTTATTTAGAAATCCTGACGAGCTGGACGGAATCGGAAGCCCTTTCCTTCTTGCAGATCTTATTTCAGAATGATGTTTAATACAATGATTATGCCTCAAGCGGGCCTCAGATTTGCGCTCTTCAATGGACAACTGGATGACGGAGAACAATGGGGTTATGAATTGATCATGAATGTCATAGTCTCCGGTAAATATAGCTGACATTCGCTCAAGTGTAATATAATACTTCCACTATGAAAATGATTAATCTACAAAGACTGAAATAGGACGCACGACCATCTACGTCTTTTTCTTCTTGTGTGACTTCTTAGGTGCCGGCGCGGGAACAGGAGAAGGTGACCCCGACTCCTGTGGCGTTTCATCCTTCTGCACATCATCTATTCCGCGCTTCTAAGAGCCAACGTCAGGGTAGACATTGCAAGACGCAGTGACGAACATACCTTGCCCCGCGATCCACCCTTCGGCTTCACCTCCTCCGCCTGCCTTGCCTCTGCCTCCTTCTCGATCATACCTAACAATGTATTACATCTGCGCTGCAGTTCCTGAGGGGTCCGGCTCTTGAAAAACCAATCAAAACGGAATACAGGAAACTCCATGATATCCTTCTTGATACGTTCGTAGATGTCATCTGCGCCCATCCCGTAGTGGTTCAACCGACACAGGAGGTACCTATCCGCTTCTTCGCTGTAGACCTTGCCTTTCGTAGTCGGGTAGTTGAGCTCGAGCTCTTGCATGGGATAGCGCACCGAGGCAATCTTCTTCGCAAGTAGAAATTCGAGATTTGACCGCTTGTTACGCTTGGCTTCACCTTCAGCAATACGTGCAGCAATTCTTGGATGTTCTGCATTCAGATAACTCAGCTAGCATTCGGAAGAGTACACCTGATCAATACTCTTACCAGAGAGTTCCTTCCAGTGCTTCTTGAAGTACAGGTAGTACCTTTTAACCTGTCTCCAGTCCTTGTCCTGTATCTCCGAGGATAACAGATCGTAGTCATCTGTCCTACACGTCCGTCAGTAACCTACCTCACAGCAAAGTAGAAAAAACAATACCATCCAAAATTCTCAAGCGCGCGGACAAACTGCTGGAAGTCTCGTCTGCTCCAATCGTGGAAGCCAGCCTCAGTGTACTTCTCTTTCAGTGCCTGCTCCTCCTCTGTCAAAGGCTCGGCGGTATCTATGAATTCTTGGGCAGCTGCGCGCTCGGCTTCGAGTTTTTCAGGCGTGTCGTCAGGTCCTGGTTCACGAGGAGTAGCTGTGATCCCATTTTGCCTCTGGTCGCAGAATGAATAATAAATGAAAAAATGGTAATAAAGAGCATACTTTGTGCACCGCGAGTTCTCGTTCCTGAAGCTGAGCCAGAGCGGGGTCGAAAAACTGGAAATCTTGTCTGCAGGAAGAATTTAATTGACATGAAAGGACAAGAACAGAAACTATGCGCACATTTGTATTTGCTTTGGGGCACGAGGAAGCTTTGGAGCCTTCTCTGTCTTCGCTGGACCAACTCGAAGCGTCTCCTTGTAATAGTTGTCGACGGAGTAATTTGCCTTCCGTTCACGCTTCGAGAGGGATAGCATATTGAAGTTGAGGCCTTTCCGCTGAACGATGGTTTACGATTCAGAACACTCGAGACCATGCCAAAACTGAAACGGAAACGTACACCTGGCCGGAAGTCTTCGCCTTCCCACTGTTGCACAGTAGCATCGGACTTGAAATTATTTAAGTCCTCAAGATTGAGGCCCTCATACTTGCTGTTAAGCTCTGCCGTACGCTCTTCACCGCGTTGAACAATAGCTTCAATGTCGTCGTTGATGAGGAATCTGATTGGTGGTGATCAAGAAACATGAAACATGCGTAATGCCAAGTAACTCACGCATCAGCTGAATTGATAAGCTTTTCAGCGCCGTGTGTAATCATTTCGAGCAGCTCGTCCTTGCTGGCAGCTGCACCCAACCAGTGAGCGCTTGTGCAAGAAACCCCCTGATTAGAATCCTACCTTTTGCTTGTTGTTGGCGACCTTGTTGAATAACTAGCTGGTCGAGCCGGAGTTTCTGCGCAGCACGCTCAAGCATACGCTCCTCAACGCTATCCTCTGTGATAAAGCGGAAGACGTAGACTTGCTTAGTTTGTCCAATGCGATGCGCTCGATCCATAGCTTGCAAATCGGCCTGAGGATTCCTGTAAATGGATGAGCAAAGCGAAGAGATACAAAGATGGATAACAAACCAATCGCTATCATATAAAATGACAATGTCAGCGGTGGTGAGGTTGATACCCAAACCTCCGGCTCGCGTGGTCAAAAGAAATATGAATTTCTCGCTGCCGGGCTTGTTGTATTCGTCGATAGCTACGATTCGATCGTCATGCGCTGTGCTACCATCGATACGACAGTACTCTGTTCAACGAGCCAGAAGTCAACTCAGAAGACGGTAATTTTGAGATATTACGTACTGAAACCTCTGAACAGACAATAGTCTTCAAGAATATCCAGCACTCTGCTCATCTGACTGAAGATCAGTACACGAGAGCCCTTCTCGTTCATGGACTTGAGAAGTTTGTCAAGAATAATCATCTTGCCCGAGTTTTGGATGAGGTGCTCATCGGTCGTATACGGAGGACCAGGTTCCTTGATTACTAGGTTCAGTTTCGAGCATCTAAAAGCGATAATGACGGACGTACTGCGCCGTCGAACAAGTAAGGGTGACAAGTCACCTTACGCAACTGCATGACCATGTTCATGAGGCGGGTCTTGCCTTCCTTCTTTCCAGTCAAGCCTTGGAATAGGTGAGATGAGTAAAGCGAGCCAAGTTAAGAAGAGTAGCGTACCATTGACAGCATCTATGTCCTTCTCAAGCACTGACCGGTACCACTTCCGTTGCATCTCTGTCAGGCCAACGTAGATGTTGATTTCCTTCTCTGCGGGAAGGCAGCGTCAGCGCAAACACATGCGTATATCAATTAGACGTACTAGGCAGAAGATTTTTCTCCACATCGGACTTGACACGCCGCAAGAGGAACGGACGAAGAATTTTGTGAAGAGCTTCCACGACTTTCTTGCTCTTATCCTCCTCCCCCTCCGCATTATCGTCATCCTTGTGTAGGAAAGAATCCAAATCCGCATAATCTGAGAATATTTCAGGGCAAATGAAGTTCAAAAGCGCAAATAGCTCCTTGAGGTTGTTCTGCAGCGGCGTTCCTGTGATGAGCAGACGTCCACGCGACATGAACGAGCGAACGATCTGAGCGAGAATGGAATCCACGTTTTTGATACGGTGCGCTTCATCAATCACGATGTATTCGAAAGAAAATTTCTTGAGTGCCGACTTTTCGATTAGACATATTTCATATGAAGTAATGCAGACATCGAAATCCTGAGGGATGAGCCGATTGGCGATGATTTCTGCGCGTTCTTCCTTTGAGCCAGTCAAAACGACGACGTTCACATCTGGTGTCCATTGTCCGAACTCGCGAGCCCAGTTCTGAAGGGTGGATTTAGGGACAACAATCAGATGGGGACCAAGAGTATCGCGATAGTGTTTCAAGTAGGAAAGGAAAGAGATGGTCTGCAATGTTTTACCGAGACCCTGTATAATTCAGTGAGTATTAAGTGAAATATAAACGAGTTATGATACCACATACCATCTCGTCGGCGAGAATACCGTTCAACCCATTATGATGCAATGAAACCATCCAATTAAGTCCTTGAAGTTGGTATGTTCTCATCGTACCGTTGATATCTAAAAGTATGGTTTAACGTGGCTAGTCGTGGGGTTGGACGACACGTACAGCTCGGCGATTCTTCAAAGACATAGGGTTGGTCGTCTCCATCGGCAGCGAATCCCCCATCTTTCAACAACTCTTCATCTTCTTCCTTCTCAGACTTGCGATGACGTGCGTTCTCGTCACTTCTCGAAGAATTAGTCGGTGGTTATACAAAAGAGACACGAATGACGCACGCTCCCTTCTTCCTACCCCTACCCTTTGGCTTCGGCTGCGAGTCTAATAGAGCAGCATATTGTGGATCACGAGTTTTCTACGGGACGGTGAGCAGAATACGATGGGCCCGACGTGATATAACGCGCCTTAATGTCGACAAAGTGCTTGAAAAGATCGGTCTGACCGAGAAGGTACGAGTATCGTTTGACAGCATCGGTAATCTAAAGCGGGATAAGAAAGTCGGCTCCTGGTAGTCGCGCGCACTCACTTTCGCTTTGTCCATTTCCTGTCGTTTGACGTGGAGTTGACTCTCTTCAGCCTTGCGCTTTCGTTTCTTTTGCTGCCTCTCCACAGTTTGCTGAATTTTTGCCAGCTTCGATGGAGATGAGCTACCAGCAACGGGTGCCTAATTGAACATATGATAAGTTAGAACCAAGGGTGAACGTGAGGAGGCAATGTCATGAACGCACCTCCTGCTCGTCATCGCTGACGAGCTCATCTTCCTGAGCACTCATCCCTTCGTCGACGTACTCGCTCTCGCCGTCATCTACCCCCTCGCTTTGCTGAGAAACAAACACAGTAATTCAATTTCAGGATGGTGTTACAGTAGGGCATGCTGGCTGCTAACCTGACGCGACACGATGTTGCTAGGAACAAAGTCGCTTAAAACATCCTCATCTAGAACCATGAGGTCCTTGAGGGCGATCAGCTGGTAAAAAGATGTTGAAAAACTCGACGTACGGCCATTTGTGTATTTGTTGTGGTGGTCTATGGAAAGTCAAACTTGCAATTGGAGTTACTTAAGTAAGAACTTGAAGCTCGAAATGGCCAAGACGTGACACGATAACTCGATTTATCAATTTTGGACTGTGTCTGGACTATGAATGATACTTCAAGTGATCCGAAAGCAAGGAAGCTTGCAGAGTCCAAACTACACACTGCCACTAGTAAAATACTCGAAACTTGTGACAAAACCAATGATTTTTACTGCGAGGTGACCAGAAGTAGACGATCTCATGATCATCTTCAAAGTTTCTCACATAGGTTTCGAGTCATCCTGCATCATCCGCCTGAGCTCCGTCTCCGGAGCCCTCGCCTTGAATTGAATAAAGGATGGCTGATTCTCTCCCCTCATGAACGCCATGTCATCCAGCGACTTCGTATCATCCAGATTCAGATGGAAGGCCCAAAGAATGAGGAGCGAGGCAATGAACACTGATCTGCAGTGGTCGTGTTGAACTTGGAAGGTTATGTACGCAGAAGGAAACACCTACCTGGTCGCAACATGTTGCCCGGGGCATACGCTAAAAACAATGAGTCGGTCAAAATTCGAGTATCCGCTGTCTAGAAGAACAGTTGTTTACCGACGACCAAACCCGAAGACAAAGAATTTAAGATGGTCCCCAAGGCAACCTTGATCATTAGTCCAGCGCTCAGGCTTGAAAGCATGAGGTTCTGGGAAGATATCTGGGTCTCGAGAGATGGACCTGATGCACTATCCGTCAGTCCCCCGTTACCTTGTGTCTTGAAGGACTAACCAATGATGACCGATTACAGTGGTCCCAGCCGGAATACAATAGTTTACCTGATGGGCTAGGCGATTATTCTCACAGCTAGTAGGTAAGGACTTAGAAACTACTTGCGCAAACTACCTCCTTGGTCGTTCGGTGAGCCAATCCTGCCGTGTGAAATTTGTAAACTCAAATTTGTGACCGACGATGATGATACCCACCGCTGGGAACTAGCGGTCTCCATCTCAAAGCCTCAGAGATGAAGGCATGCAAATGAGGGAGTGACTGCTCGTCAGCAAATGTTGGCACTGCAGTAGAGACATCCTTAAATCGATACACCTGCAATAGGGATTGACCTACCTCGGTTCCTGCCTACGACCGCGTCCAGCTCGGCCTGGACTTTAGCTTGCTCATTGGGGAAACATGCGGCTGCCATGAGCACCGTGCATATCGCCAAGGTAGTCTGGGGACTTCGATTCATATGTTCAAAAACAACAATGCGGGACACATTACGGTATCAAATCCTGCTGCATAGAAACTGCCAGCAAGAAAAGCCATCTCTGTCTCTGTCAAGCCATGACGTTGAGTGTTTTCTAGCATATATTTCACAAACGAAGGGCCGACGTCCACATTGCTCTGCTGCGGAAGGATTTAAACACCGCATGAAGATTGGCGAGACAACGCGTACAATTTGCCGTTTCACGCGGTTCAGTTGATCGGTGTTGAGCTGCCTGTTCCTTTCAAACCCCTGTTTCAATTCTTGGGCATGCCAAGGAAGGTATTTGAGCCACGGGATTATGTCAACTAGATAAGCACCAGGGCGCAGGGCTTTACGAAGTAATTGAAAGTTTTCGCGCACAAGTCTTGCTTCAGGATCAGTCGCAGATGTAGGCGTGGTCTTTCCGTACGCAACTTTCATAATCGTTGTTGCAGCATAACTACAAAATACTCGTGAGTACACTGTGATAAAATAGGATAGCCCTTACGTTGCTGCATGGTTTTGGAAGTTGGTCTGATCTTCAAGAACATCGAGGACCATGTTCTTTGCGTGCGACATTTGCAGGGACTGATATTCTTCAGCTGATTTAGGCTGGAGATGAGTATGAAGTACTCTGTATCACATTGATAAGGTTTGGGCAATGTCGCAGGAAACGAACAAACCTGCGCATCCGACGCCACATGTTCCCAGAAGGTGTAAGGACGACGGATAGTCCACCATTGAGAATTTCTCCAGCAGCAACCAGGCGAGGACGGTCAGCTAGCGACCCGCCCTGCTTCTCCATGATATCTACGACGGCCTACAATATACTGAGCCTGGACATCACAAGTCAGCTTGGAGGGACTCACATCGTAGCGACCGATAATGACGATTTTCTCAGTTCCTGAGCGAATGGTAATTAGAGGACCATGCTCGTCAATCCATTCCGCTACAGTGAGAAATGGGCTGGATGGAGATGGCACATTATGAACATCGAAACAATGAGTGAAATGTGAAACTTTACTTGCGGGGGGGTATAAGGTGCCCCCGAAGTCTCCAAGTGGGAGGGGAGGGTGGAAGAGGGAAGCCGCTCTCTGATTTTGGGAGGTAAGTCCAATAAATCACTCCAACTAGTACCCCAAGACAAGCCGCAGTACTGAGGACAAGCTGTATGTTGTCAAAAACGCGTGGGTCAGGTAGTTGTAGCATGATTGAAGCGCAAAGATGGGAGGGAACTGGTGGCAGTATGAGTTATGAATGGCCTTGTAAACACCGCATGCCAATCGTGCGATCATTGATACCTTCGAAATGTCAGATTTAGCAGCTGACCGCCGATGAGAACGGAAGAATATATCTCACGTCGATAACCTAGGTTGAGAAGGCAATGCCAGGATCAACGCCATGTGGCAATAACACTTGACTGTACATGATAGTGAAAGACCTAGCTGACGACGCTGGACGGTCATTGATGCAGCACACAGCACGGAGCATATAACAAGCACTTGTTGAATGCGAGAGTTCCACAAAGTTTATGAGAAGGGGGGAAGAGAATACCGTGACTGAGTTCAAGATATATTTGTAGAAATGCTGAGGAAGCAAGGAAACTGGTCGAGTGGCATTCCAAAGAGAGGGACACTACTAGGAGTATGCAGCGTATGGTGACTCAGACCGATACATGCAAGACGGCAAAAATGATTAGATTTTGGGTGCCGAGGTTGACCCTGCCTCGGAATCAATATTGGATTGCGTAAGCTGAGCTTACCTAGAAATTTCGCCACGACTTGTCGGAGTAAAATACGACGATCTACATAACAGCAGACTTGCAATATCTGGGTACCCGGCGCCACGTACATGCAAGTATCAGCTTTGGTTTTTTAAATTGTTACTAACTTGCTGAACTGCAGGGCCTCTGTTACCGTGCAGTCTAATGAGATTGCTAATGCCAGTTTACATGTCGCCCTTCCGTGGTACACGCATTTGTACACCATTCCATTCCTCTCGCTCTATCCACTTCTCGCGTATGCGTACTATATCAAGTACGATGACTGGTTGCAAAGCGAAGAGTGGACTTTCCTAGCCTGTGTATCCCTGGGCGCAGGCCATGCTTTAAGTTTCCTGGTCACTCGGTGGAGTGCTGGTGCGAAAGCATGGATAACAACGCGAAAGGTATGCAGTTATGTTTGTGGATATAGATAGCATCTTCTTATGTTCCAAAGGCGCGGTCTATCGAGGATGCAGACTGTATACGTTTACTTCCTCACGTTCACCGTGGTCAAGGCGAGATTGTTCCGTTGCTCAAGGGTGTTCCATCAGAGCCAATGTCCTACACATTCAACTACCAGCGAGATACTTACGTTGTAGCCGGCAAGAATCCCGTTGTGTTTACTCGCCTTCCATACCCATCCACCCAGCGTCCATCGTTGTCTACCTTTTTACACCCCATTGGCCTTAATCTGGACGCCATTCCACCCTTGAAGTCGCTTTATGGCAAAAATGAATTCAACATTCCGATTCCCTCTTTCTCGGAGCTTTTCGGTGAACATGCGACGGCTCCCTTCTTCGTTTTCCAAATATTCTGTGTCGCACTATGGTGTCTGGATGAGTATTGGTACTACAGCATATTCACGTTATTCATGCTTGTCATGTTCGAGTGCACTGTTGTCTGGCAGGCGCGTTTTTTTCTTTCTTCCTATTAACAACTCCGAAGCTAACTTCACCTATAGCGGTTGAAAACTCTGACAGAATTCCGTACGATGGCTGTCGCTCCGTATCCCATTCAATGCTTCCGGCATTCACAATGGATTACCGTCCAATCTGACGACCTTCTCCCCGGAGACCTTGTTTCTGTTGGTTAGTGTCGTTTGTTCATTAACGATATTACTTCACTTATGTGTCATCACAGCACGACAGCAGTTTGAAACAGTAGTTCCTGCTGATATTCTGCTTGTCCAAGGCACATGTATCGTCAATGAAGCTATGTTGTCGGGAGAATCTACACCACTACTCAAGGAATCCATCCAGCTTCTCGATAGCAAGGACAAACTTGATGTTGACGGTGCGCACAAGAACGCGGTCCTCTTCAGTGGAACAAAGGTGCTCCAAGCAAGCCCAACGGGTACGTCAAACATTTGCAGTGTTCTTTCTCGTTAACGTTGTTATTCGGCTCTCAGGTCAAGGTCAAGTCACCGCAGCGACTCCGGACGGTGGATGTCTAGGAGTTGTTTTGAGAACCGGTTTTGGCACAGCCCAGGGACAACTTGTGAGAACGATGATATTCTCAACTGAACGCGTGTCTGCGAATAATCTCGAATCATTCCTCTTTATCGGATTCTTGCTCATCTTCGCGATTGCTGCTAGTTGGTATGTTTGGGTGAAAGGTATGTGTTATCTCTTGTGTACTGGGCACTAATCACAAGTATACATAGGCATCGAACGCGATCTGAAGAAGTCCAAGCTCTTGCTTGACTGCGTACTTATCATTACGAGTGTCGTTCCCCCAGAATTGCCTATGGAGCTTTCTTTGGCCGTCAATGCATCTTTAGTTGCTCTGTCAAAATTCGGTATGTCAAATTTCATTTTCCTTGATCATTTATCTTACCATCTATACCAGCCATATTCTGCACCGAGCCATTCCGTATCCCGTACGCTGGTCGCGTTGATATTTGTTGCTTCGACAAAACGGGAACTATTACTGCAGAGAACTTAGTCCTGGAGGGTGTTGCTGGTGTAGAGTTGGTATCCCATATCTCACCGACATCTCCCTGCTAATATTCACACATTTTCAGCGGGTCAGACAAACTCAAGCTTGTGGACGTGAGGGACACTGCCAAGTATACCACCCTCTGTTTGGCTGCAGCACACGCACTCGTTCGTCTCGATGATGGCACGGTTGTTGGAGACCCAATGGAGAAGACGACATTAGAAGCTCTTGACTGGCAGCTTGGGAACGGTGACCAAGTAGCACCATCTTCCATTAGGTCGCCCAATGCGTCGAGGATTTTCATCCGGCGCCGTTTCCAGTTTTCGTCCGCTCTCAAGCGCATGTCCACTGTGTCGAGCTTGCCCAGCGGCAAGGTCCTCGTCGCTGCTGAAAGGAGCACCGGAAACGATCAAGGGCATGCTCGCGGAAGTTCCCGAATGGTACGATGTGACATACAAGTGGTATACTAGGCGTGGCAGTCGTGTTTTGGCTTTAGGAACGAAGGAGATGGACGCCATGTCGACCGACAAGGTCAGTCATAGTCTGGTAACTGCATCCGGGTTGTTCACAGTTGACGTAGATCAATAAATTATCCCGCGAGAGTGCCGAGAGCAGCCTTACGTTTGCAGGATTTTTAGTCTTCCATTGTCCTCTCAAGCCAGATGCTGTTGAAACACTCAAAATGCTTGCCGACTCGTCGCACAGGGTAAGACGTTTGCTCGCTATGGAGCTTTACTGATCGCAAAACAGTGCATTATGATCACTGGCGACAACCCATTAACGGCTGTCCATGTTGCACGTGACGTCGAAATCGTCGATCGTGACGCGCTGATTTTGGATTTGCGAGAGAACCCCGCACATGAAGCAGGTGAGTTCATTATGATTACAGCCACTACCCGAAATAACGTTTATCATAGATTTGGTCTGGCGCACTGTGGATGAAACTAAGATTATTCCAGTGGATCCGTCTCAGCCTTTGGACCAACGCCTTTTCGACGAGTATGATATTTGTATTACCGGTACTGCTATGAAGCAGTTTGAATCTCGTCCTTCGTGGAATGACTTAGTACAAAATACTTGGGTTTATGCTCGTGTTTCGCCTACGCAGAAGGAATTCATCCTTACCAGTCTCAAGACCCTTGGGTACACCACGCTCATGGCTGGAGACGGCACTAATGACGTCGGCGCACTCAAGCAGGCTCATATCGGCGTAGCTCTTTTAGACGGTACACCCGAGGATCTCCAGAAGATAGCTGAACATCAGAAGGTCGAGCGGATCAAGAAGGTCTACGAGAGTCAGCTGAAGATGTCGGCAAGGTTTGGACAGGTGCCACCGCCCGTGCCTCCTGCTATTGCGCATCTCTACCCAGATGTTGTTGAGGCACAGAAAAAGGCTGCAGAGAATCTACAAGTCGCGCGTAAAAAGAATCCCATGGAGAAGGTAACGTTGTCATCCTTGTGAGGGTCAACTTGGCTGACCATATTCTAGTTCGACCTTGCTTCGATTACGGATGCTATGGCCAACATGGAAGGCGATGAAGATGTTCCTCAGATCAAACTTGGAGACGCTTCATGCGCCGCACCATTCACGTCGAAGTTGTCCCACGTCGCTGCCAGTGAGTTTGTGTGTGCTTACTGAAGGTTTTGACTGAACTTTGCATAGTTACCCATATTATCAGGCAAGGTCGCTGCACTTTAGTCGCTACCATCCAGATGTACAAGATTCTGGCGCTGAACTGCCTGATCACTGCGTACAGCTTGTCGGTTCAGTATCTTGACGGTATCAAGTTTGGTGATTATCAGGTAACTGTTAGCGGAATGTTGATGTCCGTCTGTTTTCTCTGTATATCTCGGGCTAAGGTGCGTTCTTGCTTGAATTTTTTTTAGTCATACTGAGAGTTCGAGAACAGCCGGTTGAAAAACTTTCGCGGGAGAGGCCGCTTGGCAACATCTTCAATCTTTACGTGCTGTTATCCGTGCTACTCCAGTTTGCCCTTCACATTATATCGCTCGTTTACATTACGAACTTGTCGCATTTCTATGAGCCGTAAGCCTCATTCTCATTTATTCTCACAAATGCTGAGTCCTATACAGAGCTGGTGTTATTGACCTCGAGGCGAAGTTTGAGCCGAGTCTCTTGAACACTGCCATCTACCTCCTGGGTCTCTCTCAACAGGTCTCGACATTTACTATCAACTTCCAGGTAATTTATTTCACCGAAGATGAAGTTGATCTATTGACAGCATCTCTTATAGGGTCGTCCTTTCCGTGAGGGAATCCGCGAGAACTCGAGCTTGTACTGGGGGCTTGTCGGTGCTAGTGCTGTTGCATTCTCTGGAGCTACGGATTTCATGCCCGAGTTGAACCGATGGCTACAGATTGTCGAGATGGAGGGACCGGTGCGTCGTTTTACTAATCTTTAGCATGTAAATCTTATTTCTTCATTGGTTTAGTTCAAGGTGAAATTAACCAGTGTCATGATTGCCGACTTTGTTGGTTGTTGGGTGATTGAGAAGCTCTGCAAACGCCTTTTTGCAGATCTTGAGCCAAAACCATTGGTTACTCGGGGTAGGGAACGGAGGGAGGCGAGACGAAGGGAAGAGGCTAGACTAGCAGATGAAGCAGCTGCAGAGAAGAAAGCTCAGTAATTATCAAGACGCTGCGTACACGTAGCTAGAACCCCCACGCAAAGCTTTTGAGATGATCTTAGACTTTTCCAATGCTAAAGCTGAAGTTAGTGACTTTAAGCTCCGCCTGAAAGATATCCCAATTGGTACGGATAGATTATACTTTGGAGTGACGTTGCAAGTACTCGTGTTCAGCTTAACTCACAAGCAAACAGTCGCGCCCTTGTAACTTTTATTCGAACCCGTGCGGAGGCGCTGAGATGCTCAATTTTGAAGATGTCGAAGAGCGGGATGGTTTGTTCCATTGATATCTTGCTTAAATTTACACACTAGCTTACATTTGACTTTTGATGTCAGGTGTTCGTCTTTCGTGGAATGTATGGCCCTCTTCTCGGATAGAGGCGACGCGGACTGTGGTTCCGATATCGGCCCTTTATACTCCATTGAAGCAGCGAGAGGATCTTCCTCCAGTATTATACGAACCCGTGACGTGTAAACCCCCTTGTCGTGCTATTCTCAATCCGTATTGGTATGTCTCTTCTCTTCCTTCCTGAAAATCTACTAATGATGCCCCATACAGTCAAATTGATATCAGAGGCAAACTATGGATCTGTCCTTTTTGCTTGACCCGCAATGCTTTCCCCCCACATTATAAAGATATCTCTAACACCAATCTACCCGCCGAACTACTTCCAAAGTACACGACAATTGAGTACACACTATCTCGTCCCGCTCAGGCTCCACCTGTCTTCCTCTTTGTCGTCGATACCTGTCTAGATGCCGAAGACCTCAAAGCACTTCGTGATGCCCTTGTCGTCAGTCTCAGCTTGATCCCACCATATGCATTAGTTGGTCTCATTACGTTTGGCACAATGGTACGTACATGTATTGGCTTTTTCATCGTTCAAGCTCATTATTTTGACTACCAGACACAAGTCCACGAATTGGGTTATGCAGAGTGCAGCAAATCATACGTCTTCCGTGGCGGCAAGGAGTACACACAAAAGCAGATTCAGGACATGCTCGGACTCAGTACGACAACTCGCGCCGCACCCCGCGCTGGCCAACCTATGCCCCAACAAGCTTTTGGAGCCGCCCGTTTCTTGCTTCCTGTCCAGCAATGCGAATTCCAACTCACTGGCATTTTGGAGGCACTCGCTCGTGACCCTTGGCCAGTTGCCAATGATAAGCGCGCTCTGCGTTGCACTGGTGTAGCTGTCAGTGTAGCTGTTGGACTCCTGGAGGTACGTTTATCAATTGTGGTGAGAAGAGGACGCGGATAACAACGCAACTCAGACGACTTTCCCTAACACGGGCGCACGTATAATGGTCTTCGCGGGTGGGCCGGCAACGGAAGGTCCAGGCATGGTTGTTAGCAATGAACTCAAGGAGCCTATCCGCTCCCATCACGACATCGAACGGGACAGCGTCAAGCACTACAAACGTGCAGTAAAGGTATGTTCTAGATTAGTGAACAATTATGCGGTGGCATCATAGTTCGCTTTGTTTTAGTTCTATGAAGGTCTGGCGAAGAGAGTATCCAACAATGGGCATGCTGTCGATCTGTTTGCTGGGTGCTTGGATCAAGTGGGCTTGCTAGAGATGAAGTCATTGCCAAACTCGACAAATGGTGTCATTGTTCTATCTGATTCCTTTGCTACGTCGATCTTCAAGCAAAGTTTCCTGCGCATGTTCAATAAGGACGACCAGGACTTCTTGCAGATGGGTTTTAACGCGACGTTCGACGTACAGGCAAGTCGCCTCGCATACTCCTGTACATGACTTTTTGACTTCAATATGCTTAGACTACCAAAGAACTGAAGGTTTCTGGCCTTATCGGACATGCAATCTCTGCCGGGAAAAAATCTGCATGCGTTGGCGAGACAGAAATTGGTATTGGTCAAACGTCAGCCTGGCGGATCAACTCCATTACGCCTAGGACATCTGCTGCTATTTACTTCGAGGTCGTTACTCCTGCGGGTCAGGCATTGTCTCCCGGATCAAGGGGTCTCATTCAATTCGTCACTCATTATCAGCACTCATCTGGGCAGATGCGTTTGCGCGTCACCACAATCGCTCGAAATTTTGCAGAAGCGAACTCTCCCAGCATCGCTTCTTCATTCGACCAAGAAGCCGCCGCCGTACTTATGGCAAGGATAGCAGTCTTCAAGGCCGAAATAGACGACTCACCAGACGTTTTGCGCTGGCTCGACCGCATGCTTATCCGTCTTTGCCAGAAGTTCGCAGATTACAGAAAGGAGGACCCTGTCAGCTTTAGACTAACGGATAATTTCAGCATCTATCCACAGTTCATGTTCCATCTCCGGAGAAGTCAGTTCTTGCAGGTGTTTAACAATAGTCCCGATGAGACTGCATTCTACAGGTCTGTACCTCTGCAGTGCGGTACAGTATTTGGATGCTAAAAGGTCACAGACATATTCTCAACGAAGAAGACGTCAACAACTCGTTAATCATGATTCAACCCACTCTGATGTCATATACATTCGATGTCGAGCCCCAGCCTGTCTTGCTCGACAGCGTCTCTATCAAATCTGATGCCATCCTCCTTCTCGATACCTTCTTTCATATTCTTATTTTCCATGGTGAAACGGTGGCCCAATGGAGGAAAGCAGGTTACCAAGAGCAGGATGGATATGAGAACTTCAAGGAGCTGTTGGAGAATCCTGTCACAGATGCTCAGGTATGACGATTTAGCTTCGTGCTTCTAACTCACTTTGACGGTTGTCCACACTCCACACAGGACTTGCTTGTCGACCGCTTCCCTATACCACGTTACATTGTCTGCGACCAGGGCGGCAGTCAAGCTCGATTCCTGCTATCGAAGCTCAACCCATCAACGACGCACATGTCGACATCGATGTATGGCACTCCACAAGCTGCGGGCGCCGGACAGGCGATCTTCACCGACGATGTTAGCTTGCAAGTTTTCATGGAGCACTTGAAACGCCTGGTAAGGGTTTCTCTATTACTTGGATCCCGATGTGCGCTTATGAGGGGCCTTTTCATCAGGCTGTGGGCGCACAAACAAACTAGGGTCAACGATTTGATGTCGTTTTGTGCACTGGACGCTGTTTATTTTGTCCGCGTTCGAGTTAACCTTTCGATTATAGTAGTCTATCGTAAAATGTCCATTTTTCCGGTTTGGTGTCGCGATGATTTTCAATATGGATGATACTATTTTGAGAGCCTATCTTGTCCAGCCGAACTTGCCATGGATCAGACTCCATCTTATGACAAAGTGATCTGCATCCATATACCTTTAACCCGTTTACTTGTGCAAGCTTTGGTCAGAGACTTTGAAGTTATAGTATAAAAATAGCGTCAATATAGAGACGCGTCAAGCACGTGTCACAGCACTCTAATATCTAACCTCGTGATGCCCGAACATACGCCGCATAGAACACCTCTTAAACGTGTCTCCCAAGGGTCTCTCTTCGCTTTCTCGCGATCGGGTAACAACCCTGATGCCCCCCATGGCCTTGGCTTTATCGAGCCTGTAATGGCAGAGCTAGTCGACGAAGTTGAAGCGCTGCAGACGAATGTCGAGGGCCTAAGGAACCTCAGCAACTCTCTGAAGACATTCAACGAGAGCTTTGCAAGCTGGTTATATGTCATGGACATGAACGCGCTTACGGTGGACTGGCCGCAGGTAATCCTTGGTACTTCACGATGATCGAGTACGTCGACTGATCTCTTGTTGTTAATCTGCTAGGCTCCAACGGATGCATCGTTCCGGCTAGCTAAGCGACGAGCAGGTGAGTTGTGTAATAAATTTATTATGCGTTCGAGATGATGCGACATATTCATTAGAGGAAAACGCCCGTTTGGCTGAAGAAGCTGCTCTGAAAGCAGCATCAGCCATTCCGCCGCCATCAGACTTAGAGGCAGACAAAACGACGTTCACCGAAAACCAAGAGTTTGAAACGACATACACAACGAATGCTACGACAAGGAATGCTTCTACTAGCATTACGAAGACCACATCGACAGGTATCCCCAAGAAGAAGGTCAAACCAAAGCTCAGTGCGAAGGAGAAAAAGGACCGATCGGTGAGTATTGATACATGGGGCATCATTTTCTTCATTTATCGTCCCTGCAGCTTTCACTTGAGAAGATAGTGATGTCTCTTCCCCTTGAGTTTCGGGGTAGTGATCCGGCACGTATACTCAATGATGATACGAGAATGTTTATTAAAGCATAGATGCTCCAGGGTCTCCGACGTAACATGGAATCTGTGATAGAATTCATGATGGACAGTAATGGACGAGGTATCAGACGTGGGTAATCCTTCTTCGTTGCAGTATACATTGGCTCATGGCCCTTGCGCGCAGTCATCGAACTCATTAAACCTCCCGATCTCAATCAGGCACGTGTCAACAAATGTTTGATTGCTTTAGTGAACCGGAAGATTGTCCGAAAGGAAAACAGTACTGTATGTCACAACCATTCGGACAACATGCATTTTCCTAATTTTCGAGCAGGGCACAGTGCTTTACCATTGGACCGGATTATCATGAGATCTGGTGTAGTGATAGATGCTCTTCAACATCCCTGGTTCTCGCGCTTTTTCGGATTTCCGTTCCTTTTTACAGTGACGGCGCATTGCGATGTGGTGCGAGGAGCATTTCGGATACCGATGATGATACAACTAATAGTTACACATTCTTTATTGCGACTGCAGTAATGTACACACATCCAGGAAAGTCACGTTAGCACCTTGACCAAATTGGATGGTGAGGGTTGTATTCATCAAAAATTCATTAAACAAGGTTTCGACGCAATACTTCAACAAGTTGGTACCGAGAACGCTTTGTGTCAACATGTCGGCAACACGGTCATGGTATGGACCATAGACTCTCCATCGCTTATTTCCAAGGTATTTGTCTTCTTCACGGACGTATCTCTAGATGCAAACCCCTCAGGGTCTTGTCTCATCATCTCAGCCCTGATGTAATCCCTACATTATCATGAGAACGGCATCAAAGGAGTGATTTGGTATTCACGTACCTTGTCAGATGAATACCAGTGTCACGGGCAATTAGCTGTTTGATCATCCTAGGGCCGAGTTTCTTTTCCGGGTCTTTCAACATCTGAGTGAGCACGAGCTGTCGTTTGACCGTTTCTGGCAGTTGTCGGGTGGTCACACCACTTGCATAGAGACCCAGAGCTCTTCGTCTTCGAGCTACCGAGCTTTCACTGAAGTATATGATTACATATCAAGGTAAAGAAGAGCGCATGGCACGCGTACCTCAGCTTAATACCATGCTCGTCATACAGGAGTTGACTAATCTTCTTCTTATCGAATATTTCTCTCCGTTGGTAGTCATACAGAAGCTCCGTAACCTGATTGTCATTCTTCGGGGCTGCATACAGTGAAGACAATATAAGGAGCAGAAAGGGTGGGTACGTACGACAGTCCTTGTATTGGTTCCTCCCAGTTGGGTTTCGATTATGTGGCTTTGTCGAAGTCGTTGTACAAGGACCTGACATGAGTCGCGAGCAGGGACGTTAAATGAGTCTATGAGGAATCAAGATGCTCGCACTCGAATGCTAGTGACACCTTCTACATGTGCGATGACTATGCAAGGAGTTGGCTAGGGTCTAACCCGAATTCAGATTCAGGTGGTTGTTTGGCAACGATCTCTGATCCAAACAACTATCATGATACTACTATGGTCATGAAACACCGTGACTCAAGCTTCTGTCACGGTCGAGTTTACATGAGTGGTGCGATGCAGCAGATTATGCGGGAACCAATATTTGGTAGGTTGACTAAATGAGCGCTTGATAACTCGATCCAAACAACAAATGTGATTTAGCTACGAGGATGGTTATTATTGGCAAGCACAACAGCTACGAGATACTCGTCTAGCATCTCGTCTTTATCGTACAACCAATAAAAAATCAAACATGTCAGCTCTTCTTCCCTACATAGTTTGGCGTAGGCGAGGATTCACCTTCCTCTCTGGGCCTCTTCTGCTTGAGGAGGTTGAGGAGTGGATAAAGTTCGATATCACCAGCATTCTGTTGCGCATCATTGAGATATCTGCCAGATACATACCCAAATCAGTGAGAACAGCAACAGCCTCGCGACCTAGCTTCAGATCCCTAGTACAATAATCAGATTGTGAGGTGTGGTGAGGGATTAGGGTTGGATCTGGCTGTAGTACCTGTGAGTTCTGTGATCATGGTGTATGAGGGGTCGCCATCGTGATTCGATCTGCGAAACAGTTAGGCTTTGAGGAAAAATTCTCGAGGTCGCATAAAAACAAAACTGAAGCTGTTATTGTTGCACTTAAATACATTCGAATTCGAAAATGTGGTTACGTACCTTACAGCTACAGGGGACCAAGAGCAAGTCGCAAATCACTCTGGCTGAAATTTTTGAATGCATGCACCCATACGTTTCCGACGGCGCCCCCGATTTCAGTGAATAGAACCATGACCGCCATGATGATCGCCGAGGTCGGATGCTTGTGTTCCTACGTATGAAGAGACAGCGGCAAAACCTTCGCCGAAACCTTCATGGATCTGGGTCCAAACTAGCTCAGCATTATCTGAGGCGTTAACACCACGCGAATGGATCATCGTTACGACACCCCTGAGAAGAATACATGGTTGAAATAATTGGGGGACTTACGCTAGACGAATCACAAGTCCGATAACGAGTACATACCGTCGCGCAAGGTTGTTGCTGTATTGAATGGATCAGTGACAGTAATATATAACAATAAAGGAAACGCGCGCTGAGCCCCGCAAGAGTGCCAAAGAATGTCACTGCAACGGATTGGATCTGAATGAAGTACGTTGTATTCATGGCAAGTGACCTTCAGACGGTAGGTTAACACATACTCTCACAAGCAGAAGGTCCGGCGACTCTCGAACAATCCTTTATCGCTTAACGGGAGAGAACAGCCTATATGCAGCCGTCCGAATGCGTCATTCAGCTGCTCTGATCGAGATTTCTCCATGGACTGGGATGTTACTGATGTGAACTGCTATCCATCCACTGTGTACATGTTATGCATCCACAACATGGTACGTAATCATGATTTTCGGTGCATTGGCTGACTCAGAACATTATACCGAAGTAACTGTTCCATTAGCCATTTCATAAGCGTTCCAGTGTGCTGGTAGAAATCAGTTAGTAAAACAATATCTACAAAAAACGTAACCAGAATGGTGCTCGTCGTCCAAGATAAGGCAGCAATAGCCTCTCTTAGTGAGCATTGTAAATCACGCGTAATATTCACGGGGAAAATTTCTGCAATAAACATCGTGTTTTGACCATGGATTCTTCAACTTTAAGGATATCTGGTTCTAAGTGTGCGTAAAAGGTCTGCAAGGAAATGTCAAATGAGCCGTCAGCTTATTAAAAAAGGGTATAATTGAACGCGCCTATGAGCCCAAAAGAAGTCAAAATGGCTTCTAATGATGTGCCTCCTTTGCGATCTGAGCACCATATGGGTTTTTAGGATCTTTGGCGTATGTCTCCGCTGTAACACCCATTCCATTCATGCGAGGTCCACGTGGAAAAAACATGTAACGTACAACGAACACCCATCTCCTGCATCTTCGAGACAAGGTAAAAGGTGACCACGCTTGCTGCTAGGAAGGGCGCCATAGGCCTCAATACCTGTTCACACGACGGATTAGCGGAAGATCACTTGTGGCATGAGAAATGGAACATGCAGGAGTAGACCACTTGCGAAGACCGAGGAATGCCATGAGTGTGATCTAGCATACAGGTTTATATGAAGCAGAACGCGAATTATTCGAAACTTACTGGTAATAAGGCTGGAGTGAACTGGAGGAACGGAGCGAACGATGTGCTGAACAGGACGAAACCGGGGACATATAACGCACATTCGGAAGATAATTCTCACGCCTTTATACAGCCTCCACCACGTCCACTATCAATACACGTCCAAAGTAACGCTCGAGCTTACCCGTCAGTCGCGTTGTCTAGGTTATAATGGCAGCAGAGGCACCATGCTACACAGTTGTATTTGAAGATACCACCGAGAGCCCGTCCACACAGGAACTTAGGACATCCCTCGAGAAAGGCACCGATGAAGACAGACTGGACACGTTGCGCAGGATTATTGTGTCGACGATTAATGGGAACCCTCAGGTATATTCCGATCTTTCCTGTAGACCGTATGATGCTGATGCACTGATGGCGGTCTAGCCCACGCTCTTGATGCCAATCATACAATATATCATGCCCTCCAAAAACAAGCAGCTCAAAAAGTTGCTTCACTTCTACTGGGAGGTGTGTCCCAAGTATGATGAGAATGGGAAGCTTAAGCAGGAAATGATTCTCGTCGTGTACGTGCATCTATCATCCTCCTACCGCACATGTATTCACCTCGCCTAGCAATGCCATCCGAAATGACCTGGTAAGACTAATCACTGCACTTCTGACGTTCCGTCCTTCATATCCCTACAGCAACACCCCAACGAATATATTCGTGGCGCTACCTTACGTTTTCTTCAAAAAATATCCAAAGATGCCGAACTCCTCGAACCCCTCATTCCCACCTGTCGTAGCTGTCTGGAGCACCGTCATTCCTACGTCCGCAAGAATGCCGTATTCGCTGTGTACACTATATACCGCGAATATGAACACCTCATCCCAGATGCCCCAGAGCTCATGCAAACTTTCATTGCTGCAGAGTCTGACGCGACGTGCAAGCGTAACGCATTTGTGTTCCTTGCGCATTGCGCGATGCCTAAAGCTGTGGAGTGGTTGATTAGCGTATATGATCAGCTGACGAGTCTAGACGAACTCTTGCAGATGAGCATAATAGAAGTCATCAGGTTGGATTGCAAGAACGACACGACGCATCGAGTAAGTCCTCTTTATTTGGGCCATCTTGTTTGTCCTCATTTCTGTCGTCTTGCAGCCGCGATATATCAGATGCATGTTTGAGTTGTTGAATTCTTCATCACATGCAGTAAAGTACGAAGCTGCTACGACACTCACTACACTCACGCAGAATCCCGCTGCTGTGAAAGGTATGTTTACGATCAGGTCTTGTGCGCATGTTTGCTCACCTTCATCAATAGCGGCTGCTTCGTGCTTTGTTAATTTGGTCATCAAAGAATCAGATAACAACGTTAAGCTAATCGTCCTGGATCGCCTGGATACCCTACGCTCGAAGCATGGTCATATTCTGGATGGACTGACGATGGACATCTTGCAGGTCTTATCGAGGTAGGAACATTGATCAATTTCTAGTTGAAAATAGCTACTGAGTTCTATTGTATCAGCGCCGACATGGAGGTCCGAAGGAAAGCCATGAGTATCGTACTGAGCATGACCTCGAATCGGAACGTCGAGGAAGTTGTTCTTTTCCTCAAGAAGCAGCTGCAGCAGACACAAGAGCGCGAGTTCGAGAAGGCCCCGGAGTACAGGCAGCTTCTAATCCAATCTATCCATGTGTTAGCGGTCAAGTTTTCTGAGGTGGCTGCAAGTGTTGTGCACGCACTCATGGAATTCCTTGGAGATTCCAATAACCCATCTGCTCTGGACGTCGTGGCCTTCGTCCGGTTGGTTCTTTCCTCCTAGTCCCACATCTTATTTCACTAACGCACCCACAGTGAAGTAGTTGAGAAATTCCCACACCTCCGGCAGTCCATATGCGACAAGCTCACTCAGACTCTGACCGAGATCAAATCCGGTAAAGCCTTCCGCGGCGTCCTCTGGATTCTGGGCGAGTACGTCGAAAGCCCGTCAGACATTCAAGCCACATTCCAAGACATCCGCAAAGTGATTGGCGAGATCCCTATTCTTGCGAGTGAGCAGCGGTTGCTCGACGAGGCTGGGGGCGAGGAGGACAAGAAGGAGGACAAGAAGGTCGAGGGAAGCGGGCGGCCAAAGGTGCTTGCTGACGGGACATATGCGACGGAGACGGCATACACCAGCGCCAGCTCAGCGAGATTAGAGGCTGTCAAGGCTGCGTCTAAGCCGCCACTGAGAGGTGCGTGGTATGCACGTTCATTTCGTTCGGAAGTTTTTAGGATGTAATGTCAGCCCTCATACTGGGAGGCGACTTTTTCACGGGTTCGGTACTCGCTTCAGCGCTGACGAAGCTCGTACTGCGGTTCGATGACCTTACAAACGACCGGCCAAAGGCCAACGCTCTCCGAGCTGAGGTACGTACTACTGTTGATGTTTTTATAGCATTTACTGACGCCCACCCAGTCTATGTTGATCATGACGTCCATTATCCGCGTCGGCCAGTCGAAGTTTGTCACAGTACCGATCGATGAGGATTCAAACGAGCGCATCCTTAATTGCATACAAACATTAAGCGAACTTCAGGAAAAGACCATCGTCCACGATATCTTCTTGAAGGACACTAAAGCGGCATACTCAAAGATGCTCATCGCTCAGGAGGTGTGTGCCTAGTATGCTTCAAGCTGTGTTGCTGATGAGCGGACAGAAAAAAGCAGCAGAGAAGAAAGAGTCGGAAAGCACGAAGGAGCAAATTGTGCAAGTCGATGATCTCCTTACTTTCAGGCAATTCTCCAAAAAATCAGCAGATGATCCCATCGATGTAGGCTTTTGTCGTCAATCGATTGTACGCCATTCATTTTTTTTTCAGTACGTCGAGGACTTGGATAAGGCAACGGGAGCTGCTGAAGTCCGGGAAGACTTCATATCCAACCTCAGTCGCATATCTCAGCTCACAGGTATGTCTTATAGTACCGTGGTCATCTTGAGTTTCAGTCCTCATCACTTTTAGGTTTTTCGGATCCTATATACGCGGAAGCATACGTCAAGATGCACGGATTCGATATTATGCTTGGTGTGTATACTTCCCTCGATGGGCTATTTACCGGCGACACTCATCAACGGTGCTCAGATGTTCTCCTGGTCAACCAGACGTCTAATACGCTGCAGAATCTTTGTCTTGACTTCGCAACGCTTGGTGACCTCAAACTGGTCGAACGACCTGCTGTATATACCATAGCGCCTCACGGTTTCCAGAGTATCAAGGCCACAATCAAGGTAACAACCAAAGATACTCCGCCACTCATTCATATTAACTGTGCATCGTAGGTCTCGTCAACAGAAACTGGCGTCATATTTGGCAGCATCCTGTGGGACGGCCCTGCCCTCGCCGAGTGTTGTGTTATCTTGAACGACATCCACATTGACATCATGGACTATATCAAGCCCGCGTACTGTAGCGAGACACAGGTATGTCTTTAATTCCTGTTGTGGCTGTCTAAATACTCACTACGCTCAAGTTCCGAAGCATGTGGACAGAGTTTGAGTGGGAGAACAGGGTTAACGTGTCAACGAACATGACGTATATCTCCAGGGTTCTCTTATATAGTCGCTAGCTAACGCACCTGCATAGCGACCCTCGCGACTACCTGAAGCACGTCATGAAGTCTACGAACATGTCTTGTCTGACTCCAGAAGGGGCCATGTCGGGCGATTGCGATTTCCTATCTGCCAACATGTATGCTCGAAGTTTGTTCGGTGCGTCGGTTCTCTCCATAAGCTTTGTGTCAGCACCGGTCTTATTTTGTGATGACACAGGCGAAGATGCTTTAGCCAATCTTAGCATCGAGAAGACGGAGGCTGGGATTGTAGGCCACGTTCGTATTCGGAGCAAAACGCAGGGCATCGCTTTATCGCTAGGCGACCGTATTACCATGTGTGAGTGCATGTATTTGAAGACGATGTTGTGACGATTGATGGTTGTGTAATTGTAGCTCAGAAGGATGGCAAGTCATCGATATAGAGCGTGTACACATGGACACATGGATCAAGTCACTGAACTGTAGACATAGTCACTATGTACTAGGGAAGGAGACACATGAATGTTTGATGCAACGCTAACACATGGTGATCGATCTTTACATCAGTAGATACTCAAGCGGTCATCTACATCGCCAAACCTCTGAGCAACCTGGACAATGTGAAATCACTCGAAGCGCTTAGATACCCTTCTTTACCTCCATCTCCGTTGACATGTACCTTGGCATCTATCTTGAAAGTCCTAGTCTCTGCTCGCTGAAAGAGTGCGAAGGGGATTGGAATCCAGAAACGCATCCACCACCCGACATTACCATCCCCGTCCTTGGTAGAACACCAGGGGACCTCCCCAATATGAATTCCTCGAGATAGATCGGGTGTGGGTTTATCATTTACGTAGCGCATTGTAGCGCCATCATAAAACGTTTTGAACGAGATTTGACCTGACTTGTAGGGACCATTCATTGCCACTGTAGTGCAGACGAGATGAACGAGAGTGACAGCCGGAACAAGCAGGGGGTCAAATTCATGTTTAGAGGTACATGCAATCTGGAGTTGCGCTGGGAAGAGGTGGATTAGTTATGGGGCCTCCTAGGATTGCTAGGATTGACTTTTCACCACTATATACACCCTTCATTATTCAAAATGTGGCCTTCCAGGACTCCCACTGTGTAGGGGTGTCTCAAACATTGTTCAGTTGACCGTCTCCCATCATGAATGTGGCCTTCCAGGACTCCCGCTGTGTAGGTGTGTCTTAAACAGGATTTCGTTGCACATCTTCTATCATGAATGTGGCCTTCCAGGACTCCCGCTGTGTAGGGGTGTCTTAAACTTATATGGTCAAAACAGAAATAGGTTTCAAACTTTGGAAAAAATATCTTTTCCTGGGCTGGTACATCATTTAGAGGCATCTTCCAGGAATCATATGAACCAAGAATTAAGAAAAACGGCGGTTGGAATATGGAGATATGGTTGAAATACTGACTTTTTAGCCCCTCCACCAAACCACAATATTGGCGACCTCTATACACTCTGGGACCATCTCCAATCGATTTGTACAACTGAAAAACAGTAGGAACACCATTTTCAGCATTGGTCTTGAGTTATATTCGAGTGTGGTGCGATATAGGGGGTAGGAGGGGGGAGGAGGACATTCTATATCTCGACAACCTGATTTTTCCTGACATATTGGGCTTTACCATCGTGTTCAGGGACATTGAGAGCCCCCTGGAAAAATGCTTTTGGAGGGCATGCAAGTCATGGGAAGGCTAGAAAAATCGATCTTTGAGGGGGGTATGCGACAAATTCGCACATGTCACTTTGTATGGTCTCAAATCGCTCTTGTATCATTCTCAATCGATTTATATCATTGTAAAACAGTAGGGACACCCTTCTACATACCGGTATTTACATAATAGGAAGATATGTGAGTTAGGGGGGGGAGGAGGACCTTCTGTATCTCGACCACCTGATTTTTTCTGACAATTCGGGCTTGACCATCTTGTTCGCAGCTATCAAGAGCCCCCAGGAAAAATGGATTTGGAGTCATGGCAAGTCATGGGAAGGCCAGAAAAATCGATCTTTGAGGGGGGGTATGAGGTCAACTTACACATTACATTTCATATTGGCCAAAAACACTTCGAACCCATCTTCAATCTATTTGTATGATCCAAATGCACTATTTAAATCCTTTTTACATCAGTATATACATAAAATCATGCTTCATTGTTGAGTAGGTAGGGGGAGGGGGTAGCATGACTCTGAAACATGATTTATTCGGACAAAATCAGCATTCTACCCATGATTTTGCAAGTCCATTAGAGTTAAGGCTGGGTTATGGTATATCTAAAACAGCCATATTGCGCAAATATGCACATGTCAGATTTGCGCAAAATTGACCCCTCATATTCCGCAAAAATACAAATGTCAGATTTGCGTGAAATGGACCCCCCCATATTGCGCAAATATGCACATGTCAGATTTGCGTGAAATGGACCCTTCATATTGCGCAAATATACAAATGTCAGATTTGCGTGAAATGGACCCCCCCATATTGCGCAAATATGCACATGTCAGATTTGCGCAAAATTGACCCCCCATATTGCGCAAATATGCGAATGTCAGATTTGCGTCAAATGGACCCCCCATATTGCGCAAATATGCACATGTCAGATTTGCGTGAAATGGACCCCCCATATTGCACAAAAATACAAATGTCAGATTTGCGTGAAATGGACCCCCCATATTGCGCAAATATGCACATGTCAGATTTGCGCACAATTGACCCCTCATATTGCGCAAATATACAAATGTCAGATTTGCGTGACATGGACCCTTCATATTGCGCAAATATGCAAATGTCAGATTTGCGTCAAATGGACCCCCCCCATATTGCGCAAATATGCACATGTCAGATTTGCGCAAAATTGACCCCCCATATTGCGCAAATATGCACATGTCAGATTTGCGTGAAATGGACCCCTCATATTGCGCAAATATGCACATGTCAGATTTGCGTGAAATCAACCCCTATGTTGCACAAATATACAAATGTCAGACTTTTTGAAATCAACCTCTCATATTTTGCAAAAATACAAATGTCAGATTTGCACAAAATTGACCCCTCATATTGCGCAAAAATACAAATGTCAGATTTGCGTGACATGGACCCTTCATATTGCGCAAATATGCAAATGTCAGATTTGCGTGAAATGGACCCCCCATATTGCGCAAATATGCAAATGTCAGATTTGTGCAAACTTGACCCCTCATATTGCGCAAATATGCAAGTGTCAGATTTGCGCAAAATCGACCCCTCATATTGCGCAAATATGCAAATGTCAGATTTGCGTAAAATCAACCCCTATGTTGCACAAATATACAAATGTCAGACTTTTTGAAATCAACCTCTCATATTTTGCAATTTGGAATTAGAATGGAGTCACTGGAATCAGTTCAGACATGGTGTGATATATGAGTGTATTATTATGTAAGCTTGCTATTGTGATATGAGTCAAACTGGTATCCTACAGTGAGGTCTTGAGATTTGATTAGAATTAAAACTAGTGCAAGTCAGGAGGTGTGCATAAGGAAAATCCCACACATAGAGCTTGATATTACTAAGCTTGTAAACCTTGATATACAGCCATCCAAAGTTTCAAAAACACAAGTTCTGAGTTTCTCGATAGTGGCCTAAGAGTCTGTTCGGACATCATTTTCGCCAACCAACTTTGAAATTCCAACGTAGCCCATACAAGACCAAATAGTCCGAGACCAAAAATAATGTCACCCTGATCATGCTGATACAATATGATAGTGGTCGCTGAGCCTATTGTACAACACAATGCATCCTAACGACCTCAATGCCAAATTTGATCTACTAGACCCACTAGACAAAGATGATGTCGACATCGAAGACAGTGCGGATGAAGATTCCAATTGTGCTGATGCGGTAGACTCCGACCGACTGGACGTAAATGAGCTGCACTGGATAGACAAGATGTTCCATGGTGCTGCTCGTGTAGCAATGGCTATTGCTGATGCTGCTGGGCAGGTACTCCAAGGTCACTCGCAAACTCACTACAACAAGCAACCCTATTATACTTCAGCCTTGTCTGTAATGGCATGGGTCAACGAACTCCTCGCACGACATCCAGACCACATACGATGCGAACTT